GGAGCGTTAGGCGGCTGTCTGCCTTGCCTGGGGAGCCCTGGTGGATGCAGCCAACACGAGGTAGAGAACGAAGCCTTTATATTCACCCTACCACACATCATATTTTTGCCTTTCGTATTCATCCTATTGAGATATCGGCTCTAGCATCTTTCATTGATTGTTTGTACTTGGTACTCGAACTCTCACTCTACCGCTCACCAAGTCTGCTACTCAGTATATTACAGCGTCGATGTGGTTGCGGCCAGGTCCAGCGTGACAGCTAAATATGATCCAAAATGTGAGCAGCTGTCTGCAAATGCTGTAAAAAGAATTCCCTGGCGGTAAGATGCCTTGGCCACAATAAGCACAGGGTGTCTACTTACGAGGGTATGAAACATGCCGTGGTCAGATTTGATGTTCCCGCATTAGCGAGAAATCCTTTTCTATCACCGTTACTAGTCTCCACAATTCAAAGTAGCAGGGCTTTCGGACAGGCTCTTCAGGTTTTCAGCCCTGAATCCTTCTGATACAATCCTACTGATCATGCTTCCATCCGGTGCACCTCCAACTGACCTCCTCTATATAGAATAGTTTGAAAGGGCAAGTAATCCTCCTGCCATTTACTGGTAGTCCTGGGAGTAAGTCGATTCTTTCTCCCCCTTTTGAAATACCTGGTGAATCGGAAACATGCCAGGCGTTTCCAGACGGAAAGAGGGATGCATCTCATGCAGAGCTGGTAGGGTGAAGGTAGGCATCTCCTCTACTTGAACTGGTCTTCCGAGAGCCTCGTTTGAAATCTCAAATATATCTAACCACAAACGTTTTACTGGCGGGTTTACAGTGCGATGGTGGCAGCCCTTGTGAAAGATGCAAATTCAGAAGGACAAAATGCAAGCCCTATTCACGCGACTTCATTTTTATTCAACAACCATTCCCAAATTCAGCGCAAGTACAACCAGCTACTTCAAAGCGTACCCGACGGGAGCGTGAACCCTGCTCTTTGCCCCTACAACACGATTCAGTGCCTTGGCGAAGAACGTTGGAGGCGTTTGCAAGCAGCGGAACCGTGAACTGCAAGCAAGTCGTCGCACAATATGTAGAACTTTGCCCAAAGGCCCCGAAGATGGGTGGCGGTTTCCTGTTTTGGTCCTCTCTCTCCTGGATGCGGCACCTTTGCAGGAGCAGTAATGATTCAATTTCCCTTCGAGATTCCGGGCTTGCGGTAGCTATCGCTGGTCTAGCTCGCGATCGAGGAGATGAGGTGTTGCTAAGAAATGCAGATGTTTTTTATGTTAAAGCATTGGGCGCCCTCCACAAAGATCTTTACAACACAAAGAGTCACCTCTGCGATGCAACGCTACTTGCATGTCAGGCCATTAACCTTTACCAGTTCACCGGCCACAATCATACAATGACTGAATGGACCTCTCATGCTAAGGGACTGGCTCAAATCCTACAACTACGAGGGCCTTCAGCACACACATCCGGGGTAGGACAGGCCATTTTCGAAAGTTGTCGAATAAATCTTATTATCGCTGCTCTATGCCAACAAGAGGAGACCTTCCTCGCACAAGATTCGTGGAAATCCTTCTTCTTGTCTATCGAAACAAACAACCAATTTGATAAAATTGTCGACATTCTAATAGGGCTACCAAGTCTAGTAGCGAGAGGCAAGGTTATTGATAGCTGGAAGATTCCGGCGAGAGGGACAACGCCCGAAGCGCCTTGTTCGAACAGTGTGTGAACCTGATGAGAGAGCTCAAAGCATGGTATGGCGCGCTTCCTGCGAGCTCAAGAGACCCTCTTCTAGTTCGTCGGCCATTGCTACTTCCGGTTCTACAGGTGTAGAGGAAGTGTTCGAGAATACCTACGAATTTTCTAGCGTTGGTTCTGGGCAGATGCACATATTATATTTTACCTTTTTAACACTGGTCTATCACCTCATCCAACGCTTCAACCCGGCTTTATACTCGAGGCAAAAGCTGATGTCCTCGCCTTTAATTTAACAGCCCTCAAACGGTAGTATGTCTGTGTCCATGATTGACAGCCCTATTACAAAAGGCATGAGGATAACCCAACAACGGATGTGGGCATCAAAACAAGAAACCGTTCATACTGTTTGTTTATCAGAAGTGGCAAAGACATATGATCCTCTACAAACGGCCAGCCAAGTTTGTATGAGCATACGGTGGTGCCTAGAGCATATCGGCGGGAATGATGTTGGCCCTTATCACACCGGTTTCTCTCTCTACCTAGCATACAAGTGCTTCGAAGTAAACCTGCCTTCAACCCAGCCTCATTTGAATTGGTGTTATCGTCTGATTGCTATTCTCGAGAGCCGAGGCATACAGTACAGAAAGGGGATAATCGGGATATATGATGAGTCACAATTATTTAATTAACTTACGTCTTTATAATGATCATCTAATCAACGAAGAAAACTTATATTTTGTTATTACTATTATTACTACGTCAAAGATAGTTCTCGGAGAGATTGATCTATTTGGACTCTGATTTTGATAGACTGCCTCTGCTGAGGCTAGGAGATTTCGCGTTCGCTTCTTGCGTGGGTTGCATTCACAGACCAGAAAGCAGTATTGAAAACCAAGAAAATCAAACGATACCCCGCTCTGAGTCCGCAGAAAGGGCTACGTGACTGATTCTGACAGCCCACCGAAAAGACACGCAAAGCTACCTCATTTAGGATGGATGTCGGTTTATGTTGCTCTGATCTAGGATTTGTTGTCAACACCTGGGAATGCTTGTTCCATTTTGACCAAGGAGAGCTCTTTCTCCAGGCTGTCGAGGGCCACAAATGAGGTCTCGCGAGAGCTATTACTGTGGGATTGGAGAATGAGACGATCTGATAACTGAGTGTACTGGTCTAGGAGGTATCGTTGCAGCATTGGTGACGATGGCGTATCCTTGAGACCAGAGGGTCTAGATGATGAAGTCAGTTGCAATCTAATCACACCAACAAACATATCGATGCGTGTTGTAGCTCAGAGAAATATCAAGGGGGGATAATATCAGTCGTACATTTGAGAACTTTGTCTAGTCTCTTGGCTTTGAGAGGGACGCATCATTCAGCCCACGCTCGGATGTGACCTAGTATATACCATAGGATGGTAACTTCATGGGCTATATCCAAATCAATGCGCTCGTTATGAATTTGGTGACGAGTGAGGATTTGTTTCTTGATATTTTTAAAAGAAATCCATGGTAGCGATCATAAATTAATATCATCATCACATGATTCTTTCAGTCTCCATCAAAACAAATTCGAGTAACATTCCCCGATTTACAAGGGTATCGGGGACCCATAGCACGAAAATAATTGACGCTCTGGAGTAGCGCTTGACCTAGTTCAATCAGGTTAATATTTTTCCATCAAATCGCTCAAGACTGATGGCTATACCTCTGGTGCTGGAATATGACCCTCTCAGTTATCCGGTTAATAGTTCTTGTTCCATGTTTGCTCCCCTGCTTGTCTGTCAGCATCTTCCTTGACTGCCAAGTCTGAAACCCTCACAGAGTCGACCAAAGTGGAGTATTCTCAAGAGCTACAGGATCCATGTTACATTGTCGACCCTAAGCAGGTAAATCTCACGAATACGATGCCGGTTTTGGAATATCCTTGTCTCGGGTGGAGAAAGCGCAAGTCTCTTGTTATTGGTCTCAACACGAACCGTTTCAGCATAATTATTGACATAGTAGGCGAACCATACAGTTTGCTGATGCGGACTAGTACAATTGGATGATTTAGAAGCTGGTAGTCTCAACAGAGATGGTTTCCCTTTTCTTCAACCACTTAGGATATCAAACTCATAACTATTAAAATATGTCAAGTGTTAAAAGTATCTAAGAATCGTACTCGCGGTGAATTGGTCTGCACTTGCTTTTTTCTCCTTCAAGAGAGTATTTTTCTAAGTATAGTTCCGGTCTCTCGTGACTGGATTGCAGCTGTTCTAACACTTCTTTGGGAAATTCGCCCCGATCGAGCCGAGACCACTTGCCTTCTTCGGAGATCTTATATATATATCACCTGAGTCGGATCGTACGGGTTTTGGATTGGCTCCTGAACATTTATTAGTCTTTTGCTTTTCGGTTCAATCCTCTTTCATTCCCTTAATCTTAGCTAAGTACAACACTTTGAATTTCTCTTCTTCGTCATTATATTCCACCTTCACGCTAGGCCAATAACATGCTTTACTTGACGATGCTCCCTCGCAATAGTAATTAATCATACCGTAGTGAAACGGACTATGCCCATTACCTATGAGCTGGGTTGGCAGGAGTGTAGCAGTATCGCACTCGGTTTCGATGGACGAACTCACATCCAGACCCCACCAAAGACTCAAGAAGACTGAAGAGGAATCGGCGGCGACTAGCGAATGAGCTTCCAGGTCCTAATTAGATGCAGGGAACTGGGATCCTGAACAAACAAATTTGTAAAACTTTTATAAGACACCTTAAATGGCCTGCCATCGTAATTCCAATTCCAATAGCACTTGATTATATCTATTCCGTCATTAACAAAGGCACTAGCTATAGATTTCTTTCACGACATTCTCCTAGGTACGTTCTTGAAAGTATCATATGAAGGTCTACGAGTCCAATTACCGGTGGCAACGAGAAAAGAACCAAATCTAAGATTGATTCACTACCTATGAGTTCCTCTCGGACGAAATTTTGAATGGCAATTTAGACGGAGAATAGCTTACACTAGATAGTGTGAACATTTTCTCATTGACCTCGCTGCAATTGTAAGGAAATAGTGGGCGTTGACCGACTTCGGTGACTGTGCCTACAATGGAGGTGGCTCCGACATCACGCCATACGCTTGTTCTTATCGTAATATTTCTGGACCCACGAAATTCGCCCACATCCTCACCGCGCGTTGGTAACAGAAAAATACATGCCAGGTCTTGATTTCACTCACATCCCGTAGAGCACAAAGCCTCGTGTGATATTTACGTGCCCTGACAATACAGAGACTCGTCTCTCTCTCCATGTCAAAAATGGATTTCATATCTTCGCGCTCTCTTCTCTCCGCCGTATTCTTGTTTGTTGGGCTTTATGTCGCTTTGGGAAACAAATTACCTCAACTACACACAGATATGTTTTCAAACTCGAAAATAACCCCCAAGATCCTCATTGTTAGCTTGGTATGTCATTTACTCCTACCATCAACCCGAAATCGGTCGTATGCCAATCATGCAAGGCATTGCCTAAATATAGTTCTCTGCGGAAGCCGATGTGTGGTATGAGCACCTCCCTGAAACCCAATTTGGAGACCTGCAGGCCCAGGCCATCTCTATCCCCGGCTTGAGCCCTCAATACCCATCAGTATATTGTACCGCAGACCGGGATATTTGCCAGGTCACAACCGGCATGTCGGAGATTAACGCTGCAACCACCATCACCTCGGTCGTTCTGTCCGGGAAATTTGATTTCCGGAAGACATATTTTCTCATCGCCGGTATAGCTGGAGTAAACCCAAAGCACGCAACCCTCGGCAGCGTTGCTCTTTCTCAATTCGCAGTCCAGGTTGCCCTGCAGTACGAAATTGATCCCAGAGAAGTACCGTCACATTGGGAGACAGGCTACTTCTCCTTTGGAACTGAGAGCCCTGCTGCGTATCCAACCGAGTTCTACGGCACAGAGGTCTTTGAGCTAAATGGGGCACTTCGAGACTTGGCGGCCGGCTTTGCCTCTCTTGCGACATTGAATGACACTGATTACGCGCAAAACTATCGCTCCAAGTTCGGTTCAGCAGGTGAAGCCTACCACCCTGCCACACTGCCGCCGGCAGTGGTCAAATGCGACGTGACCACCAGCGATGTCTTTTTTTCAGGTCATCACCTCGGCAATACTTTCGAGAAAGTAGTTAGCACTTGGACCAGTGGTCTTGGCAAGTATTGCATGTCCGCTATGGAGGACAATGCCGTCCTCGAGGTGCTAGTTCGTTTCCACGTCTCCAACTTGGTGGACTACAACAGGGCAATTCTCCTCCGCACAGGTAAATAGGTCGATCTTGATTCAATAGAGTGTTTTTTGTTAATTCGCCAGCTAGGGTCCAACTTCGATCGTGCACCGCCTGGGGTGGATGCTGTCACCCATTTACGCGGCGAGCATCTGAACAGTATACAGACTGCTAGGGCTAATATATATCTAGCAGGAATAGAAATTGTGAAGGGAATACTCGGGGGGTGGGATACCGTGTTTCTTCAAGGCGTTTCATCTCCTAACTATGTCGGTGATATCTGGGGTACACTGGGCGGGTTCCCTGATTTTCGGCCTGGTGGTGGTCCGAAGGTGAAGGGCTGAGGTCTTTCAACTTGGCTCTCTTCTAGATACGGTGTTTCGTTCTGCGGTGGTAGCAATTGAATGTGAAGTATTAAGAGTTAAGGTCGTGAAACCACTCATCAATGCTTATACTTATTGAGGCTTTGCTAACGTACGTTCCGTCATTTAACCCATCACATAGTGGGGATACTTCACAAGAATGCAATTGTAGACCGATGATTTCTAAGACTGCACGATAGATTAAAGAGATTTAACTTTAAGAAACCGCTTCTCAATTCTCACTCATTGTTTTGCCCTTGGAGTAGTTGTATAGGGTACGTGGTCATCGCTGGCCGTAGCCACCACACGTGAGCCATGGACAGGGGCCACGCGACGCGTCTCCCCTCCTCTCACCTCACAGACGGTCTCACATCAACGTGGGTCGCGAGCTCTGAACCCCTGGGACTTGCTAATCATCAATGCCAGTGTTGCCGAAAAGGTGTCCCAGTGCCTCCTTGATCCGGAGGTCGTTTTCGGGTTCTTATCCCAGATTCATCAAGACGCGATCGAAGGCATTCCTCAGAAAAACGCTGCCGTAGTCGCCAATGCCGTGGCTGCTGCTCTACTCATTCACGCAAAGCCAGAAACATGGCGACCCAGGCCAGTTATTGAGAGCGAGTTTGGAAAGGGATCACCCGAGGAACGAAGCGCAGTGAAGGGTGAGGACATCGCTTAATTCCTGTCCATTGTCCTCGAGGACAGTCCGGAAGATGATGGATTAGTTTTGGAATTCATGGAAAATCTCATTGAAACACTTCCTGACCTCGATGTGCGGTCACTCACCAGCCTATGGATACCGTTTCTTTCAGCTCTCACCCACATCCTTGCATCCAACAACATCCCATTCACTGACCCAGTTTGCCAAAACCTCTATTTGACCTTTATTACCAAACTCGTGGACAATTTTGTCGGTCCTGAGCCACCCGAAGTTAGCGACAATTTAAGAGGTACGAAATCATTTGAGATAAACACCAAGGTCCGGAAACAGTGACACAAAAGAAGAGTTGAGGCGGTGGCTTTGTTGAAAGCTTTCGATCAGAGCCACCTCAAGTCGCTCCTTGGATCAAAGTATGATATGCTCTTCAGAATGCAACATTTGATAGTGGCCAGACCTCCGCCTCTTCTGAAGCAGCTCAAAAAATGGGCAGGCGCTGCCAATAAATCCTCTGCAGCCCCGAGAAGAGGTGCAAAGCGGAAGGCAAAGCAAATGAACTGATCCTTTCATGACTGGACGCTTGAATATGAGGGTGCCCAGTATTCGTGGACGCCTCGCTTTATCTGAGCGGGCTTTGGTGGCTTCTCAGACAGCCTTCTAGGCACGCCTGCGGTTGACATAGAGATTCCCTGTCACACGGAAATTGGCGGAATTTCGAAGAAATTATGGGCAAGCCTTTAAGGCTTTGAAGGCCCAATGTACATTATTGCTCGAAACCAGATTTATATCGAATTAAGTTGATTGATTTATTATACATGAGCCCTTACTGTATCCATGATAGCTTCGATCACCTCTATGGCGCGTGAAAGTCCAGGGGACTCGGCTTCCCAATATCTGAAGACCTCGATCACTCCACGGATATCATCTTGCCAACCTTGTGGAACATCGATCTTGCCACACTTGACAGCTCCAAGCAATGCTAGTGAAGCCGCCGTGCAGATTCGAAGCCCAAACCACGTCCCATGGTGACGGTGAAGGGTGTTGATGCATCGAAGAATCATGAGGCTGGCCCATATAGCCTTTTCAATGTAAGGGCCAATCAAGTGCTGGGACGCCAGATCTTGTGGTTGGTGAATGGCATATTCAAGAAATGGACGGAATAAACAGAACTTTATCTCCAGTACACGGCCGTGAACCATACAAGGGAGCTCTTCATCTGGCATAACACCCTCCGTGTACTGAATAGGTGCTGGGAGACCTGCATGCCTGGCTACATGTTAGATTCTGACAAAACCACGCCGCAAGTATTCACATACCACCGTTGAAGTTGCTGCTCGATTTCATTTACTGCCTTGACCATGATTGGTATGGAAGCTTCGGTCAACCCATGGGAGTTATTCGAATATAGCATGTTCAAAACACGATTGGTGATCCGCCGAAGGGTTATCTCCGTCAAATAGTAGAACCAGCTCTGTTCATGCTGCTTCTGCGAGTCCAATGCCTTCATCTTGGCAGGAGATCCATGGGGCCTCAAAAAGCCCTCGATATCTTCGTCCGAGTGGGAAACGGGCAGTTCTGGGGGTGACGGCAGCAAATCCGGATACTGAAAGTCTGCCAATGAGCTATTGGGCAGCTCAATCTGCGAGCGCAACTCGCACTCGGACTTGTAACAGCTCCAGTACAGCCTCTGTTCCAACCCTCGTCTTCTCTTGCCCTGCGGAGAGTCATCGCATGGGTGGCTTGGTTGACGAGACCGGCATTGCAGATAGATGTGGTATGACTTTGATGCTGAATCAAACTCTGACCATGCACTCAGAAGTCGCTGAGTGTACATTAGATAGACACCGGCTAGGAAGTGACACTGCGGGGTTAAGATGCCCTTTCCAAGTAGCCCGAGCCTCCTCTGGGCCATGTTAAAATACTTTTCGCCTACACTGAGATCATGTTTGCGCTTTTTGAGTGAATTTTGGTGGGTTCTTAGGGAAGGAGTAACCCCATATTCCTCAGATACGGACCCAAGAGCGCAGGCAAGCAGCTAGATATCACCTCAATCAGTTGACGGATGCAACACAACACAGATGCAAGACATACCACCAGGCAAGATGGAGGGTCCCATTGAAAACCATCCTCGGTCACATTACGGACATATGACCAAAGGGTGTCAGGGTCCAGGATAGGGTTCTTGATATGTACGAGATCAAGAAAGCGTTGGACTAAGCCCGTTGTCGCATCCTCGTTTATTGCAACACCTCTCGTGTGGAACGCTTGCCGATAATGGGTATTCTTCGAGACCCCTCCGTTTCCGCTAGCGACCATGTCCATGTCTTCGGGCATCTCCGCTAAGAACACTCCGTCAATGATGTAGTTGAGGGGAAACTGGTCTTCAAAGATGGGCCACTGAAGAATGGAATCTGGCGAAGCTTTGGTACATGGGATTTTCTGATCATCGTATGTGCCATGAGCATCTTCTGAGTCGTAAATTGGTTGAGAAGACTGGGCATTTGGCGAAGCAGAAAATATCTCTGGCTCCTGGGCTTGGACCGACAGGGAGCAGGAATGCCCTCTGGGGAAGTCATCTAGCTTCGAGAGAACTTGTTGTAGGCGATCGAGGATTAACAAGCTCGCTGGATCAAACCTGTTTTGACTTAGCAAGACATCTCAAGACCCGTAATGCTCGTCGCTTACGCTGAGTGGTCTTGAGAATCCTCGTAGTCACACTGGGCGTGTGAGGAAAGGCAGCTTCCGCACGTTGGACGAGCGTTATTGCCTAAGGTAGATACATAGTTATAGTCAAAAGAGATGTAGCTAAGGAGAAACGTGATCACCAACATTTAATTTTGCGAACACGGCAATTTCGGCATGCAGCCACGGCACGTTTCCTGGAGTAGGCTACAGCAGTTCTCGAACTCTCTCCGCGCGGCCTCTTCCGACGGGGGCGCGTTGGCGATTCGTTGAGGTTCTCACGTTCTAAACGAATAGGGCTTCGGATTTCAGATTGTGTCACGTCCGCCAGCGCCGGGACAGGTTCTAGTTCCGAACCCGCGACGCGCCCATTTGGGGAAGAGGACTGCTCTGCATGATGAGCCATGCCGAATGAGATGGCCGCAAAGGCGCAATGTGCAGTGCAAGGTTAATTTGACGGGGAAACCCGGGCGACGAGCTCTTCTGAGACAGTTTTTGTCATTAGAAACATCAAAAGCTGATGATGTTTGGGGAGTTGATTTAGCTCGGGGAGTTGCGGGCATTCATGAACCGTTATGCTGTGATTACTAATAGTTGGTATAATAGCTAGGTAAGCTACAACAAAATATAAGGTAGGTACCTAAGTTGGGTTAAGACTACTAAAGTATAATTTATTATAGCTATAATTTAATTTAATTCTATTCCTATTTATATATTATCTCTAGTTATAGCTATCTTTACTAGAACTAATTTAATTGAAATATATAATATATTAAAATTATAACTAGCTTAGATATTAAATTTCAATAATATGTATAAGAGGTTTATCTAAGCAAGGTTTATCTTTTTATTCAAGTATTTGTTTTCTTTTGAAAGTACTTTGGCTAGCTTCTGACTAGCCTTATAATGTGTTATTAAACCCGGCAATTAGAGCTAGATATATGTTAATGCGTGCTGCTCCAAACTCTGTCATCACCCCATGCTTTTACCCCGCATCAGACTTGTCTTGATCTTGTATCCTTAGAACCAACTATGGCTAGAACGCAAGGTTCTATGGACCCATTTACCCATGTAGGTCTTGAATCTTCCCCATACTCTTGCGACACTTTATTTCTATCCTGGGCTGGTTGCTAATACTCTTAAGCTCCGTGGCGTTCCTGAGCGCGATATCATGATCCAGGCGGTCACGCAAAATGACCTCCCTGTAGCTAAAGCTGTTGAGGAGATCGCGAGATTGACCACCGTAGCCGCAGTTTCTTCTTCAGCCAAAAATGTCCTATGTATGCATGCCATGCATGTCTCGTTTACAATCCACAACCTCGCAATGCGTATCCCGCACAATCAACAATCCAAGCTTATTGATTTTGTTGTCCGCCTTCAGCAGGTAGCTGTCCCTGATCCATCAACTGGCGGGATTTTACAGCTCGAGAACGAAGACTTCTGGTCGGATATGCCTTAGATGTCTCTTGCACTAGCTGACTATCATTACACAGGATGTAAGTTCTATGGTATAAGAGTGATGGAGTTGCTCTTGTCTAACGTTCCTGAAGCTAGTCAAGGCACCGAGGAGGAGCAGAGCCGACATTTCGAGAACTGTACTACCTATGTTGCCCATTTTTCCGAGATTGGATTTTCCTTCTATAGGGAAAGTATGGCCTGGAATTACTCCCATCTCACACGAGTTCTCGGAACCGACCAACCCACAAGATTAGACACACACGTTCTGGGTGATGGCAAAGGGATGTGTTGGGTGCTCGAAGCGCATGTCAGAGTGCACGCGTTGGCGGTCGTTGGTGTTGAGGAGGGTGTTTGAGCGGAGAAAGTGGACTTCAGGCTGAGGACCGAGGATGTAGGAGATTATCTTGGCGGCCTGTTTGTTGGCGAAGATCTGGGGTTCGAGCCATTCTAATCACCGCATCTTATTAGCACGGGGTGGGAAACGCAACGCCTAGTCAAGGTCTTGTGACTTACCTTTCTCGAGGGGCGGAACCTGTGACAGGTTTCCACCAGCCTTGGCTCCATTCTCTGCAATCTTGCTGTTCAAAGGTCTTCACGCACAGCTCTGTGTGTCAGGAGAATGCAAATTATGGATTCATCTGAACCAGGGACAGGAAGGCTTACGCGTAATGTGACAGACCCTCACCAGCTAGAAGCTTTTGCGTGTCTTTGAGCATTCTCTTGTCCAAGCGGTCAATGTTATCGAGCCCGACTGCATTCTCGAGCACGACGAAGCCATCGCTGAAGAAGGCTTCGACGACATCGTAGAGGTGGTGGTCAGACAAGCTGCCTGCATTGCGCTCCAGCCTCTCCATACCCCAGTCCCTGCCCCAACCAGTTCCCCACCGCTCGGTTGGATGTGAAGGGGATCAGGTCAATGAAAAGGCAAAGACGGTGATGAAGAAGCTCTACCATGGCGTCCCTGGATATGATCTCGACCACGAATACAAATCATCCTCAAAGAGATAGAAGATGGCAAGATCCTGGCCAACAGCCAGTCAGGCGTGTCTGTTCTCGACTGCTTTCGCGGTGCCAATCTTGTATGTTTCAGTCCGTCCTAGCCTAGATGCAACGCAGCTAACATCTATCTTCAAACAGCGCCGTACCATTGTGTCCCTCGTCCCATTCAACAATCAGCTTTGGGATGGTGCTCCAGTTCTCTTCGTCTACACCTCTTACTTCTTCCAGCAGGCCGGTGTCGCCCAGCCCTTCATCGCCACCGTCGCCGTTAACACAGTCCTCATCACCTTTGTCGCCATCAGTTTCTACACGACCGATCGCGTGGGTCGGCGTCCGCTCCTTGTCTATGTCGGTGCTTTTATGGTGCCACTCCTCTTCATCATCGGTGGTATCCTCAAGATGCCTCTCACGACCGCCAACAGCACGGCTATGATTGCCGTTTCGTAAGTCTCTCCCACTCACACACACTCCATCCTCCCGGTTTTTGGCTAACCAGTCCTTGGTGTAGATGTATCTGGGTGGCCGCCTACTCGTCCTCCGCAGGCCCTCTCGGCTTCACTTTCCTCGCCGACTGGTCTACTTCCGTCCTTCGAGCTAAGACGGCCAACATGGGCAGTCTCGCCTTCGCCCTCATGTCGCTGGTGACCACGTACTGCACGCCCCTTATGCTCGCGGCCCCCAACTTTGGAGTTTCCAACACCATGCTCTTTTACGGCACCACGTCGGCCATCTTCGTAGTTGTCATGTGGTTCGTCATCCCCAAGACGAAGAATCGCTCCCATGTCGAACTCGACGAGATGTTTGAGCTCAAGGTGCCGACACACGAGTTTGGGTCATTTGAGACGTCTGTAGATAAAGCCAGGAAGGCCGCTAAGTTAGAAAGCCGTCCATCTTACGGCAGATATTTAATTACCGATGTCTAGTACTGTTTAGGCCCGTGAATGGCAACCAAGATGTATGCCGCTCATCATCAGTCTGTGGGGATTTATGGTGTCCATTGTATGAATCTCGAGCTGTGTGGGAGATTATTGGCGTTCTCAAGATATTCGGGCTCCTCACAGGCATCTCGGAACTCTTGCTCAGCTTGACCGTCTTTGCTTTCAGGGACAGCCTTGGGGATCTAGTCACCAATCTTGCCATGGCAAAACTAGGTTACCCGATCATAGCAATGTGAGCCTACTCGGCTGAGCTTCCCTCCTACTCCTTTCTGGCCATGGAAGAGCGTCTCTAACGCAATAATTAAGTCGCCACCCTAGTCAACGGCCTACCCCCCTCAACGGTCTACCTTCGACGATTGAATTATATAAGTTAACTATATATTTCTCAATGCAATGAATTTTTTAGAATAAAAAGGAAGCTATTTAAGCTACTAGATAAAGTATAGCTCTTTAAAAATATAAGTCTTAAGTTCTACAGCTGAGATCTCAGTATCTAATTAACCCTTATACCGGTCTCTTATATTAATAATATTAGAGATCTTAATAAAGTATTTATTTAGATCCGGATAAACAGTATATCTTTTCTTTAGCTATAGGAGCTTATTTAACTCCTTTAGCTATATATTTTCAGTATTTAAGATAGATAGCTATATTTACTATTTATTAAGACCCTTATAGATCTTACAGAACAGCAGCCGAATTATCAGATCTACCTTCTTCTTATCTACAAAGTCTTATATTAAGCTATATAGCTATTATAAGCCTATTAGAGTTATTATTATAACTTCTTTCCTCTTTAACCTAACTGTAGGTATAGCCGGGGGTATTAATAGCTAGGTCTAAAAGGTATATCGAGATATAAGTATATATAGGCTTATTAATAGTACCGCTATATTAATAAGCTATATTCCAGATACTTTCCAGCCCGAGAGGATATTCTTAACTATTAAGATAGCTAGCCGAGCTAGGTAATAATACCTTAGGAAGATTATCTTACTAACTAATAATAAATCTATCTGTAATTATTATTTAGAAAGAAAATAATAAAATACTCGCTTAAGGGCAGAAAAAATAGATAAGTTAAGCAGCTATAATATATATAATAAATATAAGGGTAAGAATAGAAGCCAGATCTTATTCTTAAAGTATTCCTATATAAATTCAATAGTTTTATAACTCTTATAGCTATTAATAATAAGTAAATACCAGCTGTTATTCTTAGGCTTTATTAACAGGATAAATATCTCCTTAAGCTATACTAATATAATCTTATTAGAAGTCTACCCCTTCTTAGAAGCTATAAAATACTACTACTTAAGATAATCTAATTTAACTAGAAACTACTACTACTATATAGTCTTTCCTTTAAAGATAATAAGAGGCTTAAGGTACCTACCTGCTATACTGATATACTTAATTATTATAGTCTAATAATAAGTTCTGGACTATATCTTAGCTGCCTAGTTCTTATAAGAAGATCTGAGAACTAGGCTGTTATTACTAATACCTTCTATAATACTAGCTTTATCTATATTCTAATAATCATAAGGAGGGATCTTCCGGATATTAGGAATTAGCTTAAGTATAAAGAAATCCTTAATATAGTTAACTGTAGCTCCTTTAACTCTTAGGAAGTTAATTCTTTTATCTTAAAGGGTTCTAACCTCCGGGTTATAGTATAAAAATCCCTCTAACTAGTACTTACTGAGGGGGTTAAGTTTACCCTGTTCGAATAGTAGGAATAAAGTAATATCTCTAACCTTTATATAGGTCGGAGGAAACCTAATTAAATCTTAAATAAGGATCTATTTTATTAAACAGGCTTTCTGGATCTTTAAGAGCTGCTACTGGATCTCTGCCTCTTATTACCGTATCTTACGACCTTCTATATATATATATAGGGTTATCTAAGGGATTCCCTATTATATTACAGCTATTTACTGCAAATAGCCTGCTTTTATATTATAAATAGCTAATTAAATATTATCTTTAGAAAGCCCAGTTATTTACGAATTAAATAATATAATTTTTAATTAAAAAGAATAAAATTTATATAAGAAATCGTGCAGTTATAGGCATAGAAAATGAAGAGGTTGGGATATTCAATAGTAGACCGTTGAGGGGGGTGGGCCGTTGACTAGGGTGGCGACTTACAGGTCTGCCTGTTTAGGCTGCCCACTATTCAACGTTCCCGTTAGCATCGGACTTGGCGGTTTGATAGTCCTGGTTCTGTCTGGTGAACGGGATCTTAAGGTCCCACTCGGGGACTCATTCATGGTTACAGCGCTTAGTCTGATGCTGATGCTCGTGGGCCTTCTTAGTCTTCGTGCCCAACAACGGCTGGGTAATAGGTAGAAAGACGGGATTTATGCTGTTTGTTTTCTGGGTCGTGTGTACCGGATTTAGTGTTGTGGTTGAATACATGGAGCTTTCACTATTCTAAATAAGCTGACTTTCGAGAACAGCATACCATTGCTCTGCAATCGCCGATGCTCACAATTTTATCAACTAACAAAGGCCAACTGAGAGGATCTAGCCTACGATAATACCACCCTGTTCTTCACATGAGAATAGAACCCCGAAGTTTGAAAGTGTCTGGACGCTGCACGTAAAGTGATACCGGTTGGTCACCCTTATGCTTGCATAGGAAATGGTTGTACCTCAACTTCTATCACCATATAGCCCTCGACCAGCACATGTGACTTTTCTATTGTTGAACGAAAGTACAAATCACACTAGTCATAATGAAAGACACTTATGATATTTTGCTAATTACGTAGAACCAAAGCAACACAGAAATTTCCATCAAACCACTGTCCAACTTGTTGATTCTTTTGCCAACACCTTCTTATTCTTTTGGCCTTCAAATCTGTTCTTTATGATCCTTCTCATTGTCTTCCTTCGTAGTCCTCCTTGGTGCAATGATGATAGTAAACCAGTGCCTAAAAGCATTTGATATGCTAATATGAAGTGTATGAACTGGGTGTCAATCCCGACCTCAGATGTGGAGGAGCAGCTCGCAAGTATCATCAAGTTAGTTGCCTCACTCCTCGTTTGCTTCTAACAGCTGCGTCAACCTAGGATATTCTAGGCTCCGTGCAATAGATAGAACCGTTTGCCCATCATTTGTTTCAAGGTTCCGGTCAGTCTTTGGGTGAGCAAGGAGCTCCCCTACAGCCTGTACATCATTGCCAAACACCGCAATATGTAGGGCCGTGCAACCATCCTCGTTGGCAAGGTTGGGGTCAATGTCCGGGTGGGCCAGGAGGTATTCAATCACCTCGATGCGTTGGCGATTGGCGGCCACATGCAGAGGTGCCCAGCCTTGTATGTCTTGTTTGTTAATGTCGATACCGGCGCCTCTCTCCAAAAGCAAGTGCGTCGAGATTTCCGGGCCTCCGGATGCTGCCCACCAGAGAGGTGTTCTGCCTGTACTGTCAGTTGCATGGATATCAATCAAAGGGTGCCTTAACAGTAAACCGAAAACAGCCCGATTCGACTCTGCGCCCGCCACGAACAGAGGCGACTGCTTCACTCCGCTCCGAGCAGGCCCCGTATATAGAGTATCAAACGCATATGTAGATTCGTTATCGCCCCTAAAATGCAGCCCTACATGCATCTCAGCTTCTGGCGCGTAATTGGGGTCTATATTCTGATGAGCGAGCAGAAGTTTGACGATGCCAATCTTTTTGTTCAAAATCGCATGCACCAAGGGCGTCGTTTTGTTGTCCGTCGCCGCATTCACGTCAATGTCAACGCGTCTCAGGAGCAGTTTGATAATCTCATGGTTGCCAGAGCCAGCTGCGTAGAAGAGAGGATTGCCCGAAGGCTCATTACGGAATGAGGGCATGTTGGGGTCGATGTCGCTACGCTCAAGCAGCTCTCGGACGATGAGCGTATCAGCTCGGCCCACTGCTGTTACCAAAGGCGTCCCCCAAAATCGATCTTTGCCTCGCAGATTTGGGTCAGTGTCGGGACGCTTGAGGAGAAGCCGGACAATCTTAAGATTACCGTTCCGTATGGCTTTACACAGAGGCGGATAATGGTCGTCGCTATACTGGTTTGGATCGGTTTTCCGGTGGTCCAGCAGCAGTTCCACCATGGCAGTATTGTTCCTGTCAATGGCGACTTCCAATGGTTTCAACCCCATTCTTGGAAGCTGGGGGTCTATGAGATGATGCTGTAGAAGTAGCTTCACAATGGAAACGTGGTTTGGGCTGCTATCGCCAGTGGTTTGCCCAACAGTGGTGACTAAAGGGCTTGTAACGACAGGTCGTGTTCTGGCGTTGGGGTTGACACCCTGCCGCTCTAGAAGCAGTTTTACCACCGATATGCTCCCAAACCTACATGCCTCATCGAGAAGCAGCATCAGCTTCGTTGAAGTAACCTTGTCGTCCTGCTGATAACGGGCCAAGAGCAGTTCGGTTAGGTCAGCTTGATCCGTCTGTGCTGCCACAAACAATGGACAGCTGTCGTTGTCTTGGTCGCTCGGATGAAATTCAGGCCTGCCAATTAGAAATTTAACGACCATAGGGTGCTTGTTTTTAACTGCCGAGCAGAGTGGTGTACGGTGGCCCTCTCCTTGCAATTCAGGCTTGAGATCCATGATCTTTTCATAGGGAATTGGTTTATCAGGATCAAGCAGAATCTTGCTGATAGCCCGGCGGTGCATCACACGATTGACCCAACTTTTGGTCCGCTTATGCGGCTTGTTCTTTTCATCTGTCCATTGGAACAGCACCTTGACGACACCGTCATGCCCTTTCCGGCATGCTAGGAATAGAAGATACTGTAGCGATGCCGCGTTTTGAGGAGGGCTTTCTCCAAGAAGATACTTGAGGGCTGCGGAACTGCCATTGCAAGCGGCAAGCTCCAAGAGAGTTGCGTACGGACTAGTCCAGGGATCGCGATCAGCTCCGTAATGGAACAAACATCGAACGATGTCCAAATAGTCATTGCGGATGGCGTTGTGGACTGGGTAGCCGAAAACTGTGTGGTAAACACCTGGACCAATTCCCGAAGAGAGCAGAGATTTGACCACTTCGAGATTGCCATTCTCACAGGCAATTTGCAGAGCACCATGTGCATTTTTCAGATAGGATAGGTTCCCAGGCTTTGCAGATGCCTGTTCAGCAGTAAGGCTTCTTGGGGGAGCGAGATCGACTGACTCGACCACAGAATCGGCGGAACAGACCAACCAAGCACATACCGCTTGAGGATCACCGTTGTAGGCCGCAGCACGGCAAGCAGCATCCAGCCATTGGTTGTAGTTGCCCGAACCGAACGGCTCCAAAGTGCTCTGGGCGGCCATGAAGCTGGCCCATTCTTGGAAGTAGGTGGATGTCTTATCATGGCCCGGAGGGTCCATCTTCGCCTTGAGCGAGAGGAGCCAAGCGACGGTGGCGCCGTTCTTTGCCTTCGCTGGCACATCCCTGAGGCGATTCGACCCAAGATAAAGGATTGAACAGAATAGAGAATTGAAATCCCCTGTGGTATTGACAAAGGCTGGTCAGCGAGTTATAGCAGAACGCGACAAGGGCGAGAAAACGTACGACAAACAAGCCGAAGGGAGAGACATGGTTCGTACGGCGGTGGTGGGCGAAATAAATCGCTATGGATGAGTTTGCTTAATATATCAGTCCGTAGCTCGACTGGCAGCTCTTGCCAGCTCATCTTGGCACTATTCGCTCGGTTGAGACCGATGCTCACATTGAGTGATGACAGTTGAGGAGGATGAGGGGGTGAGATAAGCTGCAGGAAGGTGACGACGGCAAGAGTAACGAGAGGTACTTTGGTACATGGTTGGTCACGCCTTTTGGCCGCCTAATGAGGCGGCATTTGTGCCAATTAAGCGTGTTGGTGCCTGCGAGTGAGCCTTCAAGAGTGCCATCCATCCCAAGAGGGGGTGGCTGAGCCGCCTGCGCCTAAGCAATACCGCCAGAGCTGAACTGGCAAGCGGAACAGTAGAGTAAACACAAAATTGCTTCTGCTACCAACAGACATCCAGATCATGCAAGTGGCCGGTTCGGATCTGATATGTGGAGTCCTCAAGCTTGCTACGTTTCAGAAGCATGATGCTGCCTTCAGATTGCTTTATCAAAAGACTTGTTGCATTGCCAATTGCATAATAAGTTCTAAGATGGACATCTATCACATAAGTGCCATAATCAATGACAATTTTCCCCTCACATGTAAGGATTGCCAGGTCCGTATTTGGGCTGCCATAAGCCCTTCTCTTCCTTAATGCGCAGCTGTAAACCCCTCAAAATACCATACACAACGCTAAGAGTAGGCATCGCGATGCCATGCCTTTTCCCTTCTCGCAGTGGTTCTCCGACAATCGTCTCAATCTCCATGAAATTTCTATTGATAAAATCTTGCATCATACTGGGCCTATAGAACGAATCGGCCATATCTTGCTGCATCACAGAATGAACCAAATCTGACTGGAGTGTGACGCCACACGATGCAGCTGCAGCTTGAACCTCGAGAATGATGGGGAGCACCAGGTCGTCGATGAGATGCTGGCTCATACGGAGTCTCGATGTGTCCATCTGGAGAGCGGCAGCCACCGAATTAAAGGAAGCGTTGTAGGCCAGCTTACGCCATCGGGCCCCAGATACATCTGCGTCGTAGAAAATCTTGCGTTTGCCTTCTGGGTCAAGGATTTTGACGAATTTCTCCGCCGACTTCTCGACAACCTCTGCTGGGACATGCGGGCTATAATAGGGACCAATCTTTTGCCAATCAGGATCGGTATGATGAATTTTGGCAGGGGAGATCTCCTCCGCCGCGGTGTAAACCACACTGCTAAGAATGGGATTGGTGGGGAAGCGATCGATGAAGGGCATTTCGATATTGAGGCCGTTCTGAGCCAAAACGATGGTAGTTGTGCCTACCGTCACAGCTGGAGAGACAACATCAATTATTGATGGAGCTACGTCCGGAACGTTCTTTGTAGCGACTAAGATGAAGTCGAATGGAGAAATCCCTTGAACGGAAACGTCAGGTACACTTCTAATTACTGTAAAGTCGCGTCAGTATCAAGGAGTAAATTTCATGATGGTAGACTGGACGTACTATGGGTTGGTTTCCAGGACTTGACATGACCAAAATCCACAGATTCAATGTCAATCCCCTTTTCCGTCGCAGCTGCATAGTTGGACCTCATCATAGAAGTAACTTCAGCCAAACCGCCAATTTCCAAGCCATAGGCACAGACGGTACCGATCCCGCCCATACCAACAACTAGAACCCGACTCTTGGCCATGGCGCGGTAACGTGTAGATCGGCCGAAGGTGAAACAACTGACAGGCAACCTTTGTTTCGAAGTTGCTGTTTCCTTTTCCAATTGGATGATAGATAGAAACGATTAACCTTAACATGAGCCAGTATATGCGCAGGAGACAGAGGCGTATTTCTTATCTATATATCGTTAGATTGCAGGAAGAACAGCCCTGCAGCTAAGTGAAGGCCAGGGTAGGTTTTCCCTAATCGGGTTCGAAAAAGAGCACACTCACTAATGATTGCGCGGATAATTATCATGTGAAGGTGGGGATATACGGGCCTCGCTCTGTCATGCCACTTTTGATTTTGAGTTGAATCGCACCTGATAAGGGTAGTCTGACCAAGCATCTGACACACTTCCGCCTCCATTTCAAGGCGGAATATCAATGAAAAACGAAGAAACGTAAAAGGAAGGGAAATTGACTAGTTCATTCAAGATACCTGAAGCAATACTACAGCGAAATTGATACTGGGAATAACGTATATGGAAGAGAGTTCGAGTATAAAGTTAAACAGCAATGGAAGATGCCAAACACGACAACTCCAATAGTGCATAATGGATGTTCCATACCAGCAGCACTCTTGTATTATCATTTGGTCTTTTAACCCTAGGTGTGAGATTGACGAATATGCGTCCTTCCTCGGGATATACCGAGATCATTCCTGGTACCATGAATTGACTACCTAAATGAGAGCCAATTCAAGCAATTGATAGTAAATGGGGAATTATCTTCACATAGAAATTAAATTCATATCAGAGCAAGGAGCCTAGGCCACCTTTCTTATTTCGCCATTGGACATCCTGATCTCAAAATCGAGATCCACCTGAAATTCCGCATATAGAGTTTCCTATGATGATTGATTAGGTTAGATATCGCATGCTTTCTTAGCAATCCTTAACAGACTTACCGGGTCGGTGTTGATCTTGCAGGTATACTCAGCTTCGTCAGAACCGATATACTTCTTTGGTATGCCAGTGCTCTCGACCATGATCTGGATTTCGCATGAACGCTCCATAAGTGTAAATAGATAAGCAGCTTCATCCACCGTCGATCCAGTAGTCAACAGACCATGGTTTTGAAGTATTGCAACCGTCTTATCACTCCCCAGCGATTTGGCGATCCTTTCGCCTTCCTCTCCCTTCAGTGCCATACCCCCAAAGCTGTCGTATACTGCTTGGTTGTGTAAAAAGGTGCAAGAATCTTGGTTAATGATATCGAGAGGTCGGCCGAAAGTGGACCAAGCCTTCCCAGCGGGAGAATGAGTATGGCAGGCGGCATGAACATCCGGTCTGGCTTTGTGGATAGCGCTATGGATAGAAAAACCGGCAGTATTTATCGCTACCTTGTTTCCACCGATAACTTGGCCATTTTCGTTCACCTGGACCATGTCCTTTGCCGTAAGAAGTCCGAAATGAACAGCCATCCTAGAAGTGTTAGGTCAAGCTTCTCGTAGTATGTTTACTGAAACTCACGGATTAATCCAGAATGTGCTAGGGTCGACAGGATCACGGAGGCTGATGTGTCCAGCGGAACCCTCGGTGTATCCCTTACGAGCGAAAACTCTGAACGCCCCAGCCATATGCTCCAACTGCCACTCCCGTTCTTTGTACTTGTCCTCGAATTTTGGCATTCCGGGGAAGGGATAACCCCCCGTGGCCCATTCCGGATTTGAGGATGTTGCATCTATCCTGACTTTAGTAGCAAGATCCTCCCGCGTCGTTGATGTGATAGTTGTGGTTGCCATGATGAAGTCGCAAGAGTACGGTTGAATTCTTGGGGGAGGTACAGATAGTCACGGTTGAACTAGACTTTATATATCCATTTTATGCTGGGCAGCTGGCTTTTAAATGTCTTCTCGAGGGACTAACACCATGACAGCACGGCTGTTGTTTGGTGATCCAGATCAGGCAGCTGAGAGCGAGACTAACCCTGAACTTCGTCTAGTCTGTCGATAGGAGCAACATGTCCCACTTTGTCCCCCGCCATCGGCGAGGGGAAGCTGGCTTGTTATCACATGGTACTCAGCCTATAAAAGAAGTAAATGCAGGTAATAACCCCACTGCGAACGTCCCACGTCGTCAATCGCTACGGCCTTCCTCATTCCGCTGCCAAACACCAAGCCGTTGCCAACTTGGTCACTCTCTTTACAGCATCCAATGTCACAAGGGTCTATCTCACCTACTAGAAATCGCAAAACCTTCTCTGGCTGTTGGTCATGCCGAGAACGCAAAATCAAGTGCGATGAAGCGAAACCCACTTGTCGTCAGTGCATGAAAAGTCACTTGGAGTGTAAAGGTTACGGTCTTAGACTCCAATGGATCATCAACAAACAACCAGATGCGGAGTTTCCCGGTGTTAGCAATCCGCGCAGAAATATCGCTCTGGGTACGCCTCGCCGTCTTTACTGCACAACAGTTACATGACTTACACCTCTCTTGCCTAGATGCCCATACGCCAGTGCTTTCATTAGACAGAATTGATGAGATACTAACCAGCCTTGGCCACTATGATCCAAGGCACAGGCCTGCTCTGCAAGAAAATATACACATTTTCACGAAATGCTTTGGAGTGTTTCGGGATGTGAAATCCGAAGTTGATGCCTCGCCATTAACCATAGAGTTTACACCAACAAGCACGGAGGCGCAACATACGTTGAATACCGCAAGCACTACTACCTCCCCAGTAATAGGTGAGAATGCTAGTATTGATGTGTTCGATCACAACTTCTCTACACCCAAAGATGACAGGGGGTCCTTGATGAACCGCTCTTCAAATCAATCACCGAGTATCTCTAGGTTTGGCATCGATACCCACAATCAAAGCAAACTAAACGCCCGCGGTGGTTTTGCCGAGGAGATTGAGACTGGGTCTTTCGGACTTTACGAAAATGGAGTGGATTTGGCTTCCCGGTCGGTGACTCTCGGGAGGACAGAGAAGTTCCTGATACACTACTATTCGAAGCGAGTTGTAAACCTTTTTTGTGTTATTGAAAATGGGACAAGCCCGTGGAAGTCGATCCATCTCCCCAAGATACTCCATGCCGTGGGAGAAATCACCATTGAGGGGGAAACATCGAGAATATGCGAAGCTCTTGTACGCTCGTGTCTTTCGATTAGCGCTTTCTGTCTGTCGAATGATTGCGGGCTACGACTTCAAGAGACTAAAGCCCTCAGATGGGAACAGTTGGCGAATGAGTTTCGACTTCAAGCTATCAGGCTGCTCAGAAATGCGATGCAGAACGACTTTTACCCAAACAACGGCGTAAAGTACACCGACTTTCTTGCTACCACCTTATCTATGATTACAATCGACGTGAGTGTTCTTAGACCCTCTCCACATGCATTAAGAATACCGAAGGTAAACCGTGAACCTAGGTAATGTCGGGCAAAACGGACACCTGCGGGATTCATTTAGATGGGGCCTTGCGGTTGATCAATCACGGGCAAACCTGGAAGCAACAATACTCTAGCAAAGCAGAAACTCTCCACCGAATGTACTTTTACTTGCGGGCGATTTTCGAGAGCACATTGCCCCGCCATAGCCGATCACGAAGGCTACGAACCTCTTGTTCCACTGAGGAGGACGTAGATTCTCAAGACGTGTTTTGTCACAAGATCGTCGCCAAAAGCTCAGCCTGTCCAGAGCATTTAACCGAAGAACAGAAGACAGATCCAAAGATCGGAAGTTTCGAGAGCATTTATGGCGTTCCTTACAGCCTCCTTTTTCTACTCACCAAAGTCATCGACCTTATATACAAACTCTACGACGAATCCTTCGATGGCCGAATCCCACTACATCTTATGGACGAGTGTGATGAACTTGAATATTCCATAATGGATTGGCCCGCTCACACCAGCTTCCCATATGAACCGCCACATGACTATTCATCAAGCGCCAAGATCGTTCACTATCATACCGCCGCCTTCCATGAAGCGCTCATTATTTATTTTGCACAGCACGTTCGGCTTGTTGGTCACCGTTTCCTACAGCCACATATACGGGCCGTCCTAGGCAGAATGGAAGTCATTGAGCAGATCAAAGTCGAAACCAACTTGGTAGCTGCCCCGCTGTATTGGCCTGCGTTTATTGCCGGCAGTGAGGCCTTTGATGAAGCCCTGCAGAAAAGGTTTCGGAAGTGGTACGAGCATGTGATGTTCTACGGGATAGAGGCGCTGAGGACAGGCTTCTCTGTACTCGAAGAGGTCTGGGAAATGGGACCGCAGAGAGCAGATAGGGTGACGAGTTCATGGCGCGAAGTGGTAGAAAAGTCAAGCAAGGTACTGATGTTGAGTTAATAGGATCTTAGTCCTTGGGGGTCGGTGGTGAATGGAACTGATAAAACGGCAGTGGACGAACGGGATTTTGGGATCGTCCCGCGAGGTCGACAAGTAGAACTACGCTCTGGACGATGACTTTCAAACCTGCTCGTATATGAACTGGGTGAAATGAATGGACTTGTTGATCTTTTCTTCTACCAATCTCGACAAGTCATAGAAGCGGTAGCTAGAAGACAAGTTAACAATGACGGTTCTAAGGTTTGGTTCCTTCTGAATTTGATCGATTACTTCCATATATTGTTTACATACACCATTAAGGAGACCTAGCTATATCTTCAAAAGATTCTCGTAGATGCTCTTGCCCTTAGAATAAAATACCTACCCTGTAGCTCCGGCCGGGAAGCTCTCGTGAACACACGCTGGACATTCAGGTTGATATGATCATTGAGAATGCCAATCAAGGCCTAATCATTGTGTCTCGAGATCTAATCAGCTCAACGCGAAATACCACGTCGTTTAAGGGATTCTGTTTTCAATGAGGTGGATTAAGATTTACAGGTATGATGATGTCCCGGGAAATCGATGACAAAAATTGAAGTTTTATGAGCCGAGGAACTGTACCCTTTTTTTAGGATTTTGCTATTGAACTACCGCATCCGGCTAGTTGGCCACCTCTCTACCTAGGCGCTGTGGCCTTGCTTCCAGCGGGCCTCCAGGGGCTAAGGACGCTGTATTAAAAATACAGAAGGTAAAATCACATAATTATCAATATCATATCCAGTTAAGTTATTCTTACCCAGAAAAATAGATAGAGCTAAATAGTATATCTTTATCTATTAGTCGAAATTTTCGTAGAATTTAATTCCTTATTCCTTGCTGTAGTAAAGTAACTCTTAGCGTATGCAGAGATAGCTAACTAGCTGGACGTGGTGGTTCGATAGTAAAATCCTTTTTTTTATGGCGATTACCACTGCTTCTAGCGAGTATAAATTGAAGTCTTAGGGAGTGAGGCGCTATAATAGTAGCGCCAATTCAGGCGCTAATTGAGCCGAAGGGGGGTTCTCCAGGGCTTTGCTGCTTAGTCATTCTCCTCCTCCTCATCCCGTCAACTCATTTCGCGTGGTGACGACGAAGATCTTGTCTGGATCAACGAATGCATGCACGGGCAACCCTTTTCTCAATCCCGGTCGCGCTTCTCCCCAAGCAGAACCAAATTCACCCAACACCCACCGCCTCTAGAAAGCCGTCCATCAGCGACACGGCATCAATGTCGACCCGGCCGTCCGCGCCGAAAAAAGTTCGTCTGGCTTGCCAGCGTTGTCGCACTAGACGCATCAAAGTGAGTTGTCGCGGAAAGTCTGGGCCTGGTCATCTTGTTAAGTTCATGTTCCAGTGTGATGGACAAGTCCCCGCGTGCACCAATTGCGCAAAGGCTGGCCAAGTTTGCCTCGATGTGGACAGTCAAAATTCGGGCATTGTGATCCCTCGAAAGTGCGTCTCATCAGATATTCGGAAGATGGCTTCATGGCTGACCATCATATAGTTTCGCTGCAGCAGCTCGGGAGAGGATTCACTGGCTGGAAACCATCATTAGAGACCGTCTACCTGACGTAGATCTGCGGTCTGGGCCTCAGGTTGATGCATCCTTAGATCTGGAGGGCCCGGAAACACCTGCGCTGCCAGTGGCAACGTCCGCGCCTCGACTCTCTCAAAAGAGGTCGGCCGACGCTGTCCAAGCTGAACAAGATGGATCCTTCCCAGAGAGGGCTCACTCCGTCGCAATGAACTTGGGAATGCTTTCTCTGAACTCAGACTCGCCCCAAAAGCACTACCTGGGTTCGAGCTCCGGGCTTCTATTCACCAACCTCATCGGGGCATCGCCTTCTAGTACGGCATCTACTCCTCAGGAGACTGCAGTTCATGCCCAAGCTGGCGATACAGACTGGTACGAAGGGCCAAGAGAGCAAGCCAAGCAGTACTGCCTTGACATGTATGCATTTTTGAAGCAGGTGAGTGATCGCTCGGTTGTCTGCAAGAATCTATCATTAAATAACCGGAATATCACAGGAGTTGCCCCCTCGACATGATGCATTGCTGCTTGTCCACACATATACCCGATGGATACACCCTGACTTTCCAGTTCTCGAGCCTTCAGGCATCTTCAGTGCCCTGGACGCCATCTACGACTGCCTTCAAGACCCGCTGTTGGATAATGACTTCCGCAATGGCTGGCCCAGTAACATGAGGCCTTTCTATTGGAATGGACGCCAAGTAGTCCCTGGGATAACAGAATCAGGGGGGGTTACCATGCCAGTCGTTGCCTTCACGCTATTCATGATTTTGAACATTGGTGCAATTGTCAAGGTCAGGTCTCGCATCTACGAATATCCCCCGCAGCGATACTACCGAGCGGCCATACACTTCTCTAAAGACGCCTTCTCACAGATTTCACTGCCCTCTCTTCAAGGCCTGGTAATGCTGGTTGTCCACAGTATGCTGACGCCCGCCGAAGTCAACCTTTGGACATTGGTGCACCTGGCGCTTGCTTATTGTGTCGAGATTGGAGTCCATCGAGAGCAGGCAGAATTATCTGCTAGCGACTTTACGTACCAGCAAGTTAGGAGATTCACGTTTTTCACAATTTATTCCCTGGACAGGTATGTAAAAGATGTGATCCTAACTCGACATTGATGTTGGATGGCTGATCAATGGGCTACATAGATCCATCTCATCGATCCAAGGGCGCCCGCTGGGCTTTCGAGATGAAACCTTTGACATACAGATGCCTCAACCTCCAGCACAGTTCTCCGAGTCTAGAGACGGCCCCATTCCGCCGTCGTTTGCGGCAGCTGTCACACATTACTCCATTTACAAATTCAAGCTTGATCGCATCGTTTCGGACATTAAGCTTCATCTCTACCACCTTCCCGGAGAGTCGAGTTGGTTCCCGTGGCCCAAAAATTCCGTTGAGCACCAAGAGCGCATCAAAGACGCCATCCAAAATTGGTGGGATGAGGTTCGAGACGACCCGCTCGACTTCGCTTGCCTTGACAGCCGCCAACGACAAGTTTGGAGACTGAAGCTCAGAGTCAAATACCACTCGACCATGATCCTACTATTCCAACCATCGCAGGTGATCCCATCACCATCTGCACATGCCCTCGGAATATGCCTAGACAGCGCATCTGGGATTCTGAATGACTATCAACGACTACACGATTTGCAGAGCTTAGATCACGGATGGAGGGCAGTTCTCAACATCTTTGCCGCTGGAGCTACTTTGATATACTCTTTCTGGACATCAGAACAGGTTCGCAAAAATGCATCAGCAGCAGATATGGCAAAGGACCTTAGGACGTGTTCTAGCCTTCTCACTGTGGGCGGAGAATGGTGGCCATCTGCTAAGACCGGACAACGAAGTTTTGGCCTAGTTGCGGACCTTACGATGCGGAAACTCTACATGGACAATGGGGCTTCAAAAGCTCCACGCCTGGCTATGGATTCGTCGTCACCTGGTTGGCAATCTAATCATCGCGCTGGGCATGGGGAGCAGTCAATTCAAGTTCTAAGTGGAGAGGATGCCTTGGAAACGCTCGATCACCTCCCCCTCGACGAGACATGGCAACATATGGACCACGTCGTCACTCAGGATGATGGTCAAGTCACATGGCATGGAGCTGGAGAAGGGAGAGGCGGTAGGGGTGTGGATGTGATCCCGGAGATCGAGACTTTCCTCGCAGACTTCGACCGGTCTGATTTCACCTGGAGCTTTCCTCTAACCAGTGGTGAGGACATGCACATATTCGGCTCAGATCCAAATCCAGGCTTCTGAACTATCCTATCCAATCAGTGAACGACCATTAGTGTTCATGGCGTCTGACATTGCACCGATGTGGGGACACGGAACAGTCCAGCTACCATGTGTGAGCAAAGGCGAGAATCAACGGGCAGCTCCGGCCTCCACAACTTGATCGGCGGCTCGGTCGGAATTGACTCGGCTTCAACACCTTGCATGCGATGACGATGTCATGGCCTCTGATTAAAAGTCGCGAAGCTCAGTCTTCAAGACTTCAGTGGTATCGAAGATGGAGTGAAGCCAATGACCATCATGTCATTCTCAGCACTGCGATCATTCCGGCAGCTCGCCACAGCATGCCCCCGACATGTTCGGATGCTTGCGACAGCCTCGTCGCATGTCGCGCTGAGTCCGTTGGAACCAGTAAGTGACCAATTACCCAGAGATTCTTCCAATTATGCAATTGAGTGTTAATGTTTTCTCATAGTATAGCCCCCTCGATTACGGCTCTCGACTGCAATCCCTCGACCGCGTACGGAAGTTGAACCAACGACCTTTAACCCTCTCCGAAAAGCTCCTTTACAGCCACTTGATTCACGATGCCGACGACTGGGCGCTCGACGAAATCGAACGAGGCAAAACTATCCTGCGGATACGGCCAGATCGCGTCGCTTGTCATGATGCTACCGCCACCATGGCACTGCTCCAATTCATCAGCGCTGGCCTGCCCCGCGTTCAAGTACCAACCTCCGTACACAGCGACCATCTCATCGTGGCCGAGTACGGTGCAAAGGAGGATCTCACCAGGGCCTCTAGCGACCATCGCGAGGTGTATGCGTTCCTGGGTAGCGCTGCAAAGAAATACGGCATCGGATACTGGAAAGCTGGCGCAGGGATTATTCACACAACCATTTTCGAGAACTACGCGTTCCCGGGTGGTTTGATGATTGGAACAGACTCTCACACTCCCAATGCTGGTGGGATGGGCATGATGGGCATTGGCGTTGGTGGCTCTGATGCTGTCGACGCCATGGCCGGTATGCCTTGGGAGCTGGTCTGTCCCAAAGTTGTGGGTGTTCGCCTAACCGGTCGGCTCTCTGGCTGGAGCTCATCCAAGGACATCATCTGCAAGCTGGCTGGTATTCTGTCCGTGTCCGGGGGCAAGGGAAAAGTCATTGAGTTCTTCGGCCCTGGTACAGAATCACTAGGCGCCACCGCAATGGCCACGGTCTGTAACATGTCTGCTGAGATCGGATCGACTTCGTGCATTTTCCCCTACTCAGAGGCCATGGGTCGATACCTCTCGGCCACGAAACGGGCAGACATCGCACAGCATGCCAACAAATTTAAAGATGCGTTGCTTGTTTCAGACCCAGGTAGCGAGTCGTTCTACGACGATATCATCGAGATCGACCTATCCACGTTGGAGCCGCACATCAACGGCCCCTTTACACCCGACTTGAGCCACCCTTTGTCGCAGTTCAAGCAGCATGTCGAAGAGAGCTCCTGGCCATCCAAGATCAGTTACAGCATGGTTGGCAGTTGCACCAACAGCTCGTACGAGGACCTTTTGAAGGTTTCCAACCTCGTGACGCAGGCCAAAGAGTCAGGCATGCACCGTGCTAAAACACCATTCATGGTCAGCCCCGGCAGCGAGCAGATCCGCGCCACGGCAGAGGAGGCGGGCATTCTGTCTACGCTCAGGGAGGCTGGAGCTGTGGTGCTAAGTAATTCATGCGGCCCATGCGTGGGGCAGTGGGATCGAAAAGATGTTGACATTAAGGGGGCAGAGAGCAACAGTGTGATTTCTAGCTTCAACAGAAATTTCACGGGACGCCATGATGGAAACCCTTCCACACACTCATTCGTCACATCTCCCGAAATCGCCACAGCTTTTGCCTTTGCGGGTGATCTTACATTCAATCCTACTACGGATCTGATTACTTTCGTCGATGACTCTGGTTCGCCGACGGAGTTCCGCTTTGCGCCTCCGACCGCCGATGAGCTGCCCGATTCCTTCTTCCCAGGCAATGATTTGTATCAAGCACCTGTTCTCGCCGACACATCGGAATACAAGGTCGACATTGATAAGAATAGTGATCGGCTGCAACTTCTGGAGCCTTTCAAGCCATGGCAAGGGGGAAACGCCAACGACATGGAAATTCTGGTGAAAGTCCAGGGCAAATGCACCACTGATCATATCTCTCCCGCAGGCCCATGGTACAACTACCGAGGCCATCTTGAGAACATTAGTCACAACATGCTCCTTGGAGCCACCAACGGTTTCCTCCCCAATGCCACCTCCCTCCAGATGGTTGGCCGAGCAGAGAACCTGCTCACGCATGACATTGAGCCGATCCATGAGGTTGCTAGGAGCTTGCAAAGCTCTGGCATCCGGTGGTGCATTATCGGCGACCATAACTACGGCGAGGGCAGCTCCCGTGAGCATGCGGCCCTGGAACCTCGGTACCTAGGGGGAGTTGCCGTCATTGCGAGAGGCTTCGCTCGTATTCACGAGACGAACCTGAAGAAGCAAGGCATGCTTCCGTTGACATTCGCTGATCCTGCGGATTACGATCGTATCAAGAAGGGGGATCGTATCACGCTGCGCCATGTAGACGGAGATGGTTTTCAGCCCGGAAAGCAGGTCACTATGGAAGTACGATCGAAGGATGGGGAGATATGGACGGCACAATTAAATCACACATACCACGCGCATCAGATTCAATGGTTACGTGCGGGCAGTGCGCTCAACCATATTAAGAAGACGTTGCTTGGGTGAAATAAATAGGCTGTCGAGGGAATATGTCATGGCACTGGATTTAGAGTATTTGATGTTCAAAGTCCCTCTTGTAAATGGAGTTATCAAATATAGGTTCATCAATGGTTAATCAAATGTATATGTCAAAAATTTTCTTGTTTGGCCAAGGCAACTTTAGTTACTTATCCCATTGTTCCATATCTTTATCTATCCCTATAGGAGAAGGAAGCTACATAGCCAAAATAAGACTACCTTAAGTAGATGTCCAAGAAAAATTCGGTTTTCACATCCCGGTTGATTGCAATGCCAATATATCTCAAATATTGCGTCGAAAGTACAATTGATTTTTCAAAACATTATTCACCGCTTCAACAAGGAAACCAAGCACAAGAGATCGCCTCGGTCCCTCGGGCTGATCCTCATCTCGAGTGTTGTTGGGGTAACTAGGTATCAGCTTCTAGTTGCTAGCCCCTGCATAGGTGAATCAAGTCTTCTGCATATTTTGAGCCCCCAAGAAGAACAACTCGTTCGATAAATTACTTGTGTGCATTCCGGAACACCATAGATGAGACTTTGACTAATTTGCATTCCTCTGCGGAATACTCCTATGAGGGTTCCTCATTATTTACGGCAATGGTCACCCACTTCGTCTGGGTCACATCACTCAAGAGTGCCGAGCTCACATGCGTGTTGGAAGATATCGATTGGCTAGAAGAGTGGGAGGCAATCGATACTTGGCAATGCTTGACAAATTCATCGTTCAACAGGTGTACTTGATCCCCACACGATTTGTCGATACTTTGGCACTGACGAGAACCAGCCAATTGCAAAACCAGTATTTGCACTCTGCCACGGGTATCTCCAAGAACCATAGACTAGAGCTGCGCTAAATAACTGGAGATGTTACTGTAGGGGGCAGCTTAGCCGCACACAAGTGGCACGGGACATCCATTATCTCCCCACGAGGTGGAGGAGTAGTCCGTAGCGGAAATTGGGGTCACTCCTATTGGCCAATGTGAGTCACGGCGTTTTCGGGACCATGCAGTCAAACTCATTCCGCAGCTGGAGCTGTCCGCAACATCAAACTTTGCTCTCTCAACTCCCTGGGTGGCTCCGACGACCCCAAGAATGAGCGTGGCATTGTGGAATCATTACCCACTATCCCTCGAACCGTTCCTGGGGAACTGCGGGGTATCTTCTGGGGCAATCCTGTTCAGTCGAGACGGCTGACCATTAGCACTATAATTGTCAAGGTTGACAACATTTATTATCAACAGGCTGCCCAACCTCATCGAACTTGGCTTCAGCTGTCAGTTACTGGTGGTTCATTTCAAGCTTGAGATTGACAACTCAAAGTCTATTGATCACATTACCTTGCTCATCCATCTCTACCTTTTCTTGATCCTTCGCCATGACGGCTTCTCTGAAGGAAACGAAGGAAGATGTTTTCCATGCATCCTCAGATCATGTCGACGAGTCGGCGTCCCAAAAGGAGGGCAATGCCGTCGTTGGCCAAGATAATTTGGGTATGACGCCAGAAGAGTATGATGCGGCGGAGAAGAGCCTTGTTCGCAAGCTGGACTTGAGTCTTGTGCCAATGGTGTGGCTTCTTTATCTCTTCAACTATCTTGACCGCAACAACATCGCGTCAGTACCCAATCTTCACTTTGATCAAAGATCTTTGCTAACATATCTTATCGCGTATAGACAAGCAAGACTTAGCTCCTTCGAAAAAGACCTCGGTCTCAAAGGAAATGAATTCAACGTCGCCGTCTCGATTCTCAATGTCGGTTACATGCTCATGCAGCTTCCAAGGTAAGCAATATATTTCACGACTAGGCGAAGCACACATTTCTCACGCAGCCTGCAGTAATATGCTTCTCACTCGGACTCGGCCTTCCTTGTATATTCCGTTCTGGACAGCATTGTGGTCGATTGTCTCCGCAGCTACGGCCGGTGCCAGAAACTACCAACATCTCCTTGTCATCCGATTCTTCCTCGGTATCGCTGAAGCTCCCTTCTTCCCAGGTGCCATGCATCTTCTTAGCTGCTGGTACCCGCGGAAGGAACTTGCCCGACGAACGGCTATCCTCTACTCAGGTGTTCTCCTGGCTACCGCCTTTTCCGGTCTTATTGCCGCTGGTGTCCTATCAGGTCTCGAAGGTGCGAGGGGTATTGCTGGATGGCAGTGGCTGTTCATCATTGAAGGTGCTGGAAGCTTTGGTGCAGCTCTGCTTGGCTTTTTTCTCTTGCCTGATTTTCCGGGTCAGAAGAGTGGAACGGTCAAATGGCTTTTCACTGAAGCTGAACAAAAAGTCGCCGTTGAACGCATCAAGCGAGACCGTGTCTCCCTCCCTGAGGAGGACAACAGTGTGTGGACAGGCCTGAAGTTGGCCGCCAAGGACATCAGAACTTGGGTCTTTGTAAGTCCCTGGTCTTGTTACAACTTAACCTTTAAATTTGGAAACTAACATACCTAACAGGTCGTCATGCTCACAGCCAACCACAGTGCTTATGGCTTCAACAATTTCTTCCCAACTATCGTTCAAGGCTTCCAGCTGGGCAACAAAACTCTCACTCTCGTCCTTACCGCACCTCCATATCTGCTCGCGACGGTGGTGGCTTTCTTGACCGCTTGGTCCAGCGACCGACGCAAGGATCGAGGATTCCACATCGCAGTGCCGCAGGCCGTGGCTTGTATCGGGTTCATCATTTCCGTATCGACGCTCAACAATGCCGCACGCTACACAGCCGCCTTCTTATACATCTGTGGATGCTTCTCATCCAACGCCATGGTATTCAGCTGGGCCAGTTCCACCCTCAATCAAACGGTTGAGAAGAGAGCTTGTGCCACGGCCATCATCAACCTTCTCAGCCAACTTGGCAACATCTGGAGTCCTTACTTCTTCCCGTCGACCGATGGTCCTCGTTATGTAAAGGCTAACATCTTGATGATGGCATTCTCAGCCTTGTCGGTTGTGACGTGTGTGGTTATGAAGTGGATGCTGACCAAGGCAAACCGGAAGTTGCGAGAGAGTGGAAACGACTTGAATCTGTTTACGCTGTAAAGGCACGGATTGAACGGTTTTGGGGTAGCTTTGATCAGGTCGGAGAACAGGGTGAAAGGGAAATGTTGGCGTTGTACATCAACCGAAAAATTGGCACCAAATACTTAGCATCGTTTAGTCAATAAAGATTATGCTATGTGAACACATTTCGCAGCCTAATTCGTACCCAAGAAGAAACTGCAACATCACTATAACAAGGGGAGACTGTTCGTCCTTAATGTATTCAGGATAATGCTCATTCTTTCTGTCCCTAATAGTTTTCGCAAAGCGTTATTAGAGCTATTAATGGACATTATAACCCCATTGGCACCTGCATGACACTGACGGGATGCAATTATTGGTGGTATGGCAACTCCTGTTACTTATTGTAGATGATAAATAGACATCGGCACGGATGAGTCAACAGTTATGCATATAATTGCGGTGATCAAAACTAAGTATATTGGAAACAATGTAGTAGTTGGTCTGCTTCTTGTGCGTAGAACAATCAACCTCTCAGCTAAGTAATGCTTGCTCCTACTGATGCTGAGTTATCGAACCCCTCCTCATAAAATCCAGCACATTTTGATAAATAGAAAAGCTCAGTGCTCCAGACACCTGTTGAAAGTCCCTATCAGTTGCTGGCAAATCGACCAGATTGATCCGATATAAGACGAGTTTTACTTACAGAGAGCCTCAATAGCCTGGGTGTAGTTCCCTTCCACAAGCCGGTGACACCTGATTCGTGATATATCAACCGGAGAAACTGCAGGGTGCCTTTCTTTCCCCTCGCTGCACTCAACCCTTGCATTCTCGTTTTGATGGTATCAAATGGCATCGTCGCGTAGACTGTTATGATTCCTGCTAAAGCTCCTGCTGCCGGAGCTATGAACGTTCCATATCCTTTCCGTGTAAGGTATGGCTCGATTGCATCGAAAATCGCATGGTAAGAAGTAAACCTCACAAGGGCATTGGAGCCTTGCTTTAACGTCACGGGTACAACACCACGGTACAGACCTCTCACTCCTTGGGTCTGGAGAGTAGACCAAATGACGTGCCCGGTGGAGGTGAACTTACGGGCACCTGCCCTGTCTTCCACAATCTTGGTTTTGATGCTTTCACCTGGGGTCACAACAGTAACACTTTCAGCTATTCCAGCTGCGACTCCAGCGATCATGTTAGAGAGTTTAGTAGGTTTTCTTGTATGAGAGTCTTTTGGAAGCCTGCTTCTAATGCCATCAAAAGTGAAGAATCTCACTCCTGACTTTGAAGCATTTGAAATGCAGAAAGCTCCCGCTCCGGTATACAGAACCCCGACTCCATGTTCCCTAATTACGGTAGCCAGAATTCGTAATGATGATACTGATGATGCACCGAGCAACTGCTTTCGTGTTTTTACATATTCAGTTGGATACTATTTGATCACACCGTAAGCAACAAGCCTGTTTGCAACATGCAAGGTGCTATGAGTTGTTCGTCTTACTGTAACAAGAGACTCGACACCCCCGGCAGCTGCACCAGCAGCTATCGATTGCAGAGGAGATGGAGCTTGAGATCTATCGTTCGGCATTTTGGTGGACGAATGGATGATGGCGAATGACCCTCGCACCCGTAAAAGGCAATCCAGCTATTGTATCAATTACATTGATACCACCCTCGGCAATGCACTTGCCCTCAATTGTGATTCGCCCTTTCTTTGTCCAACTAACACTCATATCTTCTACAGCCGGTCGAAGCGTCGTGCCGTTCCAGGATGGTCTGGAACTGACGGGTCAATCCACGTCGGAGCACTTAGCGGGGGTCGGACTGTTCCACGCTTCCCGGGAGGACAGCTCCGAGCCTTTGCCACCCCCATGTTTGGCGAAATCTGGAGTCTGCAGCGGTCCCAGCTTTAGTGCATGTAATTTATGGTCAGGTGAGTTCCAGCATATATCCACAGGTACAAGAGGGCGCTGGAGACATTGTGATATGCTTTGGCTACAGAACATAGCGTTCTCTTGCAACAGACCTCACAGCAGCTAAACCAATCACGATGCCATCCGAAATAGTAGAGGCTCACCACTCCCAACTTTTGTTCCCAAAAGGGGGCTGGGACACTCACCATCACATTTTTGAACGTGAGATGCCGATTCACTTTCACTGTCGTTGCTGTGTATGCTGACCCCTATAGCACATGTGTTTCCATACAGCCCTACGCGGCATCTTACACCGCCTCCGGCGACCATCGAAGCCTTTGAGAATTTCCGTCGACGGTTAGGCATCACAAATTCAGTCCTTACCCATGGACTGTCCTATGGTGATGACTGCTCTTCGCTGAAAGACTTTGTTGGTCGACTGGGGAAGCAAAGCACCTCCGCTGTGGGCGTGATCGATCCAGAAACAACAAGCGACTCTGAGATTCTTGACATGCATGAGTCTGGAATTCGGGGAATTCGCGTCAATTTATATCATTACAAGGCAATGGATGATGTCAATCTACAAAAGAAAGCGTTGCTTGCACACCTCCAAAGATTGGTCGACTTGGAACTACCGTGGAGTTTGACGATGACCACCATTCAGACTGGCTTCTGGGATAATTTGGCACCATTCGTTAGGCAGGAGATTGTACCGTCTGGCAGACAGCTAATCACCGATCATTTCGCGCTCCTCAAGGCTCCGAGCATGCTCCCTCCGGAGTATCGCGAGGATCCATCCAAGCAACCAGGCTTCGCTGCCATCATGGGGCTTGTAGAAGATGGGCATTTGTTTGTGAAATTAAGTGCCCCATACCGCGTGAGCGAGCAGGGTCCGGGATATGAGGATCTAGAATTCCTTGTGCGCGCCTTTGTGGCTACCAATAAACATCAGATCTTATGGGGGAGCGATTGGCCGCACACTCCGAGGATGAAGGTTCGCAGTCACGAAGAGGCAATGAAAGAAACGCCTTTCTTGGAAGTTGATGATGAGAAATGGCTCCAGACTCTTAAATCGTGGCTGACCGATGAGGAATGGGATTTGATTATGGTTCAGAACCCAAGAAGATTGTTTGCAGCTTGAAATTTTCGGATCTTTGTAATATAGAACTGATGTCATGTAGATTTCCAATCATACTTTTATAATTCAATATCACTGTATACAGGTGGTCATCTTCAAGCTCAGCTGTCCGACAGAACGAAATATTCTCATCAATCCAAGTTGTTTGTATTCAAAACTCATGCCTGTATGGTCTAGAAACAAAGCAAACCCAAGCCCTGATACAAAAGGCACTCGCCCGTACAGGCTCTTTTTTACCACATGTAAATGGAAATAGAAAATGTCATTTAGTATATATAGCTGTTATTGTAGACTATTTATTCTTTCGAACGGTTTTGATCAAGTGCCCCATTGCCTCCCCACTACGAAGGGCTTTGAACATTTTGTCGTCAACTTCAGCTCGCTCCTCACATATCTCATTGACGCGTTCAATGAGGGAGGGAGGGACCACAACGACACCATCAGCATCACCCACTAGAATGTCACCGGGGTTGACCCAAAGGTCGTCTTTGAACTGGAGCGGGATATTGACTTGAGATGCCCGAGTGAAAGTGTTTGAGCCCAGAATCGACTGGCCCTGGGCAAAGACCTGGGTGAAACTGGGTTAGTCATTGACAAATTATTTGGCAGTCAGTCGCCACTCACAGGAAACTTCATCTCTTTGTGTTCGTTGATATCCCGCATGCGCCCGTCGATAACGACCCCCTTTGCACCGAGATACTGAGCCCTCGTTGACATGAGACCGCCCCAGCAAGCCGACGGCAGACCTTTGGGCTGCTGGATGTACATGATACGCCCTTCTTCGTTGTGATCCACAAAATGCTTCTCAAGTGACGGCGCTGACGAATCATCAGACTTGACCATCTTGACCGTGATGGCTGAGCCGAATATACGTGTGCTAGAATCGGGAGAGAAGAGACGGATTCCATCTAGGAATCCGCCATTGGGATACTTCAACTTCACGAGAGCATCACCAATCTTGAAGATGCAAGTTAGCGATTGATTGATTACTCAATGTTGGTGGGGAGACTAGGATGGGGTCTTACATCACAGCTGGTGAATCTGCGGAGAACTTCTAGGGATCGGATTGAAGACATTGCGTCGATGTGAAACTCAATTCAATCGACTCGGTTGAGTAAGCCAGGAGGTGATAGAGAGCATCAATTAGAACAATCATATTCCGGCCAGAGCTGGAGTGGTTAAGATCTGGCATCGGATGCTTCCGCCAGCCCGTGACACGCGCTAGAAATGCCTCGGATGCAAGCGGCGATGTCTCCTCCGATGCGCCTGAGCAATGGGACCAAGCCAAGGACTTGTCCGTCGTGGGTTTATCCGAAGCTTACTCCGCACAAATGATGCCACTACATCATGATTCACCCACAGCCTTCCGGTCAATACACGGGCTAGTCTCAAATGTGCCTCTGGAATGTCAAGTGAAAGTACCACATGGAAGATCAAATGCCGGGTCAGAATTTACTAGCGGGCGGTTCCTTGATAACATGGTGCATGTATTTAGTCGACATTCTGAATGAGTATCCGAACATCTCATCATCTATTGACTCCAACTCAAACAATTCTTTGTTTCGGGCACATAGTTTATTAAAAGATCCGAGCGGCTGAGAAGGAAATTTACCAACTCATGATTTCGCCTGTGCTTGTGCCAAAAAAGAATGTCGAGACGACCCAGACACGTTAACCACAACTGAGATTATGTACACGCTCATTTGCCATCGGAGCTAAGCAAGATCTCTTTTGAAGGCTAACGCGAGATGGCGCAGTCAAACAATCCAAGTAAAACGCGTCAATCGGGGACAGTACCATGTCTCAGGTACGAACCAGGGGCTCCGAAATGGCGGTCAGCAACTCCACAGGGAGTGCAGCCACGGTCATTTTGAATCTCTGGTGCTTTCATCTCTAAGCTTCAAGCCCTCTTCTTAAAATTTAGATTGAGATGTTGAAGCACACAGTAAAATGCACGGGAGCTAACGCGACACGACCTGTCTCTTCTTCGCCAAGCCGCGGCTGAGGTTGGTTTGTTATGATCTCGTGGGTGGATCTTCTTTAAACAACCGGATCACAAGTGGAGACTCGGTGTTTACTTCAGAAATCTTACCCTGCAGACCCAACGTAGAGCCTGAGAATAAACATCGTTACCTTATGAATCTATCCTAACAAACTTTCTCTTACGTATAGGTAGATTATAATGTTGAGTCTCATTTTGGAGAATATCGAGAATAAAACTTGAGCCATTTGCTCCGCGCTATTTATGAAAGTTAAAGACAGTTTGGAGAGTGAGCGAAAACCCGATTTCGGAGAATTGTTTTCTAACACACAACTCTACTTCTCAGTCCTACGCGATTCAGAATCAACTTGATTTAGGATAGTCGTAAGCCTTTGGAAAAATTAAATTACTTTAAGAGGTGGAAATTCTTCGATCAATGAGAAACGTCGTGGTCCGGCGGATAGTGATGAAAAATCATGATGAATCTGACGGGTTTTGCCACGAGTAAGCTGTTCAGTGGAACCTTCCCACTAAGGAAGGTTGTAGGTCCATTGATGATAGGCAAGGTAAGACTGTGGCAAGCAGTTCCTAAAGCAGTAGGTCAATGATTCTTTTCGGAGGATGAGTGATATATAAGTATGAGTTGTCTGATAATCAAACTAGATGCGGCTGTCTCCTTTTTTCTTGGTTTTGGATAGACAGCGATATACGCGGAAATCTTCATTCTTGGCACGATGCGTCTCTTTCTGCCAGTCATTTTAGTTGCTGCATTGAGTCACGGTTTATCTACAAAACACGATATTTCAAGATGTGGCAACCCGGAGCCTTCCAGAGAACTCCAGGAAGTTTCTCGCCTACTCTCCGTTGAAGAAAACCAAGTTCGTGACTTTGAATTATACACAAAGGACACTTTGGCTGTGGATGTGTATTTTCATACAGTCTCCGCGTCCTCAGATACCCTACTTTCGGTAAGCTTTGGGCTTTATGTTTGAAAGGTGAACAGTAACACGGCTGACAGAATGCGAAGGATCTGACCCTAAACGAGCAATTCAACGTCTTGTCTGAGGACTACGGGGTGTATGACATCAATCTAAACCTGGCTGGAATCTCAAAGACGGTGAACGCAACTTGGTCTCGTTTTGAGGATCAATTGGGCATGAAGACGCAGCTTCGTAACGGGACATACAAAGACCTTAACATATACTTTCTTGACTCTGTCGGCGGAGCATACGGCGTATGCCCCTACCCCTTGAACACGACAGCTGGATCAATTGACTTTTACTTGGATGGGTGTACTGTACTGGCGACTACTGTACCGGGAGGCACCGAAAAGCCTTACGACTTGGGGAAGACGGCCACACATGAGGTCGGCCATTGGTTTGGTCTATTTCACACGTTTAATCGTGGATGTGATGGTGGTGACGAGGTAGATGACACCCCGCCACAGGCCACTGCTACTTATGGCTGTCCTTTAAGCAAGGACACTTGCCCTGATAAGCCTGGCGAGGACCCTATTCATAACTATATGGATTATTCTGATGAGTAAGTGTGACCCCCCGCTTCATCTTTCAGTAATCCAAAATACTAATACGCAACGTCTAGCGAGTGCATGTATGAGTTTACTCAGGGCCAGATTGATCGGATCCTAAGCTTTTGGACACTTTACCGGAGTTGAAGCGCAAGCCAACTCAGACTGTTTATAATGAAATTTGGAACACTATGTCGTGTTAGTTTTATACCTGTTGTGTTGTGTTAGCCAAAAGACTGTGTTGCATCTGCCACAAACAATGAGATGCTATCAGATGTCGAAGTGGTGAAGATTGCATTAGGTACATAGACTTAGGATTTACCGACAGCCTTTTGCCGCTTATAAATGCGCTCAGGGTTTTCTTGAATCCTACTCTTGGCGGTACATGATGTTTGCATCATACGCTTGGCGGTGATTCATGTTTGTATTGGAAAATGAAATCCCACAACCCGGACAAACAACAACGTGGAACCGAGCTTTATGATGTATTAGGTAATTTGATCCAATGAAGCAAATCAAAGATGAATTTTTGAGAATTCCTGTTCAGCACACGGACCGCCCATTACTAAAGTCCCATGCAGCATGCCAAGACTGTAAGACAGATCTACCTCCTTTCCCACCCTTTCAGGGAAGATACCCACAACCAAGATCAAAGGATACGACACCTGTTTATCAGTGGCAATGGCGGTCAGATTACAGTTCATTAAAGTCGCTGTAACTAGATGATCTTCCTTGCTGCCAAGGACCCCGCCAACCTTAACTTCCCCACGCTACCCTCGCCTTGCAGGTATTTCCTTGAAAATAGGGTATTTCCCGAGCAGGCAGCAGGATTAATTCTCCATATATGGGCATAGCCACCCCCGCAGAAAGGGATGAACTAGGGCAAGCAGAGATTGTCGATAATCCCAGCAAGATAATATGCATTGCAGGTTTCTTTGTTATCTGGCCACGGCTCAATGGGCCCTTGGGCTTCAAGCTGGAGCAGAATCGACAAAAACTCCGGACTGTAAAGCCTTCCCAGGCAAGGCTACCTGGCCAGCTCGTCAGCAGTGGGACAGACTGAATGCGACTATATCAGGCCGTTTGATTAAACCTCTGGCTCCAGCGGGTGTCTGCCATGCCGAACAACCAAACTTCAGCAAAGATGCGTGTGAAGCCCTTGGGCAAGACTGGACAGGATACAATTTTCATCTAGATGATCCTGTGTCGATGATGTTCGCAAACTGGGCCAATAGTACCTGCACACCCGACACTTCCAAGCCATGCACAAAGGCTGGCTACCCGGCGTATGTGGTGAACGCAGAGTCAGCAGAGGATGTCAAAGCTGGAATAGATTTCGGTAAGAGTTCCAAAATTCCAACTAGCGAATACTTCTAAATGCCACGTAGCACGAGAGAAGAATGTACGACTGGTCGTCAAGTCAACTGGTCATGATTTTCTTGGACGATCTATTGCGCCGGGGAGTTTATCAATCTGGACGCGACATCTGAGATCAATTACTTTCCACAAAGGGGAGTACAAGCTAAGTGGAAGTGACACTGTCATCCAAGGCGATGCTGTTACCGCTGGAGCTGGTGTTGGCATGTATGAGCTTTATCAAGCCATGGATAAATATGGAAAGGTTGTGGTTGGAGGTGGTGCTCAGACCGTTTCATTAGGGGGCTATCTGACTGGTGGTGGCCACAGTCCTCTTGGCCTTCATTATGGACTTGGAGCGGACAATGTCCTCGAAATGGTTGTTGTTACCCCTGCTGGGGAGATTCTCACCGTGAACGAGGAGCAGAGCCCGGATCTTTTCTGGGCTTTGCGGGGGGTAGGTGTTCTCTCTCACTCTTCGAATGAAAGGCTTGTGTTCAATTACTGACCTATGAGTACAGGGCGGAGGTTCGACTTTCGGAGTTGTCATCTCCTACACCATTCGAGCATATCCCACACCTCAAGTTCAACACACACTTGTATTTACAATCATCCCCTCAAACTCGTCTCGGCGTAACGAGTTCATGGGATTCATGATGGGAAAAGTCCCCGAGTTGATGGATTCTGGGCTTTCAGGCCTCTGCATCGTGGACCCGGATGGGAAAACCTCAGACGTGTATAATCTCCCAGCCAACATGTCCATGTTTGCAGGTTCACTCACGCTCTTGGATCGGGGCCCTGATGATTACATTACTCTCCTTGATCAATTGAACTCTACGCTGCAGGAACGCTTTGGGGGAGAAGCTTCACTTGTGGCGGAAAAGCCAAAATCATATGGGACCTTTCTGGAATGGTTCTCCTTGCAGACAAACCTGCAACCTGGCCGCACGTTCCTCATAGAATCGTGGTTGCTTGACCGAGATACCCTCACAAACAACCCGGATGCCCTTGTCGAAGCTGTGACATCTGCGGCCAAGCCCGCACGTACCATATACTTCTACAACTTTGCTGGTAAGGGTGTTCAGGCGGCCAAGCCTCGAGGTGGCTCGACTGCCATCCACCCTGGCTGGCGAAAGGCATACACCCTGGCGAGTATGTAATCTAATATCTTCAACTGGATCACACCGACATGAAGTGCTAAGAGTTCAATAGTTTCTGATGTGGAATTTGACCCATATAGCGAGACATCCGAAATGGAAATCGCTCACAGCATGATTGAGGCGTACAAGCCACTTCGAGAGCTGGCCCCGGGGATGGGTTCCTACCATAACGAGGTGAGTGTGTCAGTGGCGCCTTATATCTCTCATCAAACTCAGATCTAACAGAGCAAAAGGGCATGATTTATGATAAGAGCCCAGATGAAACTTTTTGGGGAGACAATTACGAGCGTCTCTTGGAAATCAAGCGCTCGATAGATCCGGATGATGTTTTCTGGTGCACTCCATGTGTGGGAAATGACAGATGGGAACAAAAGGAAAATGGCATGCTTTGCAAATTGTAGGAAAGTTGCCTCAGATTCTCAAGTTGGGACAGCATAGTTCTAAGCTAGACAGTCTCCTTGTGTGTGACCTCCACATTGTATTTGACGTCTTTGGAAACCTCGGCCACGGCATCGCCTTCACCGAAAACCACGGCCATTTCCTCCAATGTATGGCCACGTGTTTCTGGGTAGAGGAAATAGATAGTGATTGTAACCACGACAAGAATCACTGCAAATACGACATAGTACTTCCAACCAATATCATTCAGGGCGATTGGGTTAACAAACGTGTTGAAGAAGATGGCTGCATATGTGGACATCTGTGTAAGCGCGGTTCCTCGGGCACGGAGCGTGTATGGCCAAATTTCGGCAGGATATGATACTATGAGCGGAGTACTATCGAGTTAGAGTAAGCAAGTGTTGGCTAAAACTTTTGGGGATCAGATGAAGTGTGATACTCACAAAGCAATGTCGTAGAAAGCATAGTAAATGAAAAGGAAAGGGATCACGGCAAGACCGGTAGGCGCGTTTCCTGTGGTGGCAAACGATCCTGAGAGGCCGGAGATCAGAATGAAGCTGACCAGCATTCCGATAGAACTGATCAGGAAAAGAGGCCGCCGTCCCAATCTGTCAACGAATGCGGCAGCACCCACGGCAAATATCAAGTTCCAGATCTGTAAACAGCCGCTGATCAAAGTTTGATCGGTCACTGATGTGATTCCGACCGTCTGTAGGACAAGGGCCAGATAGTACGAAACGACACCAACACCGTTCCACTGGGCAAAGACACCAAGAGTGATCGAAATTGCAGCACGATGTCGGTTTCCTGGAGTTCTGAAGAGATCCATCCAAGAAGTACTGGATGCTGCATCCTTTTCCGCCTGGATTGCCGTTTCAATCTCTTCGAGTTCGAAATCAACAAGGGCAGAATTTTCGTCACCACCTGCGTGGAACTTTGTCAACATCTTCTTAGCTTCGGCTCGTTTGCCTTGCGAGACTAGGAAGCGTGGAGACTCGGGAACAAGTATGGCAAACGGCAGCACCATGACTGGTATGGCTGCTTGGAGAATAGAAGGGATTCTCCACGCCCAAGAATCGCTGTAGTTCCGTGTTCCAAACGTTGCCCAAGCAGCTAGTAAGCTACCTACGTACCAGCCACTATTGTAAAGGGATGTGAGAAAGGCTCGATGCGTAGGATATGCGATTTCAGTAATGATTAAGGGTGAGAGTCCACCCCACCAGGCGCTGGGCTGGCCAAGGAAGAAACGACCAAGGATGAAGGCAGCTTGATTTGGGGCGAAGGCTTGAAGAAAAGTACCAAGAAAGAGAAAGGCAAAGCCGATAAAGAGGCCCTTTTTGCGACCCCAACGATTGGCAAAGTAGGCAATAATTGGGTAAGCTATTGTGCTCGATAAAGGCTGTGCCGCGCCGATGAAACCTAGCCAGGCTCCTGTTGGGTGATTCATAAATTCTTGCCATGCGGGCAATGCTTGAAGTCCATTTATCATGGTGCCATCGAATCCACTGAAAGGATGTCAGTGCGGTTCATCATCAGTAAGTGCAAGAGAAGTAGAGACACGTACTTTGCGGCCGCGAGAAGAGACAAGGAGTACGCGTAGGCATTGAGGATGATCAAGTGTCTCTTACGATACCAGGGAACTCCATCTTGAGGCAAGACCTGAGCTAGGCCATGACCAACGGCGGCCTGGTCGGATTGACGTGGACTCGCAAGCTTGCCCATATTGGCCGTTGCAAAGAGCGTTCAACGTTGCAGTATGTGAAAGATTATTGTAGAAGCGTAGGAGAGAGTGTTATTGGGATCTTCAATATGCCGACGAACAGCTTCACCGAGAGAATATATAGACATGGACTGAATATACAAACCCCACACTCATCCCCCGCAAACGGCTAATGTGTGGAATGTGGAGAGGGATGTATAGGTATGTCACAATCTGTCTGTGAAGTTGCATTTGCAACATATGGCGGGGAGCTTCGGGCTAGTCTTCTCACAGTCTACTGCTTGGTCTCTTAAGTGGGAGACGACAACATTTCCGAATAGTCATGGTCTCTTTTAAGTGAGATTTGGCGTATCTAGCTTAAAACAAGATACCTATGATAATAAATTGGGATTCCGTTCTGATCGTAAACGGATTAACGGTGCGCCATCGTGATATCTTCGCCACAACGTGATTATTGTTGGTGTCTAATCAAACCCATGTAAGAAAATAAATCAACTATAAGATCAAGGTAAATGGTACCAAGTTACTGTAGCCGCTTTGATGAGAAAAGAATATCCCACTCGTTACGCGCTGATGTTATCGTGTCAAGGCGAGGGGAAAAGTCAATGACTTTGGCAATAACCTGCATCTCCTGGCCAAGCAGGGGTAAATCAGGGGCAGCGCGTAATGTAAGACAACGCGGAAAAAGATTCCCAACAACAGCGCAAACTATCATGCCCAGGGCGTCGGGGATGAGTTTCGGCTTGTGTGATGATCCGGGCTAATGTGGGAAGAGGGGGGGGAGTCTGGGGTAAAGCAGGGGGCTAAGTGGACCGTCATATGCTCGCTTAAACTTGGGCAATTAACAGACTGGCTTGGTCAACCCTTGTCATGGTGGTTCGGGGAGTTGCGGGCTTTGGTGCTACGTTGTTAGTCTCCTGAGTGGAGGAGTTTGCTCGGGGAGTCCCGGGGGTTTTCACCTTGAAGTCCATTCTGGCATCACTTCGTATTGCCCCGCACTGGTCACACGGTCGTGGAATCCACCGGTTTAGCTCTCCCTCCTCCCACTAACTCCACAGACAGGCAGTCGTCGAAGTGAGAACGATATGGTTAGGCCAGGATGGCATGTAGTTTGCTAATGTCTCAACATACGTCGAGTCTTCTGCTTATGGTAGTCCGTAATTACTTATTAAACTACTACCCCGTGTTGGCTGCTTGTCCAACTGCTTTCATTCATCTTTTCCATTTCGATGCGCCAGGGTTGGTCTGGTCGACTATTCTTCATGCTGTTTGACTGAGGTTATTCTTCACGGTCTTTGCGGTCAATATGTCGCCGTCTAACAACAACCAGAAAGTCCTTCGCGTCGGCTTGATCGGCTGCGGTGAAGTGTCCCAGGTTGTTCACATCCCAACTCTATCGTATATGTCGGACTGGTTTCGAATCACCTACATGTGTGATGTCTCTGCTCTGGCACTTGAACATTGCGCGTCCAAAGTGGCTGGCGCGAGACCGCAGACTACGGCGAATCCTGAAGACCTCTGTGCATCAGATGATGTTGATGTTGTTCTGGTAGTGAGCTCGGATGAGTATCACTCTTCACACGCTGTCTGTGCCCTTCAACATAACAAACATGTGTTTGTGGAGAAACCTGTCGCGTTAACATCGCGAGATATTCAAGCGATCATGACGGCTGAAAAGAGTAGCAAAGCCAGGGCTATGGTGGGGTATATGAGACGCTATGCCTCCCCATTCGAGGATGCTGTAAAAGAAATAGGGGGTCTGGATAAGATTCTCTATGCTCGAGTCAGAGGTATGCATCACTTTCCTCCGCTAATCGTGCCATATAAGCTCAGTGTGTCTAAATACGAATGAATTATGTGGGAAAACAGATATCATTGGCCAAAATTCGTTCTTTGTTGATCAGTCGTGCACATTTCCACGCAAATTCACAGATTTCAAGCCTGAAGATGCTACAGACAAGTCAGACCGTGCCAAAGAGATGATTGCCGAGGCATTTGAAAAAGACTGCGGCGGAATCCCAGTGACTGATGATTCTACCTTGATGTGGCGTGTCCTAGCCGGTCTCGGCTCACATGACCTCTCGGTAATGAGAGAAGCACTGGGGATGCCCGACAAAGTTGTTGGCACCTCCCTCGGCTTTCCCTTCTGGACGTACGTTTATCTTATCTTGTGAAGAATCCGAGACACTCTTGAGAACTGACATGATTTGTCTGTAGCGCCACTTTTCAGTATCCGGGCTTCGCTGTCTCTTACGAATCGGGAATGGATAACATTCCCCGCTTCGATGCCCATCTGGAGGTCTACAGCAGCAACAAGACGGTTCGGGTTCAGTATGACACGCCTTATGTCAAGGGCTTGCCTGTGACTATGCACATCGTGGAGAATGTGGATGGTGCTTATAGGGAAAGCACTATCCGAAAGTCATATGAGGATCCTTACACACTAGAACTAAAAGCTTTTTGGAAGCTGGTAGTAGCAGAACAGCTTGTGAAAACAACAGTGGCAGACGCGTTAAAGGACATCGAAATATTTGGCATGATCATGAAGCACGGATATGGTGAGAAGTAGATACATAAAAAGGAGGATTAATAAACCAGTAATGCCTCATAGCCTCTGATGACTGCACATGAATCAACTGATGAAGTATCCCATGCTCATTGACAAGACATCGATTCTCGATAGAAACCAGGCCAGTTTATATCACCTAGATTCCTGACATACAGCCCGATGAATCTCGAATGATAAACCTTCTATTACTAAGACCATAGCTGTGACTTAGTCGCCGCATTGCCGCCAAGTTATGATAGTGCGTTTAGTGACGAACCGGGGAGTATCGGCTCAAATGCCAACCCACACTTCGTCAACATGGTCCACAGATACCCACGGCGTGCAGTCACCCTTTCGTGTATTATTAACAATTGGCATACCTTAGCTACCTAGCAAGAACACATTTAAAACAAACGCAGAGAATGATAAATTTTCTTGCTGCTCACTGATCTGGCTCGCATTGAAATAATTCTCGTGTGTTTTCCCTCAACTTATTCTGTACTCACCACTTCAGCGGCCTTGGTCGAAATGAGCGATAACAATCTCCCAGCCCTGCGATGGGGGATCCTAGGTGAGTGATCAATCAAAGGAGATTCCTTCTTGTTATTATTGCTTATCGAAAATCGAAGGCGCTGGCCTAATTTCTTCGTGGTTTGTCTCTGATCTTTGCCTTGAGCGTGCGGAGGCGACAACAAAGCATATCATCCAGGCCATAGGCTCTTCGTCAAAGGAGAAGGGCTCGGCATTCGCGACCAAAAACTGCCCATCGCATGCACCAAATATATATGACAACTATGATGGAGTATACAGCGACCCCAACGTGGATATCGTCTACATTGGAACACCACATACTTTGCACTGCGAGAATGCTTTGGCCGCGATAAAAGCAGGAAAACATGTGTTGTGTGAGAAGCCTCTGGCTATCAACAGCAGAGACTCCCAGAAAATGATTGATGCTGCAAGGGAGAAGGGTGTATTCTTCATGGAAGGTGAGCGTTGAATTCTGAATGTGCTCTAGAGAGCAGCGTTAACTTTCCATTTCAGCTGTCTGGACACGGTTCTTCCCAATTGCCAAGAAGCTCCACGCCCTCCTTCACGAGGAAAAGATTATTGGCGATATCGCTAGTGTTCAAGTCGATTTTGGGCTGTACATGCCTATCGGGGAGAAGGACGCAAACCACAGGGCAGCCTCCCGAGCACTCGGGGCTGGGGCTTTGCTTGATATTGGCATCTATTCCCTTACGTGGGCCTCGATTGTTCTCGACGCCGCACCAAAGAGAAATCGCGACATCGAGCCTGGACTATCTGCAAGCATGCTCTTCTACAGCGAGACAGACCCAGAGAAAAAAGTTGACGAGGAAGTTGCCGTGGTTCTGCGGTACCCGGAACTAAAGGCCCAGGCGGTATGCACAGCTTCATTGCTGTATAAGAAAGGAGAAGAATTCGGTCAAGTATATGGCTCCAAGGGATCTGTCTCAATTGGCGGAGTCAGCGCGTCAAAGCCTGGCTTCTTGGTTCTACGCGTCAAGGACGCAGAGGAGAAGCGGATAGATTTTGAAGTTCCGGGAATTGGTTTTCACTATGAAGCAGATGCCGTTGCCGAAGATATCAGGTCGGGTCGCACACAAAGCAGTGTGTGCTCTTGGGATGACACACTGACTATCATGAAGAGAATGGATGCCGCACGCGCCATCTGTGGCCTGGTGTACCCGCAAGACGAGGAATAGGTACTTGTAAGACGAAATAGATAGACTTATTCGCTAGCTATAGTGGTTAGATGAATACTCTACACGCTTCTTAGCCGTCTAACTGGGAATTACAGTTTCTCTGCCTAACACAGAATGATAACTTGTAATTTACAAGCAAACGGCAAGATTGTTTCTAGATTCCACCCATCTCATGGATCCCAGTCCTATTATCCAGCTCTCGGGGCTCCGTAGTCTTCGTATATTGGTAAGAATTAGAACCATTACCCTCTTTTGGTGCCACAGTAGAGCCCCCATAGATCTGATTATCCGATGTGGCATCAAACTCGGCAATCCCATCATCATCCCGCTTAGGGACTCGTCGCTTCTTCAGATATCCCCATGTGACAAAGGCCAGAGCAGCGGCCATACCCAGACCAAGGGGTATGCCAAGCCCAAGCCCAAGCCCCAGGCCCTGTTTTCTCAATCGTTCCACGTCGGCATCGAGTGAGCTGCTGGAGTCTTGCGATGGGTTAGATGATGCGCTCCTAGTGCTGCTACTCGTAGACCGGGATGCTATGTCAAAGGAAGTGATGGATGACCCCAATGGTCGGTATATTTCGGTCGCGACAGGGACTTCGAAGGTGTTGTTCGTATTTTACTACAGCATGCTGCACTCTCCCCACAGCAGTACATCATTCTCTTGGTGCTAGGGACACCCTGACGCTGCCACGTCTTGCGGACTATGCCATCCTCTATATCAGTTTCGACTCGTCGCCCTGCACATTCCCATACAAGCAGTAGGTAGAAAGAAGACGTACTCATTGTTCCTGGCCCACAGTAACTCTGGCACGGCTGTTCCCAGCGCTTCGAGGTACAGCCCTGAATGGAATACATGTTGTCTCCATCGGCATTGATGCAAAGACCTGATGAGGTGCAATAGTCCGTTCCGCCGCAGCAGGGGCTCTTCGGTTGGTTGGGCTGGCATGGGAGAAGGTATTCTCCTAAATCACCATTGGTCCAGTAACATGTCGTGGCGGCACTAATCAATAATGATAGTCCGAGTGTCAATGCTACTAGTTTTGGATTCAGATTCATGATGACTGTATTCCTTTGAGAAATGAGAGGTGGAGATGAATAACGAACAGAGAGGTTTACAATGAGCGAGAGGGATAAGGGGTTACATAGATAACCATCGAGAATCGTAGTGAAAAGCCGATCGCGCTGAGAGACTACCTCTGAGAAGAGATTGGGGACAGTGATGACGCACTGCTTATGTACATGTCTTAAGTGATTGTCCAGTCTATTGGCTCCTGAGATCATCCTTCATATGTGGCTGAAATCCTGCGCGGCACGGATATGAGCGCTTAATATTCACCGACTTTGAAGCTCTACACTGTTTCACAACCGTTCATCTCCTTTCTTTTTGCCTTCGTCGGCCAATTAAATTAGATCCAACGAGAACATACACTATCCCAACACGCTCGAGAAGTGCATTCATTTATGCAATTCGAGGGTGGAGGGAGGGCTCTGCGTAGCCTCTTAGAGGCCAGCTTCAATGCCTTTCACTACTCTTATTCTCGGCATAGTCTACGAGAGCGAACCTTAAATGACTTGTAATATGCACCTCAGAACCAACACAGCAAAGTTCCATTTCAGCTGGTGGTGTGTAGATGCAAGCAGTCCCCCTCAAAGCTGAATCCTGGCGCTAAGATCAACAGCCTTCATGCACGGCGACCGGTAGCGGAAAGTACGTCGACCAATTCACTTCTAGATATGACTGCCATCAGAAGGTGAAATGGTGCCAGACTGTTATGCGCGGCCTAGGGATCGGTCCATCCAGGTGTAGCCACATGACAACTGATATCAACATACCTTTTATCGAGTTCACCAAAGTCTTTTGTGATCTACACTAGTCTGTTCAACTCCGACATTATCACACGATCAGCACTATATAGTAAATATTACCCACGAGGGTTTGGAATAGATTCTCTACTTCCTGAAATAGCTGGCTTCTATTACACTGGAGGATACAGTCAGGAGCCCAACCATTATCTTTACAGTCAAGAACTTACAAATATCTACCCAAAATAAATAAAAATCCCTTATATGTACTACCTAGTGTATGTATGGACGAGAAAATCTCTGCAATAATATACATGGCATGATATTAATCCTCAGCCGATGCTGCAATTCTCACGGAACGGCATGGAAAGGCTGTTCCGCCTGCTATTGTCTAGTCCGAATGCTGCAATAGGAGGCAGTATGTCACGAATGGGAGAACTATCTGAACAATGGGGTATTGTACTGGAAACAATATTCATATGCTGAACAGAAGTCCGGAAAATACAGTCGATCAAACGGATCGATAATATTTTGGATGATGTAGGCTAAAGGAAAAGAAAACCAGCCAACAAATCTACCATTCTTGTCCACTCGTTGGGTTAACTTGTAGCTAGTGGTAGAGCTTCTTCTCGTACATCGGCATCTGCCAAATTCCAATCTCTGAACCTTCTCGTCGGCAGCCTCGCTTCGAACATCTTATCAAGCTCGTGAACCGTCCGACCCTTGATCTCAGGCAGATATAGCCAGCTAAGGCCCGCACCGAGAAGGCAGGTCCCGGTGAAAACGAAACCCACCTTGGCACCGAGGTTGGCGGCGTCCTCGCGGAAGAGCTGTGGCAGGACGGCACTCATCAAGGCCGAGGCTGCTGAAGAAGCTACGCCGCTCAGACCTTGGGTCAGTGCCCTGAGCTGCAGCGAGCTCAGAGATCCCATATATGCGAAACTGGCAGGCCAGCAGCCCAGGCCGCCACTGATCAGAGTACCGTAAAGCGAGACGGCCCCTATCCAAGGAGCGGCACCTCCTGCAAAGAAGCCCGAAACACCCATGACAGTCCAGGCGATGGCTGCGAAGACCAGAGAAACCACGGTGGCCCGCCTAAGACCAACAATTGTGCCAATCCACGTGCCTACACCAAGGCAGACGATGGCGATGACGATTCCCACGGCCATGAACGTCACCCGAGTCGTCTCACTCTCGATTCCAATCGTAGCCAGGAAAACCGGTGCGTTGCTGAGAATGTCAAGACCAAGAATAGCCGGGAACGCACTGACAAGCACCACAATTAGCGTTCGGCGGAGGTTGATGCCCCTGAAGCACGAGATGTAGGTCGCATCCTTGGTCACCATCCTCTCTTCCTCAACGGCATGTCGGATCTTGTCCAGCTCGACGTAAGCGTTTACTTTTTTGGAGAGGAGCCTTTGGATTGTCCGTATCGCGCGAGCTTCTTGGCCACTCCGGACCAAGAACACCGCGCTGTCGGGAATGATCAGAGACAGGGGGACAGTCACGACGCCCACAATCCATCCGACGGCGAACGGAACAATGTATTTGTTCTTGCCGTCCAGCTTCGTCGCGACCCCCATGAATGCGCTTCCCACGAACTGCCCGAGGAGGCTGCACAGGGGCATCATGACCATGTTGCCGTCCCGCATGGACTCCGTCGAAATCTCGGAAACATAGGTGAAGGCGACCACTTGGAGACCCGAGTTGGCGAGCCCCTGTATGCCCATCCCCACAGTAAGAATGCCCCTCCTCGAGTTTAGGGCTGGAAGCGCATGGGAGAAGACCAGGAATGCGACGCTGACAGCGTTGAAGATTCCGACCCCCATGAGAGTGAACTTGCGGCCGATGCGGTCCTGCACCCAGCCGCCGAGGATACAGCCAAACGCACCGCAAATAGGAGGCACGGCTTGCCAGATGCTCAGCCACACAGAGGACAGGTACTTCTCCCCATCCTTGTCCGTGTCGCCGTAGTCTTCAGTAAATTTCTCACCGCCAGTGACGGCGCCCAACGTAGAGCCCTGGAAGCCCAAGGCGCCGGCGACGATGGCGATCACGAAGCAGTAGATGAAGACCCATGGATGCTTGCGCACAGCTCTCCAGAATCCGATCTTTTCGCTGCTGTGGTCGGCGCCCTCTGTTTTGTAGGTGCTCGCGCTGTAGGATGTGCCATTCTTGGGATTGAGAAATTCCTCATCATCGCCGTGAGGTGGTGACTGCGCCCGTGGCAAATCCTCGAGTTCGACATAACTCGGATTGAGCTGGAAATTGGTGGGTTGCTGGTAATTCGCCATGGCTGTGAGATGGGTGGTGAAGGGAAAGGCAATAGCAGAGAGAATATGAACCAAAGTAGGTATATTGAGGATATATAGTTATAACGAACCTCGCATTTCACCTCGGACTATCTCTCGCCAGCAAACAAACCAGCAACGCAAGCGAGAGGATGAGTTGGTGGGATGGCGAGTTCCAGGATTATGACAAAGTTTCATTCTTTTTCATGCAAGCTGATCCTTGGCGGATTATTCCCTGCAACTAAGGCTAAACCCTGGTCGACTGAATTAGATCAACTGTATTTCGGCTCATATTACTCAGTTTGGGCGTAATTATAAGCCCTATGGACTTAAGTATAGCGCACGTCTCCGAAGCCCTACAATTGTCTGGGCTTTCTACTGAATCTTTGTCGTACAAGTAGGTAATCTGGAGAACATTAGGGGAAAAAATCGTATCTTCGAGCTTCCCAATTCGCCGAGCATGAGGTGGTGTTACATATCGTGCTTTGGCGATATGTGGCTGTGACAGATCTGCATTGGAACTTCAGCTTATCGCGCTAACTAACCCATTCAGGCGATTGTCAGCTTACCGTCAATGATCTACTTCATCTTCACCCTCTCAGATGAATAAGAGAGCGCACCAAGATAGGCTTTATTGAGCGCGCGGAGAATGAGGTGAATTTATATATCTCGAGATTTTCTCAGTAATCAAGAGCTAGGTTACCATCACACTTAAACAGTATCCAGTTTATCTTTTTCAGTACTGTCATCGTTGCGATCATGAGCGTCGAGACTTTAGTCTACACGCCTGACACCCCATTATAACAACAACCTGATCTCTTCAAAGACCCGAGGTGGGACATTTTAGTAAACACAAAAGCATTGTAAGTGACTAGACTGTTGGCAGCTTTGACCTTGCAAATTCTTTTTGTTGAGCTTGTTGACTAAATACCACCGTCGTGATCGCACCCTCTCGTGTTGCTAGCTCATCAGAATCCCGCTGGCACTCCATAACAGAACAGACCAGAGGTTCGGTCTATATCATCTATTGTACACCTATAATTGGGAACTGAATAGACATATCAGTACCCTAGTAGTTAACGCAGAGTTGTGCTCGTGTTGTTGCCGTATTGAAAATGATCCTCTTCGGGCCTCTAATCATTCTTGCACGCAAGGCATCCCGGTAGGCGTAAGAGATTTCGAGTATAAAGTTCAAAACAACAGTATAATATACATCTCAATACAGTAAATATGAAAGGCACAGATATGGTTCACTAGCCCAAGGCTGGCTTTTCCAGAAGGAAAAGACTAAAAGTTTTCCTACCGATAACTCACTGACCATCAGGATAAGCTGCTTATCGAATAATTATTTAAGCTGTCGTCTTTCATCTAGCTTCCTCCGTTCGCCGTTATATATAAGGCTAGATTACTAGAGAAATCTGCCGTCATCCAGGAGAACAAGTAGGGCAGTAGAAAGGGAGGAAGGGAGGCGGAAGGGATCGGAGAGGATAGCTTCAATAGAAAGATTTCTTAACGTTTAAAAATGCAATAGAAGAGGGCATCCTGGTTGACAGAATCTAATTGAAACTCAGGATATCTTTTATTAGAGCATGGATGTACTTCGGTAAAAATGAGAATGAGCGGCAGTGTGAATTTCGTTGGAGATAAGGTTGGCCCCGCGACTTTGTATTGTAACCAGAGCTTGTTACCATTTACCTAGTGTGTTCAAACTATGCTTCGTGAATTTCGGTTACCAGTTCTGGTTTTTCTACTTGAGTTTCAGATTGAGCACCGACCAAGCGGTCGACTAAGGCTTTAACCTTCTCCCCCATGTTATCGAGGTCAACCACATATTCTTTCATCACATCCATCTGCGTGATGAATTCCAGGACATGTCGCGTTTCTTGCTCGTTCGCAGCTTCGACTGTAAAGAAAAACACGAAAAGGTCATCGATAATAGCCAGGGGATCTTGACTTCTTAAATGAGGAATAAACATCCACAACCGTTCGCAGCACTCTCGATACTTTTTCTGGAGGGCCATGTCAGCCGGCTCATTATAGAGCTTTCTGATACGAAATATCATCAGGCTTGGTACGAGCGACGCATGAAGAGCGTTAGAGAGAATCGTAAACGTTTCATGGTTTTGCAGAACATATTTCCTTCCCAAGAAGAAGTCGGGATCCAGAGTTTCTGTTACGCTCCCAGACTCCTTTTCCGCATAGGCCCAGTGGCTAGCAAAAAGACCCTCGATGTTGAGTAGAAAGTCCCGCATCTCTAGTTCCACCCTTTTGGCCTTGTCATAGAAGGAATCGGGGTCTTGGTGGCACAATTTCATGGTCTTGACAGTGTCCCCGTAATACAGGCTGCGCTTCTCAAGATAGACATCAATTTCTTGACCACCTTCGTACAAAGCAACCTTCTCGATAACTTTTTCCCTGACTTGTTGCCATGGGGCTGTACCGGCAAAGTCGGCCGCGTTAGAATCGCTAAAGCCGCGGATACAATCCTTGAAAGATGACTGCAGTCAGTTGATGCGCCCAACTTTCTTCTCCTCCACGTCCTTTTAGGGTGGGTAATGGTAGTTCCAACTTACAATGATGAAGAATTGTTCATATGCCATTAAAAGATCAAAGGGATCATCTATGTTCGGGATGCCCATGAGCCTTACCAATGTCGCAATTCCCATAGCCTGCCCCATCAATCTGGCTCCCGTCTCAGACCCATCAGAATCGAAAGTATGCCCCGTTTTACACAGAACTGTCGCAGCTGCCACGGTCTCGACGCTCGGTGTCTGAGGACCTCGCATAGCTTGCAAGAGACTCCGGATCGCCTTTCCGTGGCTATTCCGGGACATGTTGCTTGGCTCTGGAAGGCCCTGAAGGCAGTCAATCCAACAGCTACACCAATACCGGACGCTGTCTTGAAGGCATTCGCTCAGGTGCAGGCGGCGGGGAAGCTCTCGAAGAGCATGAAAATTCGACCTGGGCAGCCCGGGCGATGCCTCCATCAAGGCAACTAAACGCCCGGATACATGGTCGGATGAGATCATGGGAACACGGGAATCCAAGGCATTTAGAAGACGGTAAGATCGGAACTGAGAGTTATAGCGCGTAGTTTGGACAGTAGTTGTGGCAGGCCGCTCTGTTAACACCAGGCTGCCGCTGGACGCCGACGACCCGTTCGTGCGCTTGTTGGGCTCAGATGAATATACAAATGCCTCCTCTGTTCCGGCTTTGTGGTTGTTGTTGAGCACGAATTTCATTCCAGACGGCCCTGGGCATAGGATGCCTGCTCGCGCGCACGCTGAGCATGTTGGCCACTTCTCATCGCACTGTATTTGATCAACGTCTGTGGGCATGTCCATGAAGAGGATGCGTACCTACTTTTACTCTCCTGCGCTTACACGGCTGGCAGTAAGGTTTTCTAGGTATGCCGGGCATGTTGATGGAATGGAGCGATCAAGACGACCGTACGATAGGAGGAGAGGGGAGAAAAGCGATTGAAGCAGGTTGGGCGATTTTCACTCAAGAAGAACGTGCGCGACCGACCAACACGTTTCAGAAATTACCCAATCAGCGATGAGTTGAAGGCGCCCGGTGCATCTTCCCAGATTCGTACAATTCGCCATGCATTTTGTGATCATTCGCCGGCCAATCAGCCTCGATACAACGAGACGCTCTCCACTGGTGGTCACTCACCTGCCATATCTTAGGGACATAGATATATGAACCTATGAGGCAGCTGAGTATCTTGATTCAAAGGGAAATCCCACCTAGTCATAATTAGCGGTATCGACGTATAATTAGCATGGGGCGAGGTATCATAAGCACCATGTCAGCTCTTGAGCCATCCACTACTCTTTAGTGAATAGCCTGCTGTATTAGAGGGCCGTTTTACATGGAGTTGATCGGTATAACGCCCTTAAAAAACAGGGCGTAATTTCCACCTTGCCCGCTTTTTGTGACGAATGCCTCTAGCAGGGGGTTCGGGAACGATGTTTCAAAACGGACCTAGCGAGGTTCGATATCAAACAGGTTTTATAGAATACGGTTGCATGTTGCGGTTAGAAAGTATAATGAGCGGGATCAATCACTTTGAAAGAACGTAGGTTGGCATATACAATATAAGCTATCGCTCGATAAAGGGTTCTGCCCGCACCATGTATTTAGTAACCACCAGAACTTCCTCCAGCAATAGGCTTGAACTGCACAGTCGTAGGTTCAGCCGTAATGCCTCTCTTCACAGCCTCCTCCATAATGGCAATAGTCGCGGTCGCGCCGATCCGTGTAACACCTAGCGACATGACATGTAGAAGATCATCCAACGTACGAACGCCCCCCGCGGCCTTGATTTGAACTCCCGGGCTAGACTTCTCCCTCATCAGCTTCAGATGCGGCACCGTAGCGCCCTTGTAGGAGTATTTGCCATCTGAGCCCTTCATGAACCCATACCCAGTGGACGTCTTGACAAACGCCACGGCAATATCTGAGCATATCGCGCACAGCTTGGCAATGTGGTCTTCCTGTAGGTAATCATTCTCGAAAATAACTTTGAGAATCGCCCCTTGCTTGGTCACGGCCGCGTTGATCTGGCGAATTTCCTCGGCGACGTAATCCCATTCTCCGCCCAAAGCTTTGCCAATGTTGATGACCATATCGACTTCCTTGCCTCCAGCAGCGGCGGCTGCCTTCGCTTCATAGACCTTGACATCTGTAGTGCTATTTCCGTGGGGAAAACCAATCACAGGACAAATAAGAACATCGGTTCCCTTCAGCTCTTTCTTGGCCAGTGGAATTGAATACGGTTTGATGCAGGCGGTAGCGACATTATATTTCTTAGAGATGCGGAGGCCTTCCAGAATATCCTCGTCGGTCATGGTAGGATGAAGCAGGGAATGATCGATCATTTTAGCGATCTGGCCAATGGTTACTTGGATTGTATTGTTGACAGCAGCCATGGTGTGTTGGGCCTTTCTCTGCGAGGTGTGGATAGAAACTGGATAAAGAGCAGTCTCAATTATTGAGGCAGATGTAGTAAGTTGAGAAGAAGGTTGGCATCGTATCTTGCTCTTTTGTGAGAAGGATGAATATTTATATACCCGGCTTGGTTTTATGCTGCAGCCTGCATGAGGATGTTTACAGCGGTTCGTCAGCCTCCGGTGGAAGCTTTGCACCGCTTGGGCGAAGCACAACTACCCGATTTCCCGGACATACTATTACAACGGCTCGTAACTTGCTCGCCTATTTTATTGGTCTAATCGATCCAACCGTGTTGACTTATACTTCCGCCGGCTTCTTCGAGGCTTCGGAATAGATTTCCAGTTTAGGAAAGGCCTCCCGGTGGCAAAAACTGCAAATTAACCTTCATCCGGCATTTCCTTCCATCACAAAACAACACTCGTTGAGTTAAATCATTGGAAACAATTACGTCGTGCTGATATGCCATGCCTCCGAGGAAGGTCAACAACGCGTGCGCTAGATGTCGGAGACAGAAGCTGAAGGCAGGTTGAAGGTTGAGGTCCGCGGCGAGAGTGAGTGCTGATTGTTGAGATCCAGTGCGATATCGAAAGACCATGCCTGCTATGCACTCGAGCCGGGGTCGAGTGCATTGCTCCTCAACCCCGATCATGGGCGGAATATACACCAACTGAGTACTCTCGTAGACTCAGGCGAGGAGCTAGAACTGAAGGCCGGGTGAGGAAATCGAGGCGCGATACAATCCAGGTCCAACGGAGGGACGAGCCACCACCGGAAGAGGCCACATTGGCGACCGGAGGTACTGTATCGGCTCCGCATGATATCAGGGATCTTGAGCCCTCGGATCAGTATACATTAGGCAATTCAAGCTCCACTATCATGCTTGTCGAAGAGGTACGTTGGGTTGGCGTAGAGAGCCGGTTTTCTCAAGTCCTACTGACATCCTTCTTCACAGGCTTTCCAACAGCATGAATGTGCGTCACCTAAAATGACAGAAAAATCAGCATTATGCTACAGCCAAGCTTCAAAAAGCTTGTATTCTAATGCTAGTCCAGAGACGAGGAGACGCCCTACGGCGAGCGTGTACACCCGGGACGGGCGTCCAAAAGTTTCGCAGTCGGCTATACGAGAACTATGCCAGCTCCTACCCAACCGCGAGATTAGTTACTTGCTTGTGGACAACTATTTTGACAAGATCCATTGGTACATGTTGCTCTTCCACCAGCATAGATTCAGAGATGCTCTGAATTCTCTCTATCTAGATACGAGTTCTGCTGCTCCGGCTACTGGTCGACAGGACGAGTCTACGGCTGGGTACATTAGTGTGCTTCTTGCCGTATGCTCCTTGAGTCTTCGGTATACCAATACCGCACAACGAGAGCAACTGGCCAAGTACGGCGTGAATGCAGTGTCGCTGAGAGAATCAATTTTGAACACTTTGAGACTAAGGCTTCTTGATATTCTCGCCCTTGGGTCTCTAGAAGCTGTTCAGCTATGTGTTCTCTTGGGCAGCTATTACCTCTACCATGGCGAGCCAGAACTCGCTTGGCCTCTTTGTGGATGTGCCCTCCGACTCGCCCAAGCACTTGAATTACATCGACGGCCTATGCCTGGCATGGTGTCTCAGCATGAGACTGAAGTGAGAAAGCGCTGCTGGTGGGCTGTACATGAGATCGAGACCTACTGCTCGATGATCTACGGCTTTCCACTCAGCATGTCCGATAGCGATTGCAATACCGAGCCTCTGGGTCCAAGTGACCAATGGTCTATTGCAGCAGATGGGCAGCCATCATCTTCTCAGCAGCCAACCCTCTTAGTTTACAAGTGTTCTATGTCTGCTTTGTCGAAGCTTATAAAGTCTGCACTAGAAGGTCTTTATAGATCTCGACAGAAACAGCACAGGTCTGAGATCAACGATGCTCAAAATGAGAAGTCTAGGAGATTCTACTTCATTACTGACAGAATCAAGGCTCTAAACACAGAGCTGGTTGAATGGTACGATAATCTCCCTCCCAAGCTCAAGATGGGTAGGCTGTCCGGTCTACCAACATCAGAGGTTGGAGGAGATCTGGCGAGTCATACGCAAAGTCATGACACCTTTGGTGAGAAGCTATTCAAGCTACAAGCACTGGCATTGAAGCTAGCTTTTGAAAATACCAGGATATTAATTCACCGGCCGCTTCTTCTACGAAAAGACGGCGAGGCAACGAAGTTACCCCCTTCAACTACAAAACCAATAGTACCATCATTGCCCGAAAGCTTGTCGGCCTACAGCCGGACGTGCCACGATGCAGCTCTTCAGATATCGTGGGCAGGTCATATGCCCATATTCAGAGACGCGTCCACTACGTATGCGCTGAACTTCATTGCTTTGCACCTTCTCACTGCTGGTGTCACGCTCGGTATCATGACGAGCTTGAATCCTCTCAGTCAGGAATCCTTCGAGGCTAAGCTGGGCATTCGTCGGATTATGGAAATGCAGGTCTCCTTGAAACCCGACTCCATTGTGGCAGATCAAGGCCTTCAAATTCTAAGGAAACTCTTCGTTCTCGTCATGAAGAAAGAAACCCATTCGATGCTTGATTTCGATCCCCAGGGCCAGACAGGGGATGAGCGTGGGAGCGCGCAAGAATGCCAAGATGGAGGTAATCTACCAACAAGTCCCGGCATATCAAATGAAAACCAGGCTCAAACTGTCGAGCCTGGCGTTCGGTCTGATCATTTTACCCTCGCTGATCAGACTTCCGATATGACTGCTGGCTTCCAGCCTGACACATTCACGCAATCTATTCCTTTTGAATTTCACCAGCCAACCCCACAATCTCCAATGTCAGGAGCTATGCTCGCTGTTGAACAGGGTATGGCCTTGAATCCTCTATCCTCACATCTAGACGTCTTAACTGACTCAATAATGACTACAGCCTTCTTATATCCAACCTTTCTCAGCTCGGTAGATGAAGATCTTTTCCCCAGCAATCCTAGAAATGATGCGCCTGCCATGATAGGCCAGGATCAAGGCTGGTTATGGGACCCAGAACTCGATATTGGCCCCCTTGAATGAGTTTGGAAGATTCGGCTGACCCATAAACATTGCCACAGATCGGATACTAAAGACTAAGCCTTTCAGGCTGAGGATCTCTTTCATCTGTGTAATTATGGTTGTAGAAATCGTATCCGAAATAGGTACTTAGACCACCGGAATGAGGGATTCCGAGCATCTGTAAAGATCGAGTAACCAATTGTCACTAATGGAAACGGCAAGAATGGGGCAAGGGGCAGCAAAACCCGGATGAAACACAAATGGTCAGGCCCGATACGATTTTGCGTCATTCGTTCAATGCCAAGAGGGTCTATGGTGAAACTTCAGCGACGTTCCAGACTCCACCGCAATGTCGCAGTGACTTGACTGCTGTGTCATGAATTCAGCTGCCTGTTTCTGCTTGGCAGGTAGCCCGTGACATAAGTGGGATTTCATTCTTCCACCACTTGGTTCCATGCCAACTAAAACCTGGCCATATCATCATCTCGCTGTCCCCCGCACCATTTGTCTCAGCCATCCTCATACAACATCAATCACACAGGACTTTTCGCCAGCAAAGAGGAATCCTCATGGTACATTCGCAAACCTGTTCATCATCTCGCATCCTCGGCGGCATTCTAGCCGCGCTCGCCCTCTTCTTCCTATACAACACGGCTTGGAATCTGCCGCAGTTCGATCTTGGCAATCACGAGCCGACCATGACGACCATCGCGGGCCTGAAGCTGTCCATCAGCCATACGCCGGGCTCGTCCCCCCCCGAGATTGTAGCCACGGTCACCAACGACAACGCATTCCCCGTCTCAATCTTGAAATACGAGTCGCCACTTGATCCGCTTGTTCTGGCACTGGGAAAGCTACAGATAACGCCAGCTGGAGCGGATGCGCCTCTGGACCTGCCCAAGATAGCTGTGCGCAGGGTGTGGCCTCCTACTCGGGACCAGCTCGTGACTCTCGAGCCTGGTGAGAGCCAGCAGAATCCTGTTCCTTTGCGAGAGCAGGTTGTGCCGCCCGGTGATTTAGCTGGGGAAGTATCGATAGAAATCAAAGGAAGGTGGCAAGCGGTTTGGTCGAAAAGAAAGGAGGACATTGACGACGGCTCCTTGGAGAATCCTAATGTTAGTCCTGAGGTTGAACATGGGGAATATGCGACAGCCAAACTCAAGCTTCACTTTTGAGGGACGGGGCCGTGTTTAGCTGAGGCGAAAGCATGTCATTGGTATCTTATACATATTAAGAAAAGCTGTGAAATGAAATGAGTGGAGAGAATAATACAAGTGTTTGAAGACAGACCCGGAGGTAGGCGGTACTCAGATCTTTGATTCCTCAAAGCTCCCATGCCGTCCGGCTCCCCCAGAAAACCGAGCTGCACCCTTCACACTCTCCGTCGAAACGACCTTTACCCCATTATCAAACTCGCTTCGTAGTGCATCCTCAAACGAGGTAGCGTTGTACACTGAGTAATAACAGCTAGACCGGTCAACATTCATGCACTCTTGAGGAAACTTCAGAAGCTGGCGGGCAATCTTGGTCGCCTCCGCTAGACTCTCGCCCTTGGGAACCACCCTATTTGCAAGTCCCATCTGCAGCGCCTCCTGCGCAGGCACGCCTCTCCCTGTGAGTATCATATCCATAGCCCGCCCAAGGCCGATGATTGCCTGAAGCCGGACGGTGCCTCCGTCAATCAGAGGGACGCCAAACCGTCTACAGAACACGCCGAACACGGCGTCCTCTTCAGCGACGCGCATATCAGCAATCAGGGAGAGCTCGAGTCCTCCAGCCACGGCATAACCGGCTACAGCGGCAATCACGGGCTTCTTTATCTGCATGCGGGATGGCCCGATCGGACCCTGATTGCGTCCCCGCACGCGATGGGCTGGATCGACAATGGGGCCCTTGTAGCTGTCGCCGGCGGAGGGGTCGAACTTGGCGACCTCGTGTAGGTCAAAGCCGGCGCAGAAGTTTCCGTTGGCCCCGTGGAGGACACATACTTTCTGCGTCGGGTCCTCCTCGAAGGCGAGGAAGGCTTGTGTTAGCTTCGTTGCCGTCGGACCATCAATAGCATTCCTTCGGTGGTGCCGATTGACGGTGATTGTTGTTAGACCGTCTTCGGTGGTGCTGACTTGAACGGCTTGGGGCTCGTTGTCCATGTTTGCTAGGCACGACTATTTTATAGGCTTGTAGGTTTGATAGGATAGTATATCAGAGGGATTGAGGAGGGATAGCGTCGGCTTTATACTACTGGCAGAAGCTCAGGAGGCATTCAGATATCCCCGGGAAGCAATCTGTTCACCGTGCCGGCCTGCTTCCCCGCTCCTCCTTTTGGGATAATCTGAGTATCGGCCCTCTCAGCCGAGGCAATTTGATAAAACTTGAATTCAAACTTGATGCCGGGCCAAGGGCATCCGTGCTCTCTCGTCTTGGCTTGGACCCTTTCGTCATATCACATGGTATTACGCCGAATAGTCACAGAAGCTGAGTGCGGGGGGACTACGTATGCTCCGAGAGTCGGAGTTCATGATCAATCACCAAAGCAGGCCATCAGTTTTTTATCATTAGGCAATGAATTGTGTTCAAGTCTGCAATCCAAGACCAGTCGAATGCAGTCTAATATCTGATAGCCTCAATTGTCTTAGGCTGATTGTAGTGATACGTATTAGGACAGGGGAAATGAGGCGTGTATGTAAGTCTGATGATGTGGGTAAAGCTACAGATCTGGCTCTGTATCGATAGTAAAAGGAAAGTCGGCCACAATATCCTGATTCAAAAAATCATATTCGCTCAGAGAAAATAGCCCAAGATCATGACTTGTGTCCCACTCGGGATTTTGCGTATATTCGTTGCTAGAGTCACCAGTCACTGGGTTTCCGCCAGGAGGGAGACCAAGGCCTAAGGCACTTCCTGAGTAGGACCGCTGAAGTAGTGTCTCGATTCCTTTGCAAATCTTGACAAGTAGATGCTGAGGGTGCATTGTGGATGTCACCTTTTTCAATGTGGCGAGCAGAGACTCGAGGAGCTTATAGACTTCTGTTCTGTCAGGCCTAACCAACACGAAGTGATTATTTGAGAAGACTTTGATAAGAAACACAACCGCAAACGCGATCATAGTGTCAAAATAAATCGGGAGACCGTCAAGAAACGACTGAATCTCCGTATCGTGAACCACCGCTTTCAAGATGGCGAGAGCCGACACAATGGCCATGTTTGCGACTTCATCCAACTCTGTCAACGGTTCAATAAAGCCTCCGGCTGACTCGGTGCATCGGAAAGCATGCGAGCAGAGATAGAGCTTAGCAAAGTGGTATTGCAGCGTGACGCCCTTGCGCGGATAATCCCCGATATGAATGTTTGGACTGAAGCTATCAGCCCATTCCATTCGGAGGCTATCCAGAGCGATGCTATACTTTTGCAACTCTTTGATCTGAGGACTCGACAATGATTTCTCGACCTCAGCGCCGAAAGAGTCGTATATCTGGGAGCAGAGACTCCATCGCAGTACTTGACTAACCAGCCGAGCATCATCGGGAGTAGCGTGCGAGCAATCGAGGAATTTCCTGACATTGCGAATCGTCTCGCATTCTCTTGTCATTGGCGGGCGGCCAAAGGCCACTGAAAAGTGATGATCACATGCGTATACTAACAGATATAGACGCGTCCGGTAGTAATGCATTCGATCGCCCTGCAGGGCTTTGAAGATGCTCCTGTGAAGATGCAACTCAGTAGCAATCCGAACGGCTGATGCTACCAGTGTCCAGGAATGACCACTGAGCCAAAAAGCTCCAATGCAGAGTGCTCGAACATCATCGACGGTGCAGAGTTTAGAAAAGCTTCGGGTAGCGGACAAGGATATAAACTCCTTATAGCATCTTTCAAAATCCTCGGATGCAAGATGAAGTGCGCCGACCGTACAGACAGCAGCAGTAAGGAGAGGGGTTGCTTTCCGAACGGTATCCAGCGTTGCGTTGCTGTGATTCCCAAGTATGCGATATGGGAAATGGTCGAGGCGGTTTTGGTAGGTTTTGAAATATCTTTCCGCGTTGGCTTCAGTAATGATTCCATTAGAAATCAAGTCGCCATTAATATCCATCGTATGGTTTCCAGGAGTTGGCGAGATGTGAAACCCCGGGATGGAACTGGCACCAGAAGCCAAATCCATAACCACTTCACAATCGTCAGCTGCTTGATTCGCTGTTATTGTTGATGGCTCCGACGTAACCTGCCCATTCGAGAGGAGCTTTCTGGATCCCGGAGCATCGTTCAAAACCGCTGTGTCTTGAGACTCCCCTTCTTGCAGTAACATCTTGAGTGCTCGGGCATCCTCAACCGACAGCGACTTGTCAGCGAGTTGCTGCACTGCGTGCTCGAGACTTTTAAACTTCCTCTCCGCCAAATCCCTCCAGCTTTTTTCCCATTTATTGTTAGCTGGATATGAACATGCTGGTCGAAAACACGTACCGAACGTCGCTTTCCAGCAGCATTTGCAGGCTCTGATTAACCACGCAGGAGAGGCCCCTTCTTTTGCAGCGTACACATGGCGGTTTAGAGCCACCCATCTGGCATTTTATCTACACCATGCGTGAGCGGTTTCTTCATTCAAAGTGCCAGAGCGAACACACGATCTACCTTTTGCTTGCGACATGCCACGCACGCAGTGATCTTACGGGTTATCTCTGGGGGTTTAGGGTCCCCAAATATGTCGCGCAGAGCGCGTACTGGCTCTTCTGAGGACATATCGCCCTACCGGTGAGTTCGTTGGTTCTATGATCGTAATATGATTAGATCAAGATCAGAGTGCGGCGAAAGACCGGTACCGGCCGAATATTTAGCTGCCTTGTCTGTTTCCCCGCATATTCACGCACACAAATTGCGGTCTTCACCCCGAGGAATGTATGGGAGGCTCAAGTGGGTCATCATTTTCCATACCGGGCTTCGTCCCGCACTCTTGTCACCATCTTGGCTGGATGTTCACTATTTAATATCGACATGCACCACTGCTGTAAGATCACATTACTCTGTTCTTTTTAACCAGTACAATAACCAATACACGACATAAATCAAGACTACGTCATTTTTTTTTTAGCGAATTTCGTTAGGATATATCTTTACAGCCAATATCATGGAAAGCAGTATGAACTCGGCAGGCCCTAAGTCCCATGTCGAGGACGAGAGTATGTGACACAAATTTTCCTTCAATCTCGGGATCATAGAGTTGAGAAGGTGTCAACTGACAGATCAAATCAGAACTACAAGCCAAAGTGACCTTGCACGGAAGAAGCTACAACCTTCCCAAGCGCCCAGTAGTCGTCGTCTGCGTTGATGGCTTCGACCCAGAGTATCTCCAGCATGGTATCGATACTGGGATCTTGCCCACAATGAAAGAATTCACTCTTTCAGGGTTTCATCGTACGGCCAATGTCTCCATGCCCTCCTTTACGAACCCTAACAATGTTTCAATCATCACCGGCGTTCCGACTGCTGTCCATGGAATCGCAGGGAATTATTTCCTTGACCGTGACACTGGGAAGGAAACAATGATTGTCGACGACTCACTCCTTCGAGGGTCAACCATTTTGGCGGAACTGGCCCATCGCGGCGTGCGAATCGCAGCTATTACTGCCAAAGATAAACTGCGGAGAATCTTGCAACATGGTCTGCAAGGGAAGCAAAATATCTGCTACTCGGCTGAGTTTGCAGACGATGATGTGCTTGAATGGCTCGGGAGAAGCTCTCGCCCAAGCCAGTACTCTGGCGATCTTTCACTATTCGTCCTCGACGCCGGGATCAAGCTCCTCAAAGAAGACCGCGCAGATGTATTCTACCTCACTCTGTCAGATTACATCCAGCACAAGTACGCCCCCGGAGAGCCACTGGCCAACGAGTTCCTCTCGGAGATTGATAGCCGCCTCAGATCGCTTGTGGACCTTGGTGCCATCGTTGCAGTGACGGGCGATCACGGCATGAGTGACAAGTCCGACGCTGCGGGTGAGCCAAATGTCTTGTTCTTGCAAGATGAGCTGGAGAGTAAATTCGGAGAAGGCTGTGCACGTGTCATATGCCCCATCACCGATCCCTTCGTCAAGCACCATGGAGCACTCGGGTCCTTTGTCCGTGTGCACTTGAGTGAAAAGGCCACCGAGCTCGTTCCTGAGATGGTGAAGCACTGCCAGACCTTTCCACAGGTCGAGGTGGTGATGCTAAAAGATGAGGCAGCACAAAAGTGCGAGACACCAATTGACCGAGAGGGCGACTTTGTTGTGATATCCTCGAAGAATGCCGTCATCGGTGCCAAGGCCAAAGAACACGATCTTACGGTTTTGAAGGGTCATAGACTACGATCTCACGGCGGGTTTTCAGAGCAAAAAGTGCCGCTTCTTATGTCCCAACCCAGCACTTGGTCGGATGAAGCCGGGACTGAGAAGAGAACCTGGAGAAACTTTGACATTTTCGATCTTGTGTTGAACTATGGACAATAGCTAGATTAAGCCCTATTCAGATTCTGGATTCCTTTGAATAAGAACGAGAAGTTGACCGAGATAAAGGGGCATTTGCAGACTTGACCCTTTGAATGAGACGTAGTTGCTTCATCCCATATCGCCAGATGAGCCCTGCTCCAATAATGGATGATGAGCAAAGCAGCCCAAATGCCCACGCGCTTTCCTCCAGATAGTTCACCACATTCATGCCGTAATATCCTGCCACGAGCGTGGCAGTCGCGAGTCCAACCATGACAATCTCAATCTTGGCCTCTAGGACCATGATCTGGTTCCGGCGGACGTTCAAAATTGACTGAATGGTCTCTTCTGTCTGCCGAATATATCTGATCAAACTCGCTGCTTCCTGCACTACGCTATCGCTAGCCTTGTAGTATGCCTCGAACAGATATTCAACGTCTTGATGATCAGCTGCTGTATGAGGAAGTCCGTTTTTCTTATCGCTGAGGTGCATGTCGGCCATATCCTGATCTTCATTCAACACTTCTTGAATGACTTCTCTCACTTGCTTTCCACGTTTCTCGATGCCCACGAGATTCCGCACCAAGTCGAGGAGAGTTTTGAGCTCAGAATTCAGAGGATGCTCCTCCTTCTCAAGGGAAGCAAGGGTCTCAGACACCTTCTTCTTGGCCAGCAAATATTCGGCCTCGAGTGTCGCTGTCACAGATGCCAATGCTGCCTCTACCACTCGAAGCTCATAAGGTAATCGGATGGATACGCCTGACCCACGACTCCCGAGCAGTTTACTCTTGAGGTCATGGCGGAACACTCGACATGCATTGTCGGTTTCGCTGCCAATGGTTTCTTCGATATTGATGAGAAAGACACGGTCGGCTTGTATCAATAACCTGAGATCGAAAATATGTATGAGGATCGTCTGTTCGCGGATCAAAATATGAGGAAATCCACCAGAAGGGAGATCGAAAGTTCGCAGATCCCGACCACTAAACCCAAAGCTCTTGACGATGTCGTACTTTGTCGTTTTCTGTGCCAGCGTTTCCTCTCCATTCGCGTCGTATATTGTACATTGTATCTCTGTGTTCCCGTTTATTCGACTCCGCGAAAGCCCAAGAGACAACTCGTACAGATCTTTCGGCGTCCGGCCCTTCTCATGTGGCTCTGGGGTAGATACGGTTGAGTTTGCTCGCAGGGAGCCTTCTCGACACCACGGTATGCCTATCCTCGAGTTTCCTCTGGGCGTCGAGCCGTTCAATGGTCGCAGATTCGTTGTTACTTTATCGCGCAGAATCCGCGTCATCCGTGACGGAGATCCAAGGAGCACCGAGGGATTGAACCAACTGGGGTTCAGGCCCACGGAACGCATGGCTCTAAGATATATCTTGCAACTAAATATGTGTCTTGGCGATCGGTCAGACTCTCGGTGCGTTTTCAAAGACGAGAGCGCAGAGCTGGTTAAAATCTCTAAAAGTCCTGGTGTTGATGAAGGATGATCCAGGTGACGTCAGAGAAGCCCTACAATCGGGCTGACATAACAACCCTAACCCTCGATATGTCATTTCCCCTTCTATGAGGAGACATCCCAAGAAAGTCAAATTTATCAGAGTTAAGAAAATCAAATGGGAACAATCCTCAGCCATTGACACAGAAAGTTACACATTTATCATGCTAGGCTTTATCTCAAGTTTCTGCGTATGTTGACTCCGCCGTGTCTCTCTGAAAACGGCTCTTTACGCAGCCGCCATCATGGCAGGTAGTCCAAGCTACCCTAGACCTCATCGCTCTCCATTCAGTGAGCTGTGACTACCTCAGTTATTATCAGTTGCTGAGCTACACGTAGTGGTTTATTATCAAAAAGTGACTTAGAGTCAATTCTACTGCACCAGCAAAACTGGGATGTATCTGTTCTGATTGTTGTGGCTACTGAAATGTTTACTTTGATCACCCAGACACCTTATCACTCATACAATGGAAACAACGTGAAGGAAGTGCTCATGCTAACAATTCGTTACTTACAAGAACGAAATTCTAAAAAAGAGGCTTCCTTCGCATGATGAATTAATTACTATGTGAGTTTTCTCTGCCGGAGAGTTCACAAAGCCAAGATGAGTGGTCGGCGAAGAATGTCGCTCCGGATATTGATGGGGCACCACCACCCGGCTAAGTTCTTATCCTGGTGAGGAAATCCCTGTTCTTTAGGGTCCGGATGGCGTCTGTATTAGTACATACGCCGCAATGGTCACTGTAGAAAGGCAGAACCAAGAGAATTGGCATTATCAAGTTCACTATTTCCTAAAATCATAAAGACCACTGGACCTTCTTTACGGTGCTTCTCCGATATCATAGTCTCGGAATCCTCCTTTATCACTCTTAAGTGTCATTTACATTCTCATCAACAATGGCCCAATCGACGTCACTTTCTGGGACCCAAGACGGCCGCAGTATCCTACTTATCAATGGTCCCAACCTCAACTTATTGGGCACTCGCGAGCCCGAACTATACGGTAGCACTACTCTCCAAGACGTCATCGACCTCGCCCAAAAGCAAGCAGCCGGGCTCGGTGTTAAACTGCAAACATTCCAATCGAACTGGGAAGGGGCCATCGTCGACCGCATCCAGGAAGCCCGCACGCAGGGCGTAGACGCCATCGTCATCAATCCTGCTGCCTTTACCCACACAAGCGTGGCGATCCGTGATGCTCTTCTCGGCGTCGACATTCCCTTTGTGGAGTTACATGTGACAAATGTACACACGCGAGAGGCATGGCGACACCACAGCTACTTCCAGGACAAGGCTGTTGCCGTGATTTGTGGCATGGGCACATATGGATACACTGCTGCGTTGGAGTTCGCAGCCAAACATATGAAGCTAAAGAAGAAGGCTCTGAATTGAACAGAGCATCATTCTCTTCTTAAGGACTAAAGGGACCCTGGAGACCATTCCAACATTATTGTATCAAGACTCTGGGTAGTCTTTATTCTTAAAAAGAAAATAAACTTCCCCAGTCCGGCTATGAGAAAACACTGTGTGAAGCCAATGTTCAATTCTTACTCGGTATCATTATATAGCCATAAGCTACGTAATATTAATCAAACCCTCGCTATGTAAGTAAATCAAAAATATGTGTAATCAAATAAACCTGGGTGAAGAAGGGTCAAATATATTATGGTAGTCCAGTAATGAGCCATCTCTAGAGAGACCCAGATGTTCCATGAAATCTTCTGAGAAGACTGGCCTATTAAAGGTTAGTATGCAAAGAACCTCAATCACTAATCATGGTAATGTACGTACCAATCCGCCCGGTCCAATAGACTAAGTTGATTGAACAGGCCGTTCTGGTCACTCGTTTCGGACAATGATGTGTTGGAAACTGCGAGCTGATTTTCCATACCTATCCCGCCTACTTGGATTTGGCTGATTGTTTGACTGGAGAGTGGGGGCGTTACGATTGAGCCTAGTGGGCTCTTTGACTTGTTTGGCTCATTCGACGTATTGGGCGAACTCATTTTGTTTGTCGAAGGGGACATTCCAATGGTCTGTGCGGCTCGGACCGCTTGGAAGGTTTGGTCTTTCGCTGAAAAGGATTTCTCATCATTGACACCACCAAATACATTGCTACCTGGAATAGCCATTGTGGGTACGAGTAATTGTTCGTCCATAGCTAAAGAATCGTTCAATATCTGAGGAGGAATGCTTTCGGATTGCATAGACTCTCCAGGCCGTAGTACTGGGTGATTCCATGAAGCCGAAACTAATGTGCTGGTAATGAGATTTGTATTTGCTTGCACCATCTCAAGAAAGATCCTGGCTATTGGCAAAACCTGTGTCCAATTTACCATGGTGGCCTTAATAGCCGGGTCGCGTAGGATTCTTTGACTCTCCGCCAGAGAATTATGGATTACCATGGGTGAAGCACCTGCTTCTCTTGTGGTGGCTGGCTGGCGATAATGTTCATTTGATAATATTGCATATGTTGCCATGGCCGCAAGTCTAAGCTGAAGAGTGTGAGGTGCCTCCGACGCAAGTTTAGAGGGATCTTTGAAAATTGAAAGGCAGTCACGAAGAGGGTTTCTATCGTTCCATTCCTCCAGCCGGCTGATGTATTGATGTGGGCGGATTGTTTCGTTTTTGTGACGAGAGGAACATGATAGGCTATTAAGAATAGCAACAATGTAACATAAGTGGTTGAATGTACTAAGAACTCGGCTTGGCCCGGGAGAGAAGGAGGCTGGTTGCATGTTCGTATTGGTAATGGGGCGCCAGAGTTCCCATTCCTCGATCCCATCGCTACTGAGAGTTCCAAGATCAAAGAAGTCGTTCTGTTGTAGGTATGGACGGAGACCAAGCCGAGAAGCAATCAGTGTGTCAAGCACAAAACAGCCAAGGGCCAGTCTTTGGCGACTATCGTCGGAATTAAGCATACTCGGTCCTTGTCTGGCAGGAACAATTCCGAGACCAGAGGCAATGTAGACTGCTCTGCCCACACATAGCCAGGCACTCATCCAAGACTTTTGGCTTATCTCTAGCAGGGCTAACGTTAAGAGGGCGTGCACGTGACCAGCTTCGTATTCTACTTGCCCCTGGTTTGCCATATGCCTGGCCAGGGCATATAATGAAGCTCCGGAAGGAGTCACGGATGGATCTAGAACTAGTAGTTGATGTGATCCATAGGCAAGGACGGCCCAGAGGGAACAAATTTCCCCTGAGGATGGCTTCAGACCTTGACCTTGACCTCCCGGACCGCATAATAGGCTTGCGGAGCGATACAATGTGTACTTTTGTATTATTGGTAACCAACAATGGGTGTTGGTCATGTATATTTCAACCAACTGGGACCAGTTCGGTGGCAATGTGGGTATAGAAAAGACATTTTGGTTAAGGTCACCGAAAGCAGGAGGCTGTGGTTGTTTAGGGAATGGTAATGGAACAACAGGTGAGATAATCTCCGGGAGATGGCTGATTACGTTAGCTGGTTTTGAAAGATCCCCAGAGCTAGCATTTTGGTACTGGCGAGGCAGCGCGTTGAATGTAGATGTGAGCTTGTCATCCAGGTTCTGAAGGTACACATCTTCATCCTCGTCATCATCCGAAGATAGGAGCGCTCCCTGGAGAATCTCATGCGCTGTGCTCTTGCGCCATGACTTCAGCAGCGATGTGGTCGGAGGGGCAGAAGTAGGACCCAAGGGCGCGGATTGGTTCGCCTTGTGACGAAGTACGGCGGATATGAGGTCCTCGGTACCAGGGGATGAATGGATGAGGAGCCCTAAGAGGATCTCAATGCCTCTGACATAGCCGGTACGGAGCCCTCGCTTCCGGTAAGGGATATAAGAACAAGGCCTCGTGGCTTTGATGCATCGTTGGCATGTGGGTTGTGAACCATCGCAGCGTTCCTTTCGACGACGACACGGGTCACAAGCCCGAGATACTCGAAGACGCTTCTTCACAGGGCCCTCATCCTCCGAGCCGCCTCCGATATCATCGGATGGCGGAGGCGGCCCAGCGCCTGGGGCAGCGCCTGTCATAGCCGCATTGAAACACAGACGGATGTTTCTCAAGCCGAGCGGACAAAGTGAGAAGCCGGTGGTTTGAGTAGGAATCAACAGTGCCTGGAAAGGGGTTTCATCTGACCCACCAGCGCGGTGGAGAGGAACACTCGGCCCCGGAATAGGAAGATCTGGGGTTAAGGAAAACAGAAGAACAGATGAGAAATGGCCTGACAAACACCTGAGCAAGCATGCGTGGCCGGACGATTGCTTAACAGGTAGAAGGGTTCCGCTCCGAGTCAAGCACGATGAGCCTTGTGGAGACCGGTAAACCTTTCATCCGAGACCTTCCCAGGGTCCACCTGAAGGATGTTGATTTGCCCCCGAGTTCAAGCTAATGGGGCCTCCCTTCCCACCTCTTCCGCACATGATCCTTGTTAGGCCTGAAGTCTTGTCTTCCACTGTTGCCAGATGTCCATACTTGCCCTCATGTCCGCACGAGACACACCAACAAAGCCGTGACTTTCATGATCTTATGCCGCTTGGTCTAGAGCTCCATAACTCTGTGTTTTCTCTCTGATAACGCTCCTGAAGACTGGGGAGGAGCAAAAGCTAATCCACGGTTTTGTTGCCTGGAGCAATGCTTGTGGCGCTGCTCCAGCATTCCAGCTCATCAAGAAAGGAATTATGACGCGGGCTGTTCACAGGAGCACCAGCTCTGATGCATCTTCAAGCCAGAATGGAAAACCACACAAGCATGAAAGCCCGGTACAAGTCCTAATAGATGCCGCAAGAAGTCTCACCGCAATGGACTCTGCTGTTCCAGGTGCTTTAGCGCTGTCTTCAGTCCCATCAGCGTCATCACTGTCGAGGACCGTCACAGCATCGGCATGGGACCTCGATGCGTCCATTCTCATCTTGGGCATTCGTGGAACAGGTAAAACTAGTTTGGCCCTCTTGGCCGCAAGCTGCATAGGCTTTCGGCTTGTCGACGCAGATCAACATTTTTATCAGGCGACCGGGCTCCCACGAGCCTTGTACCTGTCGCGGCATGGCTTTGAAGCATATCGAAAGCACGAGCTCCAACTTATGCGCACTCTTCTTCAAGAAAACCCAACTCGATCCATTATCGTCTGTGGGCCTGGGTCTGCGGAGGGCACTGGTCAGGAACTTCTAAAGGATTTCCGCAAGAGACATCCCGTCATCTACATTCTGCGTGATCCAGAGGATATAGACCAGTATTTACGCACAAAGGATGTGGCCAAAATTGCCAAACTCTCGGAGCTGGCGAGTCCTAGCTACCGAAAGCTTTCCAACTTTGAGTTCTATAATCTCTCAGAACGCCTGGAGTCAATGAACTCACTAGGCGCGCAGTTCCAACACCACCCGTCCCTCATCCTCAAGGATGTGGAACAGGATTTCATCCGTCTCATCTACAGTATTAGAAGCCAGTCCTCCCGACCCCGTGTCTTGCAAGCTCGCCACTCCCTCTCCTTCCTCCCCCCTGAGTCAAAACCTTTCACTTATGCTCTCACTATTCCAATACAAATTGTCTCCGAAATCGCCCTTGAACTTCGTCGGAACGACCTGGTGGTCGATGCAGTGGAGCTGGTCATCGATCTCAGCTTGCTGCTCGCTGATGGCAAGGCATTTAATAATTCCATTGCCACCTATCTGACCAAGGAATACCACACTCTACGCCGAAATGTCCGACTTCCTGTCATCTTCCACGCATGTTTCTCAGATGATAACCTCTCGGGGGCTTGTGTTCCTCCACCCGCGAAGCGCATTGAAACGTACAGCGAGGTGCTCAACCACGGGCTTCGACTGGCGCCGGATTATCTCACGATTGACCTGTCCTACGATGATGATTCCGCTCAGACATTGATCGCGCGGAAGGTAGGCACAAAGATAATTGGCCATTTCTCAGATCTCCAGCCAGAACCTGGAGCTTGGGATTCAGCCTCTCGATTCCATCTTCTTGAGAAGGCCAACCAATGGGGCTGTGACCTGGTCCGAATCTGTCAATATTCCACCTCGTTTGAAGACAACACTGCAAGACAGCGGTTCCTCTTCCAAGCTGAAAGACTCGGACTACCCAGGATGCCACTTATTGCCTACAATATAGGGCGTTATGGCCGAGCATCCTCCTTCATCAACTCCACCCTGACTCCAGTCACTCATGATCTGATACAGGCTCGACAGCCCAGTCCACCAGGTATCCCCATGCTCACGGTACAGGATGCACAAAATGCCCTATATTCGTCCTTCACTCTGGACAAACTTGTTTTTGGCATCTTTGGAAGTGCAGTCAGTTTGGCCATGTCGCCCCCAATGCACAATGCTGCCTTCGAATTCTGCGGGATGCCGCATCGATATCAGATCTATCAATCTCCGACGTTAGATGACTTGAAACCAGTCTGTCTGGACCCTAATTTTGGGGGCGCCAGTATCAGTTCACCTTTCAAGCGAGAAATCCTCTCCCTCCTACACTACGTGAGCCCAGAAGCTGAGGCCATAGGGGCCGTCAACACCGTTATTCCGCTCCGATCAAAACGACTACCTTCTCTTATTGAACGCAACAGGGCTGGTCCAGTAGTCGCTCTATTTGGTGATAATACAGACTGGATCGGTGTTCATACCTGCATCCGTCGAAACTTATCACCTATCAATGCGGCCAATAACAGGAAAACCGCGCTCATTCTTGGTGCTGGAGGTATGGCTCAAGCGGCCGTATATGCCGCCATTCGGCTGGGTGTGCAGACCGTTCTCATCTATAACCGGACACTCGCCAATGCAGAGAAGCTCGTCCGTCATTTTGATGGCAGAACCTTCTCCATTCATAACATCAATCTATTACAGGAGAGCCCGAGTTCATCACCACAGAGCTCTGGCACGAGCACGCCGACCAACCCAACAACGGGGCCTATCCGAGTGCACGCGATTCCTTCCCTCGATGAGTCAATGCCTTCAGGTATAAATCCGCCCACCATTATAGTTTCATGCATTCCCATGGACAGCAAAGACGGCCCAGTACCACCAAACAACCGGCTTCCCGAGGCTTGGCTCATGAGCGCCACGGGCGGCGTGGTTATTGAAGTAAGTGGCTCCCCATCGCATGTATTTCTGTTTTGAAATTGTACTGACCACACTTTCCTTTGAAGCTAGCCTACAATCCCCGTGAAACGCCACTCCTTTCTCAGGTTCGAACTCTCAGAAAGAAAGGCTGGATAGCCGTCGAGGGCTTGGAAGTCCTGCCGGAACAGGGAATCGCCCAGTTCGAGCTTTTCACGGGCAGAACGGCCCCTCAGCATTTGATGAGAGAGATTGTAGCACAACGAATAAAGGAGATGGTTCAGGGAAGGACATGATATGTGGCATAAACCAAGCAGATGAATTGAGTCACTCCGTGGGTATGTTTATGATTTGGGATTTTAGCGAACCAAGTAGATTATCATCTTAGCGTCTCGTCTTATATGGCAATTTTGAGTGATTTTTTACAGTTTCTACAAACGAGATAAACTCGGAAGCTACTTTATTTCTGACCAGAGTCGAAGCAACGTCCGAGGTTCAGTAATGCCAATTAATCTCACACGGAAGCATCTTCTATGGCTTTGACTGTGGCCCATCTTAATGGTGCATGTGGGGGCATGACGCGGATCGAGGGAAACTGGCAAAGAGTTTTGCCGTGCTGTCCCAATGTGTCAAGATGTTCGCTTATCCTCGGCGAGCGGAATATGGATAAACAACCCCGGGTCAGCGTGGTTGTCGAGATCAAACACTCGCCAATCATTAAATCAATCTCACAAATTACCAGAATAGCTTCTTCTCCCAGCATCGTTCAAAATGAGTTATAAGCCAGCTATCATGAGTGCTTCGCTCGGTAGAGCTTGGCTTCATGATTTCGATCACAAAGTGCAAGAGGCCAGTAAAGCCGGCTTCGAAGGCATCGAAATTTTCTACGAAGACCTAGACTATGTTGCTCGTAAAGCATCCAACAACGATTCTCCGAGCCCCAAACAGCTTCTCGACGCAGCCAGTCATTTCTCAAAGGTCTGTCAGCAAAATGGCCTTAACATAATAGGCATGCAGCCCTTTCTCTTCTACGAGGGGCTCAAAGATCGGGCTCAACATGACGCCTTGATTGAAAAAATGAAGCTGTGGCTCCAAATCGTCAAAATATTGAAAACCGATATCATCCAAATCCCGGCCAACTTCCTCCCTGCGGACCAGCTCATCGGCAATTTCGATCTAATCGCATCCGACCTGCGGGAGCTGGCTGACCTGGGCGCAGCAGAAACGCCAGTCGTCAAGTTTGCTTACGAGAATCTATGCTGGAGCACCCATGTTGATACATGGGAAAATCTATGGGATGTTGTGAAGCGTGTCGATCGTCCCAATTTTGGCGTTTGTCTCGACACATTCAACATCGCGGGGCGAGTTTGGGCCGATCCTGCTTCACCCACAGGGAAGACGCCAAACGCGGATTCCGATTTGGCTAGTTCATTGGAACGAATGGCTAAGGAGGTGGACATTACCAAAGTATTCTATATCCTGGTAGTGGATGCGGAGCGTATGTCATCCCCTCTGGTGGCCGGGCATCCCTTTCATACAGAAGGCAACCCGCCTCGAATGAATTGGTCCCGCAATGCGCGACTGTTCATGTACGAAACAGATCGGGGTGCATACCTCCCGTCAGAGGATGTTGCTAAAACCATCATATTAGGCATGGGATACAAGGGGTATGTTTCAATGGAACTGTTCTCAAGGTCAATGTCAGAGGAAGGGGAACACGTCCCAGGAGAGCATGCGCAGAGAGGTATCAAAGCTTGGAAAACTCTGGCCCGGAAACTAAATCTCAATTGATATGCATATTAACTTGATCTTTTCAGTTTTATCTGAAGGCATTTCTAATCTATTTAGCGACCAATTTATCTGGCCCAGCTGACCATGATGAGAGGATAAGCCAAGAGCACAGCTATGGATTATTAGTACTAAAACGCTGCGCCATATGTAGCAGATGAAAGTTTGCATTGAAGAAGCCAAGTCCGAAAAAGGCTAAGTTGAGCGCGTCCATCAACATCTCATCGCTCGCTAGCATCGATTGAGGAATATGTAGATGAAATGTCGCCATCGGATCCGGCCCACCTGCACCATCATCTACGAGAATCGTGATCCTCCACTGGCTAGACATTGAAGCTGCACTCTCCGCTTCTAGTCATGTAATATGATATATGCACTCATGCCATGTCCGATGACGGCAGTTATCGAAGATTAATAACGCCTTTCTAGCCCTCAACGTAAGTCTATGCATTGATGTTCTATCTCAAAACACACGCACGCTTCTGGTCGCCACCAAGCCTGCAAGGCTCTTGTTTGAGTTATTTCGTCCCTCGATCACTCAAAATTTCCTCAGCTTCGTTGAAATTCAAATACCAAGTCCTTTCAACGGCCACATAATAAGTCAACATGCCCGGATCTATATTTCTTCCCCCATCGGGCGGAAGTGTCGCCAAGCCTACTGCTACTTTCACTGGCGAGGTCTTTGTGGATCTCGTTCACAAGGGAACCGACGCCGGAGTCGGCAATGTTACTTTTACACCATGTGCCAGATCTCATTGGCACACGCATGAAGGAGGTCAATTAATCAAAGTCGTTTCTGGTTCTGGATGGATATGCGACAAAGGAGGGGAAGCACGTCGAATCAAGGCCGGCGACACGATTTGGGCCGAGCCGGGCACTACACATTGGCACGGAGCAGATGATGGCAGTATCCTGACACACTTTGTCGTCGGCATCGGAGCCACCACTTGGCTTGAACCTGTTACAGACGAGGAGTACCATAAGAGGGAGAAGGAGTAGTGTCTGTTGTGCACAGTTATGATTCCTTATCGTAAACTCAATAATAACATGTTGAGGTAGATCTGTTGCATGGCTCTAATCGCTCGCTTCACTGACATTGGCGCTCGGTTGAATTTAAGAGCAAATATCATCGTGTGATTTTCTTTTAGTGATGTGAAAAGTTCTAGTCAGAGGATAAACGGTGATATTCTTTGAAATCATTCATTGTGTTGAGTTGTCGGGCCCTGGCAGCTTCCATTGCTGTTGAACTTTATTCTCTTTTTTCTTACGTATCTTTTAGATCAGCGAAGAGTGTATCGAGATTTGGCTTTCGAGTAACGAATCCCAAGCACCCTCCGCCTGCTTGATCGAGCAAACCACCGTCCCCTCTGATCGTGGACGAAAGAGCTCACATAGTGTAGCGCCCGGCCAGACCTTTTGGCTCCTGCGCTCAATGTTTGGGTGCCACTCTCTTCTCCATGGTGGGAATCCGCTCTCTCCGCCTCAACTTTTTCCGACGAAGAGCGAAACATAGGAACTGTTGCGTAGTTGCAGAGAACATTCAAGAAATCCACCTTGCATTCGTACAGCATAACATGCTCATCCTCATCCGGCGAGAATGAAAGAGACGATGGAGATGTCGCGCCCGAGCTGTAGTAGTGTTCCCACGTGCTATCTACACTTTCGTAGGCTAGGTCTAAAGGAGACTTGCCTTTCTTGTTTTGCAAATTTCGGTCGGCGCCCAGGTCCAGTAAATTTTTAGCCATTTGCCATGAACCTTTGCTGTGGAGTTTGAGGTAATAATGATGGGTCTCGGCCGAGATGCAGGAAGCAAATACATGTAGGGCTGCTTCCCCGTTGATATTTACGGCATCGACATTGAGGCGCTCATCTTGCAAGAGAAGCAGGAGTACATCCATGGCTACTAGCCTGCCCCAAAGCTCCCAGTGTCGCAGGCTATGCATGCTATGCAAGACGGTGTTCCCACAGTGATCTTGTGCGGAAAGATCGAGCCCAAGACACAAAAGCTTTTCAAGGTCTTCTTCGCTCATTAATGCCATGGCTCTCTGATGTACGAGACCTCTTCCAGAGACAGGGTCCGATGCATTGATGTTGATGCCCCACTGCCTAATGATATGCAGAAGGTTTCGGGCAGCAGTAGCGTCATCTAAATAGATAAACTGCCGCATGACGCTTTCCAGTAGATGCCAATGGTTATCAGTGCTTGCGCGCCACTCCTTGACAAAAATGTGTGCAAGTTCCATGTGTCCGGCTTTCAGGGCGTTGCCGAGTGCTGTCTTCCCGGATCTGTTTTTCGCATCGACGGGCACCCCATAGGTTTCAATCAATACACGACACATGTTTGCTTTGCTAAAATAAGCAGCCGCACTGAGAAGGTCTCCTCCTATTGCTCCCAGCAATTCCTTGGCGCCTCTGTTTGCCACCATCTGCGCGAAAGTGGTAGGCTCATCGAAACTCTCACAGTAATTCATCAACGCCATCCCAGTAGGATTTACCCCATGCTCAAGCAAGAGCGTCACCATGTTGAGATGACCGGCGCGACACGCCACATCCATCGCAGTATCGTGCTCGTTTCCGTATTCTTGGTTGACATAGACTTCGACTTCGCGACTCCCAAATTGCTCCGTCCTCAATTGCAGCAGCCGCCGCGCTGGACCTTCCCAACCGAACTCGCAGGCGACGGCCAGCAGCGGCAGATTACGGGGATTTTCAGAATCACCACCCCAGCAGACGTACCAATTGTCTCGAAGAGCTGATCTCTCACGGAAGAAATCCTCATGCAACTGTGCAAATGCCCCGTAGTCGGAAACCTGTGAAAAATGAAAATACCAGTTGTTAATGGAATAAATACCAATCGGCCATGTCAATCTCCTCGACAGTGACCAATTCCAGTATTCCTCAGCATCCTGTACACATCCATTTCTTATTTCTTCCATTAACCTAGTAGCTATTTCTTCGTGCATGCGTCGTGGATCACGGACGTGAAATTTCATCCTGATATCCGCTTGGTTGTTTAGAAGATAGTCTTTGACGCTCTGGTGAACCAAAGTGACTCGCTGTTGATACCGCTTTCCGTCCTCTTCCAACAGTCCGTCGTCACACTTGCAGCGAATTTTCCTGGGGTTTCAATTCAGCATTTACTTCTCACTTCTTTGCAACTTGTTGCAGAGCTCACCAAAACTCACAGACCTCGACCTGTATGACTTGAAGTAAGTGCCCGCACGCTCTTATATAATCCAGGCACACTTGTTCACGCCCATTGAAGGGCGTGGGTTGAATATACAACGCTTCACAGATTTCGGATACAGCAAGTGGCCTTGCAGCCAGTACGACCCAGCCCAGCAGTTTTGATATAGTCTCTGCCTTTTCAGGGTCAACTTGCCCGAGAATTCGGTCGTAAACCGCGTCAAGGCCAGTCGGTAGCTGGTCCAGTGCCGCTTCTATTTGCACCACTGTCTTCGGAAGAAGATCATGCGTCATGAAACTGACCCATAAAAACGTATCCTGTGCTTTTGTGCGGAACACATTCTCAATCTGACGGTGTAATGGCTTGTTGGCAATCCCTTTGATTTGAGCCAAATGGCCCACCTTCTCCGCAATATAGCGTTTGACATCGTCCTTTGCCGCTATATCGCTATCAATTTCAACAGGAATAGCTGAAGATAGGGACTCAGCGATAGGTTCTGGGTGTCTCCTGCTTACTGCGATGAACTTGACTGTCGATTTTGCTTCAATAAGCTTGTTGAACGTCTTCAATACCAGCAGCGCTGACTCCTTTTCACATTCATCCAACGCATCAATCAGACAGTAGACCTTAGTATCCGGCATAGATTCTATCATATCCTCGAACATTCCCCACAGAGACTGAAACGAGTTTGCGCCGGAGAAGACATCTGCCTGCATTCTCCACTGCTGCAGAGGGATCCTCACCAGTTCTTTGCGGTACTGAATCAACTGATATATCAGACCGCGAAGTATGCTGTTCCCCATATTCCGCGTTTCCACCTTGTTGTCGCAAAAGAAGAAGAGAGCAATGCTGTCTTTCTGGACCTCGCACAGGCGCTGTAAGCGCTTAGATAGAAAGATGGAGAGATGAGTTTTACCCATGCCTGGTGGCGCCGATATCCAAAGTGTCCGGGAGATCTCAGCATCTTCTATCCACGATTGGAATTGCGCCGTTGATAGAATCCACCTACACGTCCCCTTAACAATTTCTCCCTTATCAGTCGTGATGCCTTCGCGATCACGGGTCGGGTCGGTAATGCGGAGAGCTCCAACACACTTTAACTCTTCCGATGTCAGTTCTAGGGAATCCTTGAGTTTTCGGACATTTTCGGACGTCAAGTCGCTTTGTAGCGTCAGCAAGCCTCTAATCCGATAGAAAATAAATAAAACAAAACTATACACTTACACTATCAACAACTCGAGTGATAAAACCAAAATAGATCTACTTCTTGACAATTGCTCAAAGCATTGCCGCATCACCCCCTCTTTGTCGTTACCTAACCCTAAAATCTGTCTCAAGGAATCTCGATTGGGTGGGCGGCCGAAGAATTTCTTGTCCGTGGACACGCTTGTGCTTTCAAGTATATTCAACGTCTTGAAGCACGAGTGTGTGCAGCTGTTCAAAACTGATAGGAGTCTCGCACCATGTGCTGTTGGAGAAGAACACATCTCTGCAACTAGCCATCGCAAGTCTTCGACGTCATCAATCCACCCCTGGAGCTGAGAGGGAGTGCTAAAGATCTGATGGCTCATTTTGCTCGCCATTTTGATTATCTTCCCGCTAAAGACGAGGAATCTCGAGACTTCGGTTGCTAAGTCAAAATTTCCTGGCGTGTCAGTTGGGACATGGTTGAGTTGAACCAGAGCATAAAGTAGCTCTTCACACCGCACACGATAGGTAGATGTCGATTCAGGGGCGTTGTTGGATGTGACGCGGCTCTCGCCTTGCTGGCACACGCCTTCACATTGAATATCGCTGCGCAGGATTTGCTTCAATTTCCCGGCCACGATTCTTATTAACTCGTGTCCTCTGGTGAATTTGACCATGTTCGAATGATCGGCATCGATTTGAAGAATGCTCTCATCGTTCGAGGTGATTGGGTTGGTAGGCAATATATTGGATTTGATACGTCCGCCTGTGGCTGAAGATGGCGGAACCATGACGACGCCAGTTCCAGACCGGCTCCAGGACTCGCCGGACTTCTGAGTGCCCAGTCAGTTATAATCTGAACTTCTAGTGTCTTCAAGAGGTACTTACAGAAAGACTTGGCGTCTCATGCGTTTCATATGCCCAGATCAATCTCATACATTGAGAAGATGATACACGCGCAAAGTCCTCTTCCAGCTTTGGCACATAGTCGGATCTATCTGAGAGGCAGTCGAGGAGTGCCGTGTTGGGTTGCTCGCCCAGCATCTTGTAGATATCCTCCATGGTCATACCTACACTGGGCACACCGAAAAAAATACCCCCTTTCATTGCTTCTAGGGTTTCTTGGTCTCTATGGTTTCCGGACAAAGCGACAATAGACTGCTTCATTAGAACACCGCCAAGGCTGTGAGCAAGAAACAGCAGCGGTTTCGATACCCAGCCGCCAGCTTGAAGACTAGCGATAAATGATATCGCTAGATCGGGCAGAACCTGGGATGATTTGCTTTGATAAAGTTTGGTATCATAGCCATAAATGATAAACCTTACACCAGTGAGCAAGTCTGCCAATTCATCTCGAATCCACATGAAGCTTTTTGCACCCCTTGGCTGCCAGGATCCCATGGGGTGGCTTCCCAGCCCAGAGATGACTATACAGCTAATGAATGGTTAGTTTTTCAAGCGAGAATGTCTGAAGGATCGGGATCAAAATGCTAACTCGGCAGTATGACTGCTCTCGTCCACTTCATTTAACGGCGTTAAGCCATAGAAGTGGGTGTCCAGCACAATCGGTTCCGGGAGCCCAGAAACGGGAAAGTCCCATTGATTTTGGCTCGGCTCTCGGCATACAATATGAGGTGTAAACTTGAACATGACTGTTGCCGTTTTGCTCAATCGATTATCGACGGCTGAAGCGAGGGAGCTGATTTGGATCTCCTCCAACTGAAGCCCAGGGATGCAGCCGACCAGCATCTTGGCGGTATCCAGGCGGTCCACATAGCGAGGTAGATATCTCAGCCTGTACACTTTAGAGCTCTGCTCGGGGCCCATGATTTGGTGACATACGGAGGGTAGGTCGCCTGACGTTTGTTGATTGTTGCCAGCGTGTTTTGGACCGGGTGATGAGCGAGGATGAGCTGACACCCCGCCGCAGATAACCAGCCGTAGGTCAGCTGAACACAAATGTGATGCTCTTACCTCAGCATGCATATACAGTCGTACTTGCATAAAGGGGACCAATCATATGCGATGTATATTTCGACGAGGACGACTCGCGATCGCAAGGTAAGGTAAATCAAGCAGACGGGCGTGAACTTAATCGCTCTGTGGGGTTTAATTTAAGATATAGTTCTTAGATATATCTATTGATTTGCCCCGAGTAGTTATAGGTTTCTACTATATACATCTCATTTCTACACCCTACTAACAGCACCTTTTATAGCTTAAAGCTGGGGTTTAGAGGTAGAACTGGGTTGAATCACATTTACCTTGTTTATCTATCTAGTCATAGAATTACATAGATACTGATTTAGACAAAAGTCTACTATACTTATGAAACATATATCCCTTAGCCGCATCTCACTAATCTACGTCCAACAAAATCTTTAAAACAACCACTGTCTACCCATGATGCGGACTCCTTCAATTTGTTTCCATGCCTCCTCCGGTATCCGAGCAGACTCTCTCTTCCCAACCATCTGGAAAAATCTTTGCAAATTGGGCAGTTTACCATCCGCGAAGAAGTCGACCCCGTACACCCCACTTGCAAACTCCAAAAGGGCAAAGAGCACACAGTCAGCGATGTTCATCTCTGGGAAAACTTCGCTCTGCAACCTATCATCTCTTTCGTAGTACTTCTCGATGGTACTCAGCGTCTTTCTGCAGTATTCCATTGCGAGACGTCCGGCATCGGCATTCGTCTCCTCTATCGGCACGAACAACTTGCTACCCTTATGGCAAGCGAAGCCAAATTGACTGCTGGCCTCGTCGGCAAGACCCATTATCTCTCTGATTCTGGCCCGAGCCTCCGCCGTTGCGCCTCTCATACTGTGGCAGTGGGTTCCCTTGAAGAGATCTTTCTGCCATTGGTCATCCGGATGTTCATAGATGTCCTCGAAATACTCCAGAATTGCGAGGGACTGTTTGATGAAGGTGCCGTTGGGCAAGCGTAATATGGGCACAGAGCCGGGTGGTTTGCCTGGGGCCGTCATTTGGCCTGTCTGAGAAATTTCAACGGGTATAATGTTGATATGAGCTGAGTTGAATAATCCCTTCTCATGGAGATATATCAGTACCCGCCGAGGGTAGTAGGTAGCCGGTAGAACATAAAGGTTCATGGGAGTTGTTGACATGATGATGAACGGTACCGAGTTCTAAATCTATAGATGTGATGAAGACTACTTGATGCAACAACGCAGAGATCTGTGTCGATATTTATACATGCAAATAGTTCTCCTCGGAAACATCTTCGGCAATATCTTCGGGAACTTTTCGATGGTGGATCGAGCCCCGAGACCCTGGCGACATAATTTTTCTCAACAAGCCCTCTTAAGAAAAGGCTATTGGTTAGTTTTTCGGAAACCCGTATAATCTTGATAAAGGAGGTGAATGTAAGCACTCGCAGACCTGACTCTTTTAGGGCCCCCAAAATTTCGCCATCATTTCTTCCGGCAATGCTTGCTTCTCCTCGACTGCCTTGAACACCTTGAGAGTTTGAGAATCATGCGACCTTTCGAATATGGCAACACAATTACCTCCCCCAAAATCCTGAGCGATGCTGCGCAGCTGCTTGAGCGTCATCACCAACTTTTGCAGCTGAGTCTGGTGGTCCTCCTCCCATTCCGTGAACGAGTCCCCAACATTAGTGACCGCTACCTTGTGAAATGTGCCATTGGAATGCACGCCACGAATCAGCCAGGGGTTTCTCCCAAACCAAAGCTGTCGCATGCATTGGTTCAGAGGTTTGAGTCGTACACCAGTTTTGATTTCGGCTGCTGTCGTCTGATACCTTAACCCAGCCTACCTCATTGACTCCGCTACATGGGTGGTTTTCAGGTTTAATGACTGTGGGCAGTTTGTGGACGGGTTTCTAAGTTGCGAACATAAAGACTGCGAACCAAGATCTACCGTCACATTTGCTGATCCCGAAGTCCCTGGCTCATTATAAGAAGCGTCGACTTCAAGGCGGACAACACAACTTAAGTCGCCCAAAGGGTAAAGTAAAACAGAGTGGTGAGAAGAACTACCTTCCAATTCCTTGAGGTAAACTGTGCAAGCCTTCTCAAACGCTCGACCAAATCCATGATCGTATGAACCTCGAATGATGATCGAGGCATCACGCTCGCATCTTTCAATGAACAGAGTGTTATTGGCCACAAGAAAGTTGAAACCCGGAATGGCTAGAAAATAATATTAAATTCCTAAAGCTATTTCGATTGCAAATAATGCCAACGTCGTTGAATCGGGGGCCCGGATTCATCACCTCCACGACTCTGAAAAGCGGTTCAAAGGAATGACGAGGCACGTGAAGTTGATCGGTAGAACGGGCATGGTGCCTTCTAGCCCGTGTAAGATTCAGAGGCAGGTCAATCTCTTTCCATTGCGATACGCATCCTGTCAATCCTTGTTAGTGTTCGAAATAGAGAGATTTCGTGTTGCAAGTAACTTACCAGGACTTATAATCTCTACACCTCCAATCTGCCAGTTGTAACTACATATCAAATCACATCCTGGTGAGCTTGACATTTTAGCCGTATCGGACGATGGATTCAACTCCAAGGCTTGAATTGTGCCCAACACTTCATCTGCTTGGACCCCCTCCTACATCCACGCATCTTGAGATACCACAGCAGGACTTTGCGTCTGCCTTGAACTCGGAGAATTTGAATCGCATGGTTTTCCAAGTCTTTTTATATCGGCCTGATGTTGGGTGATGTGCTGGTCGGCGCGAGAATGGCGGCCACAAGAACACGTTGGCATGATGTATGTCGGGCAAAGTCGATAAAGGAGATGCGTAGGTGAACTGCCGTTTGAAAAACCTGGGCGGAAATAAAGAAAGCCAACTGTGTATGAGGCAGCGTGAGGGTTCGGTTTTACTGAAACACGATAGATTGAGATCAACAATCATAAATAATCGCTAACAAAGCCCAGAAATAAACGTGGCACAGACTACCTCCTAAGAAACACGTGGAAAGGTTCGATAGAGCACCCGGAATTGGAGCATTTTAATCATCAACCAGGTGCAATTTATAGATATCAGCTCCTGGGTGGAAAGCCGTCGTCTCCTCGATACTACATTGCTGCATGTCGCTTAGCCTGAGTTGACGAATGTAGAGGGCCATGGACTCTAGTGCTAATGGTTTTCGATCTCTGGATATTGAAGGTTTGTGCGATACTAACAGGTATGAGAGGACTGGCTACTCTCAAAATCTCGACTAAACATAACTCATTTCGTGGCTAGTTCTAAACAACAAGCCGCTTCTACGCGGGCTTTTATACTCGACCTCGTCTTCGGCGTCACTTCACAAAACAAGTCAGCACCTGTTCGCTGTTTTGTGCGGCGCCAGGCCTGAAATCACATTCACAAGGAACCAACAATAACACAGTTTTCGATGCCATTTTAAACCTAACTTGACGTGTTTCTTTAAATCCCGGGCTTTCTATTCTTGTCTTAAAATATCCTTGTCTTAAAATATCCTTGTCTTAAAATATCCTTGTCTTAAAAGTTTTGCAGTAGAATGCTTCTATCTTCAAAATGGGCGAGTGTGGACGGACACCTCTAATCTAGTATATGCCAATATACCGTATCATCAATTTAGAGCTCATCATAGGGTTGGCCTATAATGGTCGTAGCCGGTTTTGCGTCATAATTTATATCATCAAATATTTTCTTGACGAAATCAGCGAGCATGATATCGCTCCCTTTGGCAGCAATGAAACCCGCAGCTGCGGGGAGCTGTTCGACATTTCCAGTGAACTTGGAAACATACGGCGTAGTTCCAACTGAGACCAGTAAGTCGCCAAGCAAAGACAGATCCCAGTAGGCTTTCGGACTCACCTGGGAAGATAAGCTCTGGGCTTTGTGCATATGGTCCCACGTTGTAAAAGAAAAAGCCTTCTCCTGTAAACTGCTGTGGGCCACTTTTATACGTGTCTCGGTAGGCTGGCTCTCCCGTGGTCCAAGGTAATATCATAATAGAGCTTGAGTACCCATCCTCTGAAGGCGGCAATACTTTCTCATAAAACCATTTCCGATACGTTTCGAGATGCTTATCGGCCAGTTCTTGCTGTTCTGCTGTGATACTTGGAGTGTAATCCCTGAATGTTTATTAGCAATCAGATAGTATTATGAGTGTGATTCAGGTTGCAGCTGGAAGTCATACACTTTGAATCGTACCTGAGGATTAAGAACAGGAGGCTTGCCCATCTTGTCTGTGTAGTCTTGAAGAAATGGTTTCAGTAGCCCCAGCCACTGATCACGGTTTGCAGACCACTCGAAAGCGTGATTGAGATATTGATCTATACTTTCATCAGTATCCGCCGGGCGACTCTCGTTCCACAAATCCGCAAGACTAATTCTGGTGCATGTCACTTCCAAGAAGTCTTCCACTTTAGTAATGAATGCTTCAAAAAGCTTCTGACTCGGCTCATCTTTAACCGGCCAGTAATCCGTTGGGCAAATGAGTTTAGTTGGATTCTAATAAAAGGGAAGTAATCAGTAAGCTACATCATGCGGGCTGGGGACTATTCAGTACCTTGAAAGCTTTATGGTATGTTTCATTCGACCCATACAAAGCCTGTGCGAGAGTCACATACTCCGCTGCTGTGCGGGAAAACCCACCAATTGTATCCCACTTTCTGCATTGAACATTGTCAATTCGAGCTTGTTCAATGAACAAAATATCACTCGCAAAGATAACATACGGACTGTAGGGCACGAGACCTTTTGAGCTTGTCACCCCGGTCGTAGGTCTCATGGAGAAAATTCCTTGTGCGGCAGCAGGTGACCTGATACTCCCAAGAGCTTAAAGGAAGGGGGAAGGTGTAGAATTAGAAGCGTTCTAAATCGAGGCCTAATTCAGGGAGAACTCACTATCCGTTCCTAGAGCAAAATCTAGCCAGGGATATGTGGCAACGGCAGAGGCGCTACCTGAGCTGCTACCACTGGGTGTCAGATAACCATCCCCGCGAGGGTTAAATGGGCCGTGATAATCAACGTAGTCACAGGTTGGCCACTCCGAGTCAGCAAACTGGGTACTCTTCAATTTCCCAACAATTACAAATCCTAAGTCCAGAAGGTGCTGGACAGTTTCGGCGGTTTCTTCCTTTACAGGATAGAGCGCGGTGAATGCTCGAGAAGAAGCACCTGTTTTAAGTCCCTTCAGATCAATTATGTCTTTGACAGCAATCCTAATTCCAGAAAACGGCTTCTCGTCGGTCTTGGAGTAATATAATCGGGAAGGCGCAGCGACTGTGAGAGCGCCCGGAAACTGTTCACCGTATACAGCCGCGTCGAGAGACCGAAACCTTGCACCCGCGTTTAGCCGAGTTTGCCCACTTTGAAAACTGTCTTCACTTACCCATCATTCCCGTCAGGTACTGTTGAAACGATAAACGCACCGGCATGGTCGGGGTACAAACGATACGCTTGGTGGAGGTGACCATGGTGGAGAAAGTAAGGACCTTGAGGTAATGGAGCCGAGTCGGAAGGGAGGATGGCGAAGTGAACAACTTTGACGCCTCGTAAGCGTAAGCTTTCATGGGTTTTGGCGAGCGCAGCATGATCATTGCCAATTACTTGGATGATGGCATATTGGGAGAACTCGGTAGACCATACGTCGTCTTGAGTCTCAAAGTCATTGAATATAGCCTGGATAGCCTCCGCCTGGCCGTTGATTGTGAGGACGGTGCAGGCCTGGACAGCGTGATCATACTCAATCTGGGGCCAATCAACCTTCTGCTCCTGTCAAGTCATTAGCCATGAATTTGGCACACTAACCAAGTGGTGATAAGCTTGCATCAGGGAGTGGATGAAGGTAGTATGCTACCTGGCCCAGGCGGGCAATAGTAGACACGAGAGGTGGTTTAGCGGTACCAAGGATAGCCATTAAAAGGATCAAGAAGAGTAGTGCTCTTAAAGCCATGGCGGCGAAGGAACAAGCAGCGTACTAGATAAAATAGAATTACTTGGAGATAAGGAAATATTGGTGCTCAAGTTGCATTTTCTACACATTGGAGAACGAATTCAAGGGATGGTGCAGCGGCAAAGCTGCACCAGGCACAAAGAAAATGTAGAACAAGCGCGGACAAGTCGATCGGGGGATCAGGGAGACCCCCAAAAGTGAAATTGGTGAATGGGTGCAAATATAGGAGGACAAAGGTTTCTAGTCATACCGTATGCTATCAAAGTCTACATACGCCACAGTCCTAAAACAGAGGCCGTGTAATACCCCTCATTCAAGTAAGATGTCGCAATTCCAAAAGTTTAACTTATATTGACTTCGGGGAATGGAGAATTTTCCTGGAAGAATGTAAAGAAGCACTCAAGAACAGTGCCACCTTGGTTGTTAGGCGTATTGTCCCATAGGAAAAGGCCTTGACTTGGGGCGTGTCCGCCAGAGACTGTCTCACATAGTTTCAGGTTAGTCCTAATCTCATTGTATCAATAGCATACGCTCTGCTGTATCCTTTTATCAGTCCTAGGCCAGGTGTGTGGGAGCTAGATATAATATCATCTGTCTCCTATAAGGCAGCAATTTGATGTCACTCAGACCAAAAACCAGCTGTCATTTTTAAATTTACCGATTGCTAGCCAGTATCTCAAGTCATTTGATGCTCTAATATCCCATTATAGAAACGAAACTAGAAGCTGCGCTCCGGCTACTGCCTTCACACGTCAAGCTTCAACCGCTTAATTATCCACTTCCCCTCCCCAAAGGCATGATTCAGGCATTACTCGGCCCAAGGACAGCCGCAAAGCCACAAGCTGACAAACGGACTAGACTTCGGGTTGCGTAAGTTCCCCTCTCATCTTTTTGGTACCAAAGTCTGGGGTCTATAATTAGGTGGATGAGGTGGCCTGTTCTGAAATCATTAACCACCGCATTACTCTACTTAAATTCCCAAACGGCATCACATCTTTTTGGATGAGCACCACATTATGGCAGATAGCATCCAAATCCTTATGGCAACCCCATATATCAACATAGGTTTCCTCCCTCCCTTCTCTTTCAAAATGAGAAATTTATATTCCGGGGAGTTGAAGGCGGCTTCTAACGCGCGATAGCCTCGATTGACATCGGGAGGAGAGATCTCTTCCAGCTAATAATCTGAAATGGCTTCTCGGTGACTACAGCGGTTGAACAAACTGTCGCTGGGACTACTAGCGATGCGGCTTCTTCGGCCGAAGACGCCTTGATCGGCCACGTTCTTAACGTCGCAAATGCCATTTGCAAACTCGCAATGCTGCTCCCACCTGACGAACAATCCAAGCTAATTAATTCACTTTGTCACCCATCTACAACAAGTGGCAGTTCCTGATCCCAATAATGGCGGTGATATGGAGTTTGAAGATGAAAGCTTCTGACAAGCCAGCTTATCACACGCGCCTTGCATAACATGGAGAAGCCCGAAGCAGCAGGACGATAGTAGGATATAAGTTGTGACCAGGAGAAAGGGCGGTGTTCGCTTTAGGTTACCACTATGAATACCACTTTCTTAACTGTCTCGGTAGGTGGGTGTATCTTACATGCACTTCACAAATTTTGACTTCTTCAATAGCGAGAAATATATATGCTCGCATGCAACCGCCGCCCACATGTGAGTTGATGGCAAACTGTAAATTCTGAAACCTGTAATTAGCTTATATTCCGGACCGTTAATTCCCTATCACAAGAAATATTTATATCCTTTTCCGATCCGTGTATAACTTTATAAATTATCTTAGAATACAGAGAGTATTATTTTATATCTATCTATATGTAGTTATTGGTATAGAGATATTGTTGATATATATCTAAGGATAAGCTTAAATGCTAGTACTATCTTAGTATTAAAGAGTAAGAGATTAAATTAAGAAATATTTCTTGTATTTAAGATGGATTGGAAGTAGAAATCTACATTTATCTAGAAGAGTAAGTAAAATTGTCTATAGTAGTACTAATATAACGAGAGAAAGGAATCGGAGAAGATAGCTTTAAAAAAAAATACCTGTAATCTTTGGAAACACTCATGTCGTTACTCCCCTCCGTCTCTAACATTCAATAGTGCCCGGGGCAGATTTATCTACCAAGTCGCTCTATGCGAATATCAACAGGAAAGTAACAGGCTAATTGGCCCCAGGGGTAATCATCCCAACGTCAACGTTTTCATCATGGAATTCCCCGCGCGATTTGTTTTCGTCTTTGAACTTGGAGCCTCAATTAAGACCCTGGCCCCGGGTCAAGAAATCGAGAATAGAAACAAACTAAAGAGAGACCGTCTGTTGGCCCAGTCCCTGTTCCCATTGTCCATAGTTCAATAAAGGCGAGGTCAATGTTGGATCCAAAATCAGCTCTGCCAACTCATCTTGCCATTCCATTAGCACCTAGTTAGGAATGGACTACTCTCTAGGGTCACACGTATCCGAGCGCCCGACAACTAGCTAAAATTGATTTTTATATTTTCGGATTTCCCTGCCTATAATACTAAAATCGCTTAATTAATAATTTCGTAATAATACCTCCCCTAAAGAAAGATCTCAGTATTATATAAGATAAAATTATTTCTCTCTTTTACTAGGGAAAGATAAATTCTGAAATCCTCTCTATTATTAACTAATCTCTTTACTTAAAGGGTATTAGTAGTATTAGAATTTTAACCCTTAAGACCTATATTTTATCTCTTAGGCTTTCTTAGTAGAATTCCCTCTCCTACTTATATAATAAGATTAAAGGTCTCTTTAAGAGTAATACTTAATATAATAAGATACTAGCTGAAGTAAATTAGCTCCTTACTGTATAAGGACTTTAATTAATTAATCTATATATACTAGAGTACTAGCTCTAGTAATAGGGATTTAAAAGAGAGTCTTAGACTACTTATTTAGATAAGCTTATTAGTAGAATTAAGTTCTACTTTTATAACTATAGATATAGTAATATATTAATTATATAAGATCTTTAAGTCTTTAATAATATTTAAGTCTTAGAGTAGACTATTTAATATATTTACTGAGAGAATAGTATAAAATAAAAGCTTTATATAAGAGAGGAAAGAGAGATTATACTATAAAGAGTAATTAACTTTCTTAAATAAGACTATTAGGAGTTAGATATAATACTTAGCTATAGGTATAATTATCTTTATATCTATATATAATAAAAGGGGTAAATTTTAGTTTTCTAGAATCAGCTTTATTCCTTCTATTAAGAAGTCTTTCTAGAGTAAGTTCAGAAGTAAAAGGAGACTATATTTATTTATTATATAAATTTTATAGTACCTAGACCTAATTTTCTCTAGTGCTTTAATAGATATAAGAAGTTAAAAAGATATAGCTTCTAAGTATATATCTATATTAATACTTATTCTTACTATATTATCTGGTTTTATATTAGCTAATTAGTAACTATAGTAATTAGTACTCTTAAGCAGTATCTTTATATAATAAAGTATCTTAGAATATAGCTATTCTTTATAAGGTCTGACTTTAGAAGAGAGATATATCTTTAGATAACTATATAAGCTTCTCTTACTTAACTTAGTTCAGTAGATATCTTATATAAGGATCCAGATAGGAATTTATATACCTATTACTAAGAAGACTGAATTAACTCCTATTATTTTTATAGTCTAAGTACTAGGAATATATAAATTAAATCTTAGTAGTATATTCTCTATAAAGGAGCTATAGAAATATTTATAGTAAAACTCTATATTATATAAGAGAAATTAATCTAATATAATACTATAGAATTTCTTTAGAAAGCTAGCTACTTATACTCTCTTTATTAAAGGGAGTAATACTAATTAAATTACTCTATATATAGTCTTTAGAAACTATATATAAGATACTTTTATTTCTTTTATTTAACTTTAGAATAAATATAAGATCTATATACAGTTAAGGTATAAGTATATAGTTTCTAGGATTCTAATAGATCTCTACTACTTCCAGATAGTTTAAAATTAGAGTATTCCTCTAAGTAATAATAAGGAAGATTAAGATTATAATCTTCTTTATATACTTCTTAAGCTATTTAAGAATATTAATATTAATTCCTTTTTAACCCTTTTTACTAATAATTAGTATTAAACCTAGCTCTAAGCTCTTAGGTATATAGGTATAACTGATCTTAAGGCTACTATACTAATTTATCTATAGCTATACTAACTTATATAAGAGTATTAAGGGAGTAATTAGCTATCTTTACTTTAATTAATAGATACTCTATAAGGAGGCTTTAAGTAATATATAAGTAAATTTATTCTTAATATCTTATATAAGATCTAATTAAAATTAGAATAAACTTCTTAAAGTAAATTACTAGGATAATACCTAGCTTTAAGATAATTAACTTTTAGAATCCCTCTAGTAATATCTTATATAATAGTAAGATAAAGAGATTTATTATAGAGATCCTATTTATATAAGAGAAAGCTAAGATCTATATTTATTTCTATATAGGTTAGTATTTCTTAATACCCTATATTTAAGATACTAGATCAGACTATTTCTTTCTTATATAAGTATTTATAAGATTCTTCTTTTATATCTCTAGAAGAGTTTCTTCTTCTTATATAATCTCTTCTTCTAGTACAGGCTCTTCTTCTGGTATTCTCTTTTACTTTATTAGAATAAACTAAGGTAAAGGGCTTAGTAATTTTATAGTTTAAACTAGTATTATATAAGCAGAGGATAAAAATATATCTCCTTTAGTTTCCTCTTTATTATATAGTAAGAAGTTTATATAAATAAGAAAGAACCTATCTTAGAACTTCTACCTCTATAAGTTATCCTTAGTAAATAGTAACTTAATTATACGAGCTGGATATAAGGCTAAAGCTAGAGTAATTTAGTAGAAGCTAGCTATTTTTAACTATAATATTCTAATCTGCTAAGGGGTATTTTAATTAATAAAATTAATTATATATAATTATATAAAGTAATTAATCCAGGTTTCTTTAAGTATTATACTATTCTTAATATTATTCCAAGGGAGAGGCTTAAGCTTAATAGTATCTATAGTAGATTAATTAGTTAAGGAAGTAGTATAACCTTATATATATATACTAAGCTGGATTACTAATTTTAAGATAAATCCTCCTTAAGAGGATCTTTAATCAGAAGAAAGAATAGAATAAAACTATATCCGAAGACTATCTTTATAGTTATACAGGCCTATTCTATAAGATAATTTCCCTAGTTCTATAGGAGATTCTGATTATAGTTTTTAGATTATAAGAGTACTTTTTACTTTAAAGAGATAGGTAGTTTAATTATACTTTATTAGTACTTAGAATCTAGGAATTATTTAAGCTAGATTTAAATTAGCTATTATATAAGAGATTAGAGTAGAATCTATAAATTTATTATTATTAATTAAAATCCCCTCTAGCTAAGGTAGGCTATAGAAAGAGTAAAAAGATAAAAATAAGTTCTCTTTCTGAATATCCTTATATATTTACTCTCCTAGTACTACTAAGTAGTATTTTAAAATTATATAAAAAGGTATTATATAAGGTAGTAGAAAGATAAAATTAGAAAAAAGAAGAAGAAAATAGAAAGAAAAAAGAAGAGATATAATTTAATTTATTTTATATAAAAATAAGCTAGTTAAGGAGTAGAATACAGGGGGGCTATATTACTTACTTAAGCTCTACTAAATTAGGGAAAATAAAGCTCTTACTAGTATAGAGGTTAATATATAGTAGAATTAAGGTAAGAAGAAGGTAAGAAGAAAGTAAGATCTAGATATATATACTACCTATAAGGGTAAATAAAGCTTACTTTTATATCTTATCTTCTTCCTCTTTCTTTCTTCTTTAAATAATATTACTTTCCTATATATATAAGTAATTCCTTTATATTTTTAAAGTATCCAGCTTACTTAAGTAATAGTAGTAATAATAGTAGTAATAATAGCAGTAGTAATAATAAGATAGTATATAAAGAATCCCCAGATCTCTTATATTTATTTATATAGCTAACCTCAGATTAGTAATAAGTAGTAGTAGTAGTAGTAGTAGGAGTAGCAGATAGTAGCCCTTTAAGGTAAGACTATAGTAAGTCTTTCTTTAAATTATCCTTTTATATATAAGACTAATATTTAGAATAGGTTATCCCTATCCCTCTTATATAAGATATTACCCAGAGTTTCTATCTCCAGAGGGTAGATATATATAGTAATATTCTCCGGCAGTATATATCTAATATACTATAGCAGGCGGTTTTAGATCTTAGGTCTGAATATCAGATTATCTTTATATAAGGATAAGTCAGAGAGGATCAGATTATAAGCTATAGGTAGAGCTATATAAATATATTCTTAATCTAAAGCAGAGGTATTCTAACTACTAATATCTATAATTCTTATTAAAATAAGATTACTTTAGATTAAGACTTATATATAGCTCCCTTCCTAAGCTATATCTATCTCCTAGATTACTTTAGAGGTACCTATAGAAATTATAAGTAGATAGACTATATAATCTATTATTTAAATAGAGATAGATAGGGAGCTTCTATATAATACTAAGAAGAAGTTTAATCTATTAGGTTACTTCCTCCTGCTAGAGGGGAGGAAAATCTAATTCAGATTAAAGATAATAATAAGAGTATTATAGTATTATTAGATAAGAAGGGGGGGTCTATAGCTAGTTCTACAGCCTTCTCTCTTATCCTTAACTAAAGTAAGTATATATTTCTCTTTTATTCTTATATAAGCTTATTTCTTTTTCTTTAGGTATTAGGCTATCCAGCTAATAAAGTAAGTAGATTAAGTAGTCTGCTTATAGAAGTATTAGCTTATAAGTATAAGCTAACCTAGAGCAATAGCTAATATCTTCTTATAGTATTCTAGATTAGTAGCTAGATATCTTATATAAGTATCTAGTAAAGTAAAGATTAGCTAGTCTAAAAAGAAAAGATAAAAAAATAAAAATATATTAACTCTTACTTATACAGGCCCTTATTATATAAGATAAAAATCCTTTACTTCTATCTCCAGATAGAGATTATCTTTATAATATTTTATATCCAACCTCTACCTGGAAATAGATAGATTATCTACTATATAAGGTTAGATAAACCTGGAAATAGATAGATTATTATAGTAGGAATTAAACCCGGAGGTTTAAGGGTAACTTTTTACTATTTTATATTAATAATAACTGCTATACCAGAAGCGGGTTTTATTAGAAGGTATATATAAAAAATAATATATATACTGGAAGGCAGGCGCGGGAAATCCGAAAATATAAAAATCGATTTTGGCCAGTTGTCGGGCGCTCGGATACGTGCCACCCTACTACTCTCTGTTGGCAGCATCATGTCAGTCGAGGATCCACAGCTGATGCTTCTAGGACCGTTTTGGCCCGAACATGCGCAGACAAGGGGGGCCAATCTGACGGCATACGCAACGAAAAACCCAAATGAGTGTAAAACAGACCATCAAACGAAACGTCAGGCCCACTATTCACTGTTGTCCGGGAGGCATACTGAGTCAAAGTAATAAGACCAGACCTTCCCAGCCTGTTTTCAATAAAACATCCAACCCCCAAGCATACTTTGAGTGCAGTTATCTCTCTGTCTTCTCAATTCCACACAAGACATGTCGACCCATAGCACACTGGCAGTTGCGGCAGCGACCCTTCTACTCGTGGCAGTCACCATGGGTGTTTTGCGGCGAGATCAATCCCGCAATGCACCGAGGAGCCTTAGCCAAGCGCCGAAAGAGCTCCCGCAGCCCACCAAGATTGCGTTGAACCTCAAGGCGACTCTCCCCGAAGCTGTGACACTCTCTTCGGAAGCGGACGCGTTCAACAAAATCACCGACTCATATTGGGCGAGGCAGAATCGGGAAGTGTTCCCCGCATGCTACGTTCAGCCGCGATCTGTTGAGCAGCTTCAAAAGGCTGTGAAGCTCCTAAAACAAGAGTACGTTGATACCAAGTATGCAAAAGGACAAGGGAATGAAAAGGGATTATTCGTCGTCAAGGGAGGTGGAGCTTCTCCAGCGCTCGGACTCAACAACGTAAACTCGGGTGTTGTGATTGACTTGGCTCATTTCCGAGACATCACTTATGCAGACGACTACTCCCATGTCACTGTTGGTTGTGGTCTCAAATGGAAAGACCTTTACGAGGATTTGGAGCCAAAATCTCTTGCCGTGGCTGGAGGGAGGACAGTCCCTGTTGGGGTCGCGGGCTTGACTCTGCAAGGTGGCATGTCCTTCTATTCCCCAGTGCGTGGGTTTGTGTGCTCCACGGTCACGGAATACAATGTTGTCCTTGCCGATGGAAATGCAGTTGTAGCATCCGAGACGTCCTATCCAGACCTATGGCGGGCGCTAAAGGGGGGATCGAACAACTTTGGCATTGTTACCAGTTTCACGATTCCATGCTTCCCGTCCAGCGATATGTGGTTCACGTGCAACTACACTTCTGGCTTCCAGGCTCCAAGCTTGGTTAAAGCATTTCATGACTACGTGAGAGAGGCCAGTTCGGGAAAGCCTGGGGCTTTCGATAAAAATGCTACCATCCCCATCACCTGCTTAGGCTACACCAGCGATCTTGGTGTTCATGCCACGGCGAATTATCTTGGATACACAGTCCCACCCAAGGACAAGAAATGGCCTCCATATTGGAAAAAGTCACCATTTGGATCTCTATGGAATTTATGGAGCACAGCCAAAGTTCAGAGCTTGCTCAGTGCAGTCGCGGAACAGTCGGAGCAGTCGCCACCAGGGACTTACACTATATTCGCAGTGACCACCTTCAAGAACGACTTGGACACGTTGATGGCTGCTTATACGGCATATCGTGAAGCCTCAGCAGCGGGCAAACGAGTGAAGGGGATGATCCTCTCATTGGCTCTTCAGCCAATCCTACCTCAATGGTACAAGAATGGCCAGCCTAATGTCCTAGGGTTGGATGAATGCAATGAACCTCTCGTTGTTGCAGAAATTACGATTAAATGGGATAGGACAGAACACACTGAATTAGTCCAAAGCATATCCCGCCGATTTATTGAGCGGGTTGACAAGGACGCCGAGGCTAATCAGACAGCTCATCCATTCCGATTCGCCAACTACTGCGCTGAATGGCAAGACCCAATGAAGGGATACGGAGAAGAGAATCTCCAATTCATGCGTACAGTTAGCCGAAAGTATGACCCGGAGGGTGTGTTCCAACGGGCATGCATCGGTGGCTTCAAACTTGGCATGGACTACCACTAAAGGAGGAGCCTGTATCAAATCGTTAAATCGGGTGACTTGGAATTCCGGAAAATGAGACTCTCCAGCCTCCCTTCCCTCGTGAGCAGTTACATCGAACCTAAAACTTTTGAAAAAATACAAAAATCAAACGTCATTTTGGATCAAGACATGGCTTATTGCATCCCTTCACAAGAAGATTTATAACAGCCAGACTTTTCCCATTCCCCTTATTCTAAGCTCATGGTTGAAAGAAAAAGGGTACGATTGAACATCATAATCTATTCCAGCTCTATGTGCCCTGAGTCTTCTGTTTGTCCGTGAAATTCCAACGCAGCATCCTTCTCGCAGAGACTTCCCTTTCCCAAACAATTCTATTCCCATTCAATACGAATCAGTGGGGTGGAATACACATCCAGCTCAACCCCATCCCATCTATCGACCTTGGAGTAGGTCAGATATACCTCGTTTCGTGATCCGGGCCTCAAAGTTGGGTGGGCTTGAAGAGAGTAAGCTGGTAATGTAGCATTCCCATCTACACCTTTATACAAGAGCGTCGGCTGGGACCATGGTCCCTGGGGCTCTGCGGCAGTGGTGATGAAGAATTCGGCGGAGATGCTAATTCCAGCTTGTCCGATCCACACATAACGGTTCCAGGGCTCATAGAAGTAGTAGGTTCCCTGCCCGCCTGCTCCGGCATTTACAAGATGAGCATTACTGTCGGTTATGACAGGTTGCTTTGATGTCCAAGAACCCCCTACCCAATATTGATACTTAGACTTGTCCTCGACAGAATCTGCAGCAACCTTAGCCAAGGCTATAGGCTTCCCATTATCATCCGCCTTGGCGTATAGGTATGCCACACCGTCGTTGACCACATTGCCGTACGATCCATATGCGAATGAACCCTGAGGCCAGAAGTCCTGGTTGACGATTGATACAGACGGCAGGGCCTTGGGGTCGGGGTTGAAAGGGTCATAAGTAATCTTATGTAGAGCCGCGGACGGGTTATTTTGCAGTAGAGTCAAATCTTCAAGCTTCTGGTTCTTAATCCACGTATACGCCGTGATTTGGCCCTCAAACTGGCCTGCAGTGACCATGGGTGGGCTGTCTGGCCAGAGAGCATAGCGAGTTTTGCCATCTAGGCAAGCTCCAGCAGTGTTTCCGTTGCACTGGTTACAGGCGCTGCATTGCTCGTTCGTCATGTGGTAGAACGGCGCATGGTTGTTGCCGGTCATGCGTACGATATTCGTCTGCTCTACGTACGGGGTGCCATCGAAATTGAAGGGCGTGAAGCCGGCAGTAGACGAGATAGTGCCACCCCCTGGGTAACCTTGGTCGTCATTCATCTGGGTATCGCGACATGTCCAGAAATCTCGGGTTTGGAACCTGATGGAGCCGCAGCTGTCTCGGTTTAGTGATGGGTCGGACACGAGTCCCAGGACCTGTGGGGTGCCCTTGATCGTCGGAGTAAAAGTATCACGGGGGATTGAGTAGGCTGAGGCTGAACCTATGACAGCCGCTGCAAACAATCCCCGAGTGCTAATTGTCTGTGGATATAACATCTTGCTGCTGAGGCTTTACTTCGGGACGAAATGAAAGAGAAGTGCAAGGTAAATAGAAACGAGAAAAAAAGAGGCAAAAAGAGAAAAGTATATAAGAAGAGAAGAAACACCAAAAACCATTGAGTCGAGGGAAAAGGTTGATGGTGTGTCTCAGAAGTCTCTCAAGGGTGAATACTTATACACGAACTGTTTCGCAAGGTACACACGGCTATGTTAGCAGGGCCAAGAACTATTAGTCTATCCCAGTTGTTTCAAGATCATCATTTGTGCTTCAGTTCACAAATAATCCCAGGTGTCTGATGAAAAATGGATCTGCTTAGTAGAGCCACCAGGGCACTCATCCTTGAATATCATCAGAATCCTCGCTCATGCTCCCCCATACAAATTGTGCCAAATAAACAAGAGTATATATTTACGTGTCACTGTCCTATGGACGTGCAAAATTGGAACTTTGTCCAAAAAGCATGAAGTTAAGTCCGACAAACAGCACAGCAATCGGGCATGCTTCTCAAAGGAGCCGTAAGCGCGGCACTGATCATGCTTCTAAAAATAGTAGCGCGCTTCCTCTTGCATTGTTTCAACTAAAAGCGTCTAGAATTGAAAATAATTTCCCAGTACAGCTTAACCTAGCACTACCAAGGTGCATTCGCTCACCCGCGAGTTAAGCAACCCACGAAGTACCCTGACCTTGGCGATCATCCCCAATGTATTCAACAAGGCCATTAATGAAATGCATTTTCCGTTAATGTCGCTATTCAGCTATGACGTTCTTAGTTTATCTTCGTTTCATCCTTCTAGTGTTACTTTGGTACGGGGAGAAAGAAAGGTAAATAGGTCAGCAGGTAATCAGACGTGAGAGCAGAATTCTGTCAGTTCGCTATGCTCACTCGTTGATTAAGTTTAATAGAAAAAAAAAACTAAGCGACCACCTAAGTTTTTAATATCGACGGATAGGCTATGAGCCACAATATTCTTATATTTCTAAGATCTCCCGAGGCAGCATGCAGGGTTTGTTTTGAGATATAGGGTAGGCAACAAAGAGGTGATCTGGATTACTCATCCATATTCTGACTCCCTGCAGTGGATCCGCGCGTAGGACGCGTCGCAATTGTTTACCATCAACACATATTTTGTCTCAATCATGGTCCATTCAGGATTGTTGACACAAATGAGGTATGCCCGAATTGTGTAGCGCGGGAAGAACGAATTCGCATCTGAGTATGACGGTACAAGGGGACGAGGATCTCATCTTTTGTGGCAATGCTGCTGTTGCATGTCGCGATGCGTGTTCGCGAATTTGTTCAACCCGAGGCTCATAGAGTTTTGGCCTTGCCTTTTGGCTTTCTTGTCCATTTATGATCTGAGAGACGCTGATTACAATTTCGCCTGATAAAAGCTCAAGATCTCGGAGACGGAGAAAAGCCCAGTTCAATGGAGTTGACATCCAAGTCACTAGGGATGTGTGCAGGTAACTGGCTGCTGTACATTTCGACTTAACTAACTAAACTTCTATCTGCTTTCCATCTAGCCAATCCTTTGCTTGCCGGTAAAGGAGATCGTGTTTCTCACCAGAAGCCGTGCCCACATGCCTACGGTGGCCTGGCATGTCCTTCGACACGGTCACACCCATCGTCAGCTCCTGGCAGTACGCCAAACACTTGTACCCCTCAGGATACGAGTTCAGCTTCTGCTCATCTACTTTGGGTACCTTGTTCGGGTTAACCGGAATAAGCTTATCCTTTTCATACCAGTGGCGGACGAAACGGGCGCCCCAGCGTCCATCAATCTTCTCAAAGAAGAAGCAGAAGCGGCAGTCGGCCTCAGCATCGACTTCACATCCGTCGATGGTGAAGCGCTGTGTGATGGTCGCCTTGAGCTTGGTGACGGCGCGGGTGGCGTCCTGCGTGATGTCTGTCGTCGAGCCATGGCATCGATGCATGATGAAGGCACCCTTGTCCATGCCCGCCTGGGATCCGGCTATGAAATCCCGGTACGGGACGCGGCCGGACCAGGTGGTGTAGACGTAGGCATCAGGGTGGAAGATGGAGAGGAAATTATCCCATTCGCATGCATCACTACAAACAGTGCTGAGTTAATAATCATCGACACAAACGGCAGTCTCAGAGTGAGGCAAACCGGTAACATGGCCAGCCTTCTGCAAGCTCGCGGAGCTTGAGTCGCTCGATCACGAGGTTATCCGGCCCATTGTTGCGAACGGCATCGACAGGTCTGGTGCCTTCGGGTAGTGTGTGCAGGTCAGGCATAATGAGTTTCTGGACTTGATTTCCAGTGATAATGATATAGAGCAAATTATGAAAGATAGGCCAGAATATTTCCCTTCATTTATGCGATGAACGGAAAGGTAACTTCGATGAGGTATTGCCGACCTGATAAACTTACCCTCGGTGTTGAAGGGGTGTGTGGGGGTGGCTTCCGGCGGCCACCGGGTAAAAACTTTCCCGTCACACTTAATGTTCCCGTCTAGGGAAGCGGGTGAAGGACACAGCTACGCCGGCCGGCAATAGAGGCAGCTGGGGAAGAGGTTTAGTTTACTTTTGTTATCTGATCATCCATGTCTTTGGACCGCACATGTCCTAGGTTTGCTGGATGCGATGCCAGTTTATGTGTGCTATATCGTATTAAGTTGTTTGTTAGTGTCCTACACCATTGGTTAACTCATGGACTTTTAAGTAAACGCATTTTTTTAAATTTTTATTTTAGGCTATAAAGCCAACACATTACGACGTAATTTTTACAAATGTATCTCGATTTTAGAATCGGTAGGCCAATATTGCCGTATGTACCCGGTAGGCGGACATACACTGCAGCTTATGCAAATAATAATTTATGGTTCTTGAAGTTTTACATTCAATGAAGAATTTTCTAATAAAGAAAATTTAAAATCTAGCATTTAAGTAGGACTGCCTAGTTGACACCGGATTACTTATATTTTTTCTCTATGCTTTGTATTAACTTTATCATTTTCAGCTATAGCAATTATATATCCTGAATTTGTTCCTAAAGCTGTCCTGTAGATATGTAAACAAGGCATAAACCGGGCGTGGGGTATCATAAATAGGAAGTTACTGTTCATCATCCAAGGTGAGTTAGCTAAGCTAAAAGTTGATGAACTTGCTCTCCTCTGCCGCTTGCAAAAGGCAGCTCCAGGCGCCCTCCTTGTTTAACTTTTTCACTCGTTCTTCTCCTGCCCAAAGTGACCATTGGCGCTCTATCTGATACCCAATCACATGAGTGCCCTCGACACAAGGCCAGCCGAGACCCTCCGCCAACTTTATCATTCTTGTGCGCCGAGGTTTGAAGCACATGTCTAGCAAAACACCCTTTTCGGGCTTGTGCAAGAATGAGAGGAGCATTGCGGCGACATTTTTCTCAGTCTCCGTCTTGGGCTCCAGATCTGGAACGGTCCCCACGATGTAGTAAGGGGTGTCGGCTTTTTGTGCTTCCTCCAGTGTCTTGATGTGAATAATCTCTGGCACGACGGGCAACTTCTTGGAATCCCGGATGAGGTCGAGAACTTCGCTGTCATCTCGGTTGAGGACGTAGATCTTGGAGCAGTGGAGATGGGAGGCAAGGGCGTAAACCGCAGCGCGACTGGCACCTCCGGCTCCAACGATCAAGCCAGAGACAGGACTTTCCTTGGTCCCACGGCGAGATTCATCGCCCTTTTCAAGAAGACATCCTCTGATACCCAGCCAGTCGGTGTTAGTGCCGACGCGCTGACGCGGGTTGCCCGGCTCGTAGTAAAGGTTGTTACAAGCCCCAATAGCGGTAGCCAGCTCGTCCACCCGGTCCAGCTTGGGCATGACGGTGTTTTTGTAAGGCATGGTCACAACGAGACCAGCTGTTGTGTCTTTCTTGGAGAGCTCATCTAATTCGTCTAGTGTTGGGCATTCGCTATTATGGAACGTCCATGGTAACCCGAGTGATTTGGCAATGAAATTGTGCATACCAGGGGCAATGGAGTGAGTGACACCAATGCCAACCAGGTGTAGGGTCCTCTGTTCAGTGCTCATGACTGTTTGTTGAATGTATTTCTCTCGGACCTGAAGATGAGTTGCTTGTAGAGGATCAAGCTGGCCACTATGCTTTGTTTTTATTTAAGGTAAAACTCGCTGCAAAAAGAGAAAGAAAGATAAATTACATGCTGCCACAAAGTGGCCTGAAAAGAAGATACAGTTACAATAATCATCTATAATTCCTCTACATGATAGAGGCCTGCTGGATCCGATGTGGTGGTGCTTGCTACCCACTAGTGCATGAGTTCGGTTGAGGCCTTTGCCGGCTGGACTCATTCTTCTTCCGAACCCACCGGCTTATTCCCCCCTCACAATCCCTACATGAGTTCCCGTCTCCGCTGGAAATACAGAGTAATGCGGGAGATTGCGGGGGAACAAGCATCCTGATCTGAGAGCGGGGGATGTTGCGTTCATGACGCATCGATGATATATGTAGAGATTCTTGGTTGAAGATATCTGCACCTCGGGGGTCTAACAATTGGTTGCGGTATTGGCACAAGCGTTGAAAGTGAATTCTTCAATATTCTATTCTAGTTATCTAACTCATAGATCTGCCTTGGCATCTTCGCCAGCCCAAGCCCGGCGAATCAATTCTTGAATAGCATCCCTGTTGTCCACCTTGCGAGGGTTCCAGTATGGGTTGCTCAGGGCTATTTCTGCCGCTTTTGCCACATCTTCCTCTTTCATGCCAAATGATTTGAGATCTCGCTTCACTTCTAGCTTCGCCAGCAGGACATTCAAACCATGCACAGCATCCCCGTTGCTCTCAGGCAGAGCTTTGCTCAAGGCATCCATGGCCGAAGGGATATTGGGGGCATTGTATGCCAGAGCATGGGGCAACACAATTGTGTGGGTTTCGGAGTGAGGCAAACCAAAACTCCCTCCTAAAGTGTGACATAATTTATGGTGAAGTGACATGCCGACACTTCCCAGACATGTGCCGCACAACCAGGCGCCATACAATGCCTTGGATCGTGCGGCGACAGACTTGGGATCTTTCTTCACCTCAGGAAGAGCCTCAGCAAGGGCGCGAACACCTTCCTGTGCGAGTAGGTTGATGATAGGGTTCCCGTTGCGGGCGTAGAGGGCCTCGACGGCGTGCGCGATGGCATTAATACCGCTTGTCGAACTCATACCAACAGGGAGGGTCAAGGTGAGGTCGACGTCGTAAATGACCATACCGGGAAGGATCTTGGGATCAGACTTGGTAGTCTTGCGACCATTCTCTGTCTCGCCCACCACTGGCGTCACCTCGCTCCCGGCGTATGTGGTGGGAATCGTAACATGGTAGAAACCTTTGCGAAAACTAATTGCTTTCCCCAGGCCGATGGTGCTTCCGCCTCCAATAGAGATCAGGGAGTCGCAATTCGATTCCTCAGCGTACTTGACGGCCTGGAGGGTCACCTCAACAGGTGTGTGCATCGTAGCCTGGGAGAATATCCCCGCAATCTTGCCCCCGAGGATTTTCTTCACATCTTCGGCTTGCGATGTCTGCTGCGGTGTGCAAAGCACAAGAGGTCTGGACAGGCCAAGGGCCTCGAGCTCCTGCGGGAGCCTCTTGATCGTTCCGCTGCCGAAAATAATCCGGGCAGGGTTGGAATTGTACTCGAAAGCATCCATTTTGATCTTGTGATGTCGGTCTCGTGTTGTTTAGGACGGATGAGCACCATGAAGGAGGCTCGCAGGGAAGGCTGCGCGGGCTTGGGGATGGTCCAGGCAATACGGATATAGCTCAGAGGCGGAATCGGCTATGGCATCGGATCGGACGACTTGCTTTGGTTTCTACCACCATCATGACGCCCGTTTCGGCAAATGTCTAAACCGAAACGCCGCTAAATTGAACCACGGTCTTCTCCGCGCGAGTTAAATGCGGGGGAAAGGCTCAATCATGTTCATTCAGTGACTCCTCCGAGACTCCTCCGGATATACGCGACGATGCTCATTGGATGAACTGCTGGTCGTTAATCCGGTTATCCATCTCGTCTGAGTTGTAAATCCAACGACTCTTATTCCACCGCCAGATATCTAGATAACCCGCCCATTTGTATATTTCCTCAAAATAGAGTTTTCGCATTTTATAAACACTTTAGTTTATTCATCCATTGAATTATAAGAGTACGGGCACAATTGCAATTTTCACAATGTCTCAGAAGAAGCACACTCCGCCAGATATTCCTCCTATGAAGGATCTGACGATTGAGAACATAACCGACAATGTGCATAGCATCAATTCCAAATGCAGCGACGACAGACTTAAATTCTTGTTAGAAAGGCTTGTGAACCACCTTCACGACTTTGCAAGAGAGACCCGCCTCAGTATAGCAGAATGGGAAACAGCTATCAAATTCCTTGTTGATGTGGGGGACATCAGCAGCGATGTCCGCCATGAGTTTGTCCTCCTCTCGGATGTCCTTGGCCTTTCGCTTCTCGTGGATGCCATTGACCACCCAAAGCTTAAGAATTCGACCGAGGGCACTGTCTTGGGCCCCTTTCATACAACCGATGCACACACTGTTTCCAACGGTCATCAGATCTCTAATGACCCTGATGGAGAGCCGCTCTTGGCAATATGCACCATCAAGGACACCAACGGAGATCCCATCCCTGATGTAGCTGTGGATGTGTGGGAGACTGATTCAAAGGGCTTTTATGATGTCCAGTACGCAGGTCGAACAACACCTGATGGTCGCGCCATTGTAAGAAGTGATAAGGACGGCATCATCTACTTCAATGCAATTGTTCCTGTCCCATACCCTATTCCCAACGATGGTCCGGTAGGGAAGCTCTTGGAACGTCTGAATCGCCACTGCTACCGCCCAAGCCATATGCATTTCATGTTCAAAAAGGAGGGCTATGACCGATTGATCACGTAAGTTATCCCGCCACATGCATGTTACGATCCCTCGCTTACTCCAAGAAAGTGCTCTATACCTACGTGGGGATCCATACGAAACGTCTGATGCTGTGTTTGGCGTGAAGGAGTCGTTGATCATTGACCTAGGAAAAGTGGGTGATGTAGACGGTTTAGCAGAGAAGTATGGGGTGTCTCCAGAGACAAGACTGCTACGCTACGACTTTGTTCTCATAACAGAACAAGAGTCGCAGGGTGCCAGAGATGAGTATGCTTGGAAGGAGGCGAGACGCCAGAATTGTAATCTCAAGGTCGTGAATGGAGTGCTTATACCGGAATAGTTCCACGTTAGTAGTCTTTAGCAATTTGAAAATTTCTAGATGAATACCTGGAAGGCATCCTAGTCAACCATTGCAATCAGATACCAGTTTTTTGCAGAATTGAAACTTGCCTTCCGGTTTCTGATTAATTCAATGTGTTAGCTAGCACTGTTGAGGGCTTAACTAGGACGATATGATGCTCGTATGCTGATCCTTCATTCCAACGGCTCACCGGGTTAAACGCATATCCGGTATTGTGGACCGCTTCGCCTTCCACCCCTTGCACATTCTTTAGTGAACACGGTCTCTGTCGGGTTTATAGTGCAGAGAAAGCCAATGATATATCAGAAATGTCCCATATATACTCGCTTAACTCATTCTTGTACCAGTCTTGTCAAGCGGTAAAAATGGGGACCCAAGTGATTGTGACGGAGCAACAGCCCTCCGCCGGGCTCCTTGGAAAGCGATTTCACATTTTCGGCAGCGGCATCTCTTTTAGCATGTCACCTACTATTCACAATGCTGGGTTTAAGCACCATGACCTGCCGCATTTCTACGACATCCGCGAGTCTCCCGGCATTGAAGGAGTAGCCCATCTCATCCAACATGACACGTTTGGTGGTGCAAGTGTCACGATGCCACACAAGCTTCAAGTCGACAAATACTGCGACGAAATAACCGATACAGCCAAGTCAATTGGCGCAATAAACACCCTTGTCGTCAAGTCAAAAGATGGGAAGCGGGTAATCGTGGGCGACAATACGGATTGGTCTGGTCTTTATAGCATCATGAGCAACCATATCGACAAGACAGGTCGCAAGCCTGAGACTGGGCTTGTGATCGGCGCAGGAGGTGCCTCTAGGGCGGCTTTGTATTCGATGTATCGCGCGCAGGTCAAGACCATATATCTTGTCAACCGAACACAGTCGAAGGCGGACAGTGTGCAGGAGGCTTTCAAGTCTCTCTTCACGATTAAAGTCATACCTAGCCTGGAAGATCTTCCTACGAAACCCGATATTATCGTCGGCACGATCCCTGCCGATACGACGACAGAGGCTCAGTTTGCAAATCTTTTTGGCCCTCGGGGCTTATGCATCGAGATGTCGTATAAGCCTAGAATCACACCGCTGCTTAAGGTGGCCAAGCAGCACCCCGGCTGGGAAATTGTTACGGGAGTCGAAGTTTTGCTTTCGCAGGCCTTTGATCAGTATTCAAGGTGGACAGATAGGGAGGCACCAAAAGAAATCATGGTTGATGCTGTCATGGCGCATGAGAGACGCCCCGCCGCTCTATAAATTATATATCTGTATTTAATCGGATGGTTTAACGTATTCATTGTGTTGAGAAGTCTGGTCTGGCATCTTCTATTGTTCTTTTTTACTTTGTACTAAACTCTCACCAGGATCGGATACGTCAAGGCAGTGCTTAATAAAGTCTGAATAGTATATGGTATTTGAATTCCTTAGTGGCGGTTTTTTGATGCCCTGTTCTATTGAGTCTTCGCAATCACTGTCGGGAGAAGTCTTACTCGTGGAATTTACAACAGTTACGCTGAATTCTGACGGCGACATGGTGATGGATCAAGTGAGCTAGCTTCTTTGTAACAGAACTATATGAGGAGTAACGTATAGTTGTTAGGGGCCTTGGAGTATGATGCGCGCTTGTGATTGAATAAGTATCTGCTCACATGTTTTTGCCAAACGTGACATCTTGACCTTCTCCAAATTGGCCACATTTTGCTTCACGTCTTTCGGCCACAATAGTATCCGTCTTCTTACGCCAAGTTTGTCCAAGGCCAGATTGCGAGAACAAGATAAAGCCCCCCGGAAAATAACTGAACTGCCTGTATTGAGTGAGAGTTTCCAATCACTAAGATGTCAATGCGTGCTAGATTTCCGCTGGCTGTTCCCCTTGGCCTCAGCTGTTGGGGAACATATCCCAGCAACTCACGAGCTCGGACCTGACCTTAGCCTTATCTCTACCAACCAGAGCGTGCTGTAGTCACGAAACTGGGCCAGAGCGGGGCTTCTGTCTCCAAATTACAGCGTTGGGGCATCCGCGGGTTGCGATCTCGGCCATGTTCTCTGCCGGGCTTGTACGCTTATCCGACCATCGGACTAGGGCTCAAGCTACCAATTTTCGGTCTAGTATTAATCTGAGACATGATCGCGATATGAAGAGATTGGTTAATTGCATATGCACAGAACACACCTAGAAGGTCTGAACTACCATCGTCTCTGGGGCCTCACAACAAGATGGGTTCAGCCTCACACACCGAGGATGAGACCCTGGCGGCCTCGTTCAAATTCGGGACCAGCTTCGTGGATGCATCAAAACGCCAGACGCCCCTGCGCACATTTTTATTTGGCTACAAGTTAGCTCGCACCCTGGCACCGCTGCTGCACTCCACCTTATTTGACGGCATCTCCGTCCCATGGACGTACAAGGTCCACGAAACCCAGGATGCGTCCGAGTTTCTCCCGGCACTCAAGCAGTCTGACATTGTCGGATGTGCAGTGACCATGCCCTTCAAAGTCAAGATGATGGGCGAAGTCGACGACGTCACCGACGAGGGGCGTGTCATTGGGGCCATCAACACAGTCTTCCTCCGCAAGGCGCGGGATGATAGCACAAGATATATTGGTACAAACACAGACTGCGTCGGCGTGCGTGAAGCTTTCCAGCAGAACTATCCAGACATTGTTCAACGGGCGCAGGGAAAGTCTGCTATGGTTGTCGGCGCAGGCGGCGCTTGCCGGGCATCCATCTACGCTCTGTCTGAATGGCTTGGTGCCAGCACAATATATCTCGTCAATCGGCTCGATGATGAGATTGAAAGTATCATAGAATCTCTCAAAGAGAGTGGGTTTACTGGCCAACTGGTCCACGTCAAGTCAATTGAGCAGGCTGCCGCCTTGGAGACGCCCGTCCTGGTTGTAGGCACTGTACCTGACTTTCCTCCCCAGTCACCAGGCGAGATCCTTGCGCGGGAGATTTCCAATCATTTTCTCAACAGGCCCGAGAAGGGTTGCATTCTTGAAATGTGCTATTTCCCAAGGCCGCGGACAGAGTTCTTTGAGCTTGGTATCAACGCTGGCTGGGCGATGATCTATGGCACCGAGGCCATGATCTGGCAGGGCGTGGCTCAGCAGATTCTCTGGTCAGAACTACCCATTCAAAATTTCAAGTTGACTGAAGCAAAAGAAGCAATCGCAAAGGCTCTGCTAGCATCATAACTGATCTCTCTTTACACACCCACCACAACCTGAACCTGAGGCGCGATAGAAATCATTACAAAGATTAGACTGAAAGAGTAAATATTTCACGGACCATGCTATCATGTTATGATCTCGTGAGGTCATATCCAATAAATTTTTTTTTCTCAGCTTTGACTGGGAATGCGAGGCAGCTTATACCGGGACATCCGTAGTCACTGCTTCGGCTCCCTCACCCATCCTTTGCTCCAATCTTCGAGTGCAGAGTATCAAGCTAAAAGTTCATGTAGATTTAATTTTTGGGATCCTTGTATGGGATTTCTGCTTTTAAGTCTTGAGACCTAAATCTTGTTGGCCCCATCTAGTGAGATTATGTGACGGTGAGGATCACGGCGTGATTAACTCTCTGTTTGGGATTAGCACCGGCGTAGTACACTATTCAGGGGCTTGAGGCCTAGCGTGATGAATCATGCCAAAAACATTCATATTTCAGAGGGCCTGCTCACCATCTGTCTTTGCATTAAGACGACGTTCGCTCTGTGATCGGGATATTGGCCCCGTCCTCCTCGGTATGGTGCGCAAATGAGAAGTCTTCGAGGTTCATTGGTAGCCCTTTATCGTTGTACGCGTTGAATATAACACGATGTTCAGTTAGAGATGACAGGTCTTTGGCGTCAAGCCCTAGAGTCCATGCCATGAGCTGCTCTTGAAAGCTCAAATGTCGAAGCTTCGGCAGCCCATTCTCATCATCGATCATCTGCTTCAGACAATCGATAACAAGACGGCTATACTGGAGCTGTTGATCACTGGTGCCGGACTCGATTTCTTCTAGGTCGGATTGCATCCACTCTTCCCGGAAGAAGATGGTATCTAGTGACTGAGGCAGGGTTTCCGCAATAGAGAAAGCTGCCATTTGCTCTGGGTTTTGAAAGAGCGCCAAAGTAGCGATATCCAGATGGCGAAGACATGTGAACCGAGATAGACGAGTGAGAACCCCCTCGGGTCCGAGCTCGGGCGCGATCGTCTCAGTGTAAAGGCCATTGATTTTGAAATATTCGAGAGTCGTTCTTAACTGCATGAGACCACTCTCCAAGGTACCCCATTCGGGGTCAAATTCTTCCTGGTAAACCATCGGCCGCTTTGTAGGCGTAATTTCGAACCTTTTCAAGTGGGAAAATACGTTGAAGACTCCAAACCACTCATGCCCCCATGTGCCTGTCAAGAATGCCTGTAGCTCTTCGAGGGCTTCCCACCTGGCTTCCGAGACGTAGCGGTCGTGGTCTTGAAAGTACTCTGCATCCTCGTTCGACAAGACGTCCACCATTCCCTCGTTATATTCTTCAAAAGACATAATCGCTTGCAAAACCTTTAACTTCTGAATCCCAGCTTTGGAAAATCGAGCCCAGAACGGTATCCATATACATTCCCATTGTGCAGTCAGGGTGGCGGCATGCGAGTACAAGGCAAGCGTGGAAAGTCTTGGCAATACTGACAGTGGATGGCCGTCAACCACCGATATTTCCTGGGCTTTATCAAGACTGTCCCTCAATGTTTTGTGGACGTCGGTATCATCCCCTGTTGGTGGAGCAAAACAGAAGCTTGTTACATTCGGCACAAGGCAGATAAGCGAAGCTAAGACCGAGGGACCAATCACTGGGACCAGATATGGCCGACTTGGTATGGACGGATGATAATATACTGGGTCATCGTCCAGGTCGTCGTCCTGTATATCCAACTCATCCTCAGGACAAGGTAGATTGCCTGTGCAGAAGGCTTCACATTTAGCCAAGCCAAATACCGTTCTCTCGAATGGACCCATAGAGCCTATGTCCCAGTCGATAGACAAGAGGAGCGCTCTTGATTCTTCTTCGTGATCGAATTGATGCATGTGCTTTGCGCAGGCAAGTGAGCTGACATAATGGCGTAAACGAGGTGTTCTCAGAAGCGTGCGAAGCAAATAAACCATGGACGCGGCGCTGGAGAGACAAATTTCACGGTACAGCATGATCATGGCGGCTTCGGATATATCTTTACAGGTCAAAGCCAAGCTCGAGAATGTTTTCTTAGCTGCCAGGTGCTCTTTTGTCTCCCCATCAGCTTCGAAGCCGTGTTGCCAAGCCAGCCGACGTCGGTCGGCGATGGGGGTTTGAGCAGCTTGACGCTCCGGATCCCAGACGGGAACAAAAAGCTCAAGAATAATGAGGAGGACATCAGGAGGGCAGGAAATGAGTGACATGATGAGCCTTGGTTTTGCAGACTCTAATGTAATGGTTTGCGTGATGTTGGAGGAGAAAAGTCACACTGCGTCACCACCAGTAGAGTGGAGCTGAGGTAAGCTGCAGCCTTGAGCAGGGTCTTGAAATTTGGAGCTACCCTAAACCGCCATGTGACTTGACTGACATGATGACAGGTCAGAATCTTTGCGCAAAAGCAACATTAAAAACGAAACTAAGATAACTATAGATGTTGAAAAAGTAGAAAGGTATATGCTCTGCTTGGTAATGAGTAAGAACTGATCATAACGTTAATTGATTATTTGATTATAATCTCTAACCTAGAATCTCATGTCTGAATTGATGTGTGTACACCAACGTTTCTTTCCAAACTTAGGATGCATGATAAAGGTACGATCTATCTTCAGTTGGACTAGACAACATGTTGAATAAGATGCAAAATCAAAATTTTTGTAGATGACTTGTATTTCGGCATCTCAAGTGATATATGCGCTAGATATAGACTTAAGGGCAAAGAATACTCCGACCTGACACAACGAAGTCCTCCGTTAGATTTTCCAACGGAAAGAGGGATGTTTCCAGTCTAGATCCTCAATCTCGTCCTGCGCCATTCCTCTTAAATTCAGCTCGCCCTCCTCTTGGTTCTGCTCTCGTCGAGCATTATCCTTCTTCATCCAGACCATTGTTCCTACCGAAAAGAGGAGAACAAGCACACTTGCTGCGAGATTCAGTCCGTTGCCAATAGGGTAGTTGGGAGCGTCCCATGCTAGAAAGGTCCAGGTCGACACGAGGCCGCCCGTGTTGCCAATCATCACGTTCCACCCAATAGCTGAGGTGCGCGCAGTGTCCGAAACGACATTGGCAGATATCTGGGAATTAGGGATAGCGCCAGAAACAAAGATGAGCGAGGGCACGATATACACAGCCACATAGCGTACAATGTAGTTATCCGTGGCGAGGAACATGATATATCCAATAATGGTGGGAGGGCCAGTAAGGATCATGATGATCTGCCTGCGGTCCAACTTCCAGCTAAGGAAGCCTGCAGCTGCGGTCCAGCCAGCAGCGAGGAAGTAGGGCGGGGCTGTCAGTAGCTGCTGTTGAACGACTGACCTGTCACTGAAGATGGAGCGCACAATAGTGGGTGCAAAGATGGTAAACCCTTGCGCAGTGATGTTGGCAAAGAACATGGCTGCAGATACACTGAGAGTAACGGGGTTCAGGATGCCCCGGCGGAGTTTCGTCTTGTCCATCTTGTCAAGAACCTTAGTTTGACCAGTGCGTTCAGACTTGAGGCGGGCCTCAGCGAGCTCTTTCTGGCCGGCACTTAACCACCTCGCCTTGCTTGGGCTATCCGTCAGAGTGAAGAAGCTGATTAGTCCAATGACCGTTGTGGCGATTCCTTCAATAGCGAAAATCATCCGCCAACTGTGGAAAGGACCGAAGCCATCTAGTGTGAGGATAGCAGAGGCAAGAAGAGCGCCTGTTGCGCCAGCCAAGGGACTCATGACAATGTAAAGAGAGACGCGGAAAGACAGTTCGGCCCGGCGGTACCATCGAGAGAGATAGTAGGCAAGCCCGGGGAGCATGCCTGCCTCGAAAAACCCAAGGAGAAATCGAACACCCATCGCTTGGGCCTTGGTCTGTACTAGACCACTCAGAATGGATGTGATTCCAAAAAGAGTTGTGATTGCAGGGAGGAACCTTCCGGGGCCAAGCTTCTTGCATAGGATGTTGGAAGGAAGTTCAAACACGATGTATGCGACATAGAAGAGCGATAGGGTCGCGTTGTAGTCAGCACCGACCATGCTCAGATCTTTATCGAAGCCTGCAATTTTCGCGTTGCCTATTGTATAAAACTGTTAGTTCTGCGTGGGAAGTATGTACGGGAAAGGTTGATATACCAATATTGGCTCGGTCAATGACACAGGCAAGAAACAGAATACAGACTGTGGGCATGATGGCCCAATCGATTTTCCTTCGCAGGCGATCTTCTTCTCGCGAGTCAAAATACTGCGTCGAGGCCAGCTCAATTCTAGCGTTTCAGAGTTAGAGGAATGCCCGAATCATCAATGATGGCCCACACTAGGAGATATGACCATACTCTTCAATCTTGCTCTCATCGTGAGCAACCGCTCCTTTGTCCAGATCTGCCATCGTAGCCACGAGCAGGAACCCTGATCAATGTCTTTCTTCTGGGTGTCACTGGAAACTGATATGTCAATGTAGAAGCACAGAGAACACAGAAATGATTGCCAACGTTGTTGAGGAAAGGACCTTATTATGCTGAAGGAATATTTCCAACCGGCTAGCATAGTTAAAGACGCTGCAGTTAATAACTCGGAAACTTTCCGCAGCGACATCGGTACCTTTACCCCAGATTCCGACTGGAGTTGAGGAGTGACCCCAGATAGTAATCTCAAAGTTTCTGGGAACCCCAACCTTTGCTGCGCTATTACTGCGGGGGAAGTGACCTTGCCGCCCAAGCAAAGCAGTAGTTCTCTTTGGAAGGCATGCTATCAGTACCTGGATAACCGGGAACGGCACATGTTTGCAATGGCCATTTCGTGATTCGAGTTTAGGATACATGTGGCGTCTAGGTGTTGAGGTTGACTTGAGGTTTCGCCCTTAGGGATTAACGGTTGGTTTTGAGCGCCTCTGGACGCACGCCGTTCAAGCTATGCCGGTATTTCATCAACAGAACGAATAAACGACGGAGACTTCGATAACGATTTTCTCTGCTTTCGTATCGGCCTCGTTCTAGCAGTCCTGGTTGTGTATGGAAGGTCACGATCGGTCTTCCCCCGCATTACCACATCTCTGCGGTGTATCAAGGCGGTGACAGCATCGGGTTCCAACGAATCTGGGGGCATAGGGCATGGGGCATGGAGACGCACCCCACGATGCAGCTCGCTGATTTTGTGACTTCTTCATCTCATCTCCAATCAAACTCGCTGGATATAAGCGTGGCTTCTCAGCATTTCCGGCTTGTGCGGGGATGCAGCTCCTTCGTCTCGGAACATTCTGTATCTTTCCGCATCCCGAACTAGAAAAGGGTCCTACTAGAGCAACGGAAAGTTGATCGCTATGGTTTCCGGGGTTCTTAGTCTGGGGAAGTGGCTATTAGACCAAGGGCTAGGCGAAGAAAAGACTCCTGGCCTCTTCCGGAGGTTACTTCATACGTGAACCTTATCTAGAGTATGCAAAAGCTTTGAGAGCGTTAGGTAATTGATTGGCAGGCCTGAGGTAAACACTTGCTAAGATACTATCTCAACCTCTTGCTTCCGCCCTCATAAACACCCTTACCAATCTAGTTCGCTAGACTATTGTGCTATGAGAGCACTCACCTCCTAGTTGAACATTTGGTATTGGTAGATTGACGAATCCTCTGCCTAGTATTTAGGTAATCTTGGCCATTGTCCGTGCGATTCGAGTATCTCGGAGCAAGCAGGCTTTACGGTAAACTCATTCGTTTGTTCTTCCATATGATGAATATCAATTATCAACAGTCGACTAATGTTCATCTAATCCTATTCTGCTGTGTGCGAGGTATTAATGCGGTGAGATTATCTAAACAGGTAGGAACTGTTGACGCCGTGAAAATAGGTCCGCAGGTAGGCTAAGGTGATTGTAATGTGCTAGCACTCAATAAAGTGATTTTTTTCATGGTGAGAACTTTGGCATTTCATTTGGATGGATTGGGATTCATCGCCATGTTCGCTGAGGAATCCCGAAGTAAGAGCTGCTTCACCTCGTAAAAAATGCCAAGTAAAACGCCCGGAAGCTGAGGCCGGCGAATAAACCGCGCAATTTGGTCATACAGTTCCAAGAATCTGCTTCGCGTTGGCAGATATTGCAACGTTGTGTGTTTAACGTCTCGGTAGATTTCTATCCGTTCTTCATCCAGAAAGATTGTCGCTCGTATTCGACCAGAGAGCCACCCCCAATGGGAATAGTGGCCAATTTGTTTCAGTTTGTTGCTGTATATCACCAATCAGGTCTCGACCGGGTAAATATGTTGGGCGATTGTGACATATCCTGGCTCATGAAACGGTGACATGAAACGGGCGGTTTTGTCGCCGAGAGAAATCAACAGTATGTATCGAGGGTTACTATATAATAGAAGTAGGCAGCCGCATTAATCGTCTTAGAATTTCACGAACAATAACATTTAACGATTGTAAATTACAATTTGCGCCAATGCTATTAAAACTCTACGCCGCTGCCCAGCTTGCTGCATTGGCTCTTGGGCAGACCACACTCATTCCCTCGGACTCCTTCTCCTCCTTTGATTCGCACTGGAATTACCTTTATCCATGGGGAACTGACCACAATGGCGGTGCAAGAATGGACAAGAGCCAAGTATCTACAGCTCAAGGATACCTTACTTTGACCTCGAAACCAGTCACTGGCCAACCACCTGCCCATCACGGCGGAAAGGATATTCCGATCAACTATCTGTCGGGAGCGATACACGCCAAGAAAACATTCACCGTGCAGACTGGCGGCGGCTTCGACTTTTCCGCAGATTTCGTCGCACCAGTGGATAAAGGCACGTGGCCTGCTTTTTGGCTGACGGCGGTTAAAGGATGGCCACCTGAGATTGATGTTGCGGAGTGGAAGGGCAGCGGAAAAATCTCCTTCAACACATTCAACACCTCCAGTCAAGTAACTGCACGAGATGTTCCTTACCCAAACCCCAAGGCATGGCATACCGTCCGAGCCGAGATCCGAGATGCCAACGGTCGGGATGTTAGCGTCAAGTTTTACTTGGATAACACTTTGGTTGCAACCCAGCATGGATCCAAATACGTTAATGCGGGGTTATACTTGTGAGCATCATAATAGAATACGCAGAGTATGGTACCATGGTTACTGACGTGATTAGTATCATAAACTATCAAATGGAGGGCTCTTCCGGGTCTCCTGGTCCATCTACGAGTAGGTTCCTTGCACTCTGGTCTTCACTGAACGATTCATTACTAATTCCTTCCCTCAAAATAGCAACGACGTATTCTGTGCGAAATGTCAAAGTTATTAGCTACAACCGTTGAGTGTTTGTTTTGGTATGCCTCAAAATGATCATCTTGACACTGGGCGCATGACCTTGAAACGTGTCTTCTTTGGAAGGTGTATCATGAATACATATCACCTAGGCGGCTGTCAATATAACATTTTGAATTTTATTCACTGCCAAGGACCACGAGGATGAGGAATCAACACTCCAGGAAGACAGTCACTTTTGAGTTTAGAAAGACCAAGGCACACCTATCACCACAGAGGCTGATGCATTTTCTATGGATAGAAAACGTGATCTAGGCTTAAGCTAAGGGATATGCTAAGCAATGCTGCGCATATATAGCTTATTGAATGTCCCCTTCCGTAGATAGACTCTCCAATTCGATGACTTGATTAATGTCATGATGCACCCTCTCCCTTTCCGATCATTTAGCTCTTGTTCAGCGAGGCAAAGGCATTTCATTCAAAAGTCCAGCTCTAGAGACCGATATCTGAAGCCTCTTTTAAGATGGCGAGCAATAATGTCATGGCCGGCCATGGCCTTCTGAATTACACAGACCGGGTGAGATAGTATGGCCTAATGATGCTATCACCATTCAGTTTTCTGTATCTCTTCTGGGCAGTAATGACCATGAGGAGATGATACAGACTTTACTGTTCAAAATAAAAAGAAATTGTATGAAAATCATGACTAACTAGATTATCAGCAATGCCGATCGCGCAATTGATTTTTTAATCGGAGCCTCGGTTAGCCGATGTGAGGGGTCGCGTCAGCGTGAAGGTTCATTGACCCGGATTCTTTCCAAAATAACAATTCTTCCTTGTGCTCATCTCATCTGTGGTCCTTGGATAAAGCCATGACAGATTTTGAACTCATTCCAGACCCTGCGAAGTTGCCGCCGTTGAGGCTCCCAGAAGGAGTCACTTCGCGATTTGTTGACACTTCGCCCGTTGGTCCGAAATTTCACGTGTTAGAATCCGTGCCAACTAATCCAGTCTTCGAGAGTTTCACGCCTCTCATTCTTCTCATTCATGGCTACCCAAACCTTGCATATGATTGGAATCATGTGATGCCCTCCCTCGCCGCGGCAGGGTATTATGTTGTCGCATTTGACCAGAGAGGATTTGGCCGCACACATCGAGCAGACTTAAGGCCATTTCCCGAGGAAAGCTTCCGGCCTATAACACTGGCCCGTGACGTGACGGCGCTTGTTCACGCACTGGGCTATGAGTCAATCCATACTCTTGTTGGCCATGACCTTGGGGCGGCGACAGCCTCTATTTTCACTTTGGCACGTAGCGACATGGTAAAGTCGCTTGTTCTTTTCGACCATCCATATGGTGGGCCACCGGCTCTTCCTTTTGGAAATCAGAAGTCTTCAGGGGTGAAGCTGCCGCCGTATAGCTTCAAAAACGCCTCGATTGCCAAGGACCCGGACATTCACGCTTCCCTACTCAAGTTCAACCCGCCTAGGCAGCTCTACAAGTGGTATAATACGTCCCCTTCAGCAGCCGACGAGTGGAGCTTCCCGACGGGCAAGCCTCTCCACGAATTTCTGCGCGGATACTTCCACTTGAAATCAGCAGACTATAGTGGGAACCAACCCCGTCGGCTGAAATCGTGGACGGCAGATGAACTCGCTGTTATGCCGCATTATTACACCATGCGCGCAGGACATTCAATGAGAGAGAATGTGGCGCTCGACATGGCCAAAGAGCCCTCTTCTGTCAGAGACAACCTGTCAAAAACTCCTTGGCTCCCAGACGAGGAGCTTGCTGTGTATACCGCAGAGTGGTCGCGGACATCGTTCAAGGATGCTTTACGATGGTATAAGGTGTTTACTGACCCGAATTTGGCACAGGAGCTGACTGTCTTTGCTGGGAAAAGACTGGCAGTGCCTACTAAACATGTTGGCGGCGCAAAGGACTGGGGCAATTATCAGGTGCCGGGAGCATTGGAGGCAATGGAAAACGAGCAAAGTGTAGAGGCGGGGCTTTATAAGGGGACTGTCATCGTGGAGGGGGCTGGCCACTGGGTTAACTTAGAGAAGCCTGATGTTTGTGCCAGGGAGATCTTGAGTCTTGCAAGCTCAGTGCTAGAGGAATAGTATGGGCGGATCAATAGCCGGTGGAGGTGATAGAAAACAGCTAGTTTTTCCTACCGAGCGTTTATCTCAGGCCCGGTCTCTCTCCTCCCCCCTCACGGGGTTGAACAATTATGACAGTTCTGGGCCGGAGCCGGGTCCTGGACTCACCCCAGCCACTGATACTGCAACATTATCTCAGATACGATAACGGACCAGCTGGCTTCGGGATACCACCCGGGGCTGACCAACGTGGCCGCCGGTGCTGTCACGCGGACCAGACGAGTGATCGTGCTGTCCCCTACATAGTATTAGGCCTCGCCGCGCTGTTGCTATCAACTGTGGTGCTAAATCACGGAGTCGGACGCCGTGTGCCGGGTGGGGAAGGCATCAACAACTCCGGCCTACGCCAGCAAAGGCTAGGTCAGCACATACATTGCATGTAAGCTTCCTCTTGTGGAAAAGTGGCCATGCCTTATCTATGCACCGCCGGTTCCAGGCCTGGGTCCTCCGTCCCCATAACATCTATTCGCTTCAGAGCCGTCCTGGATGAGGCCGTGTGCCCCAGACTTCCCCGGGGCACTACTGGTATCCAGCATGTCCACCTCATGACTCTACACTTCCACACTGCTTTTCGAATACGTAACGATATCGGAGGATCTGAACTCGACAGTGGGTCTGGGGAAATCTGGAAGCACACCCTGGGTGATAGCACTGCCCAATCCTGTCTATGGCGATTAGCAATGATCGCTCGGGTCGGCGTAGGGGTCCACGGGATACCGGTCCTCTCTTCGGAGGGACTAATATAAAGGTCGATCCCTATGATACATGAGTTGGCATGTCTATCTTGGCCACCTAATTCTCAGCGATTTCATTTCCATTCCCTTAGCCCATCCCCAAACTCCATACATCCTCCTCTAGCATAATGACGAAGGAGTTCACACTTGCTGATGTGCAGCTGCACAATACAGCAGATGATTTGTACATCGTTGTCCACAACAAAGTCTATAGCTGCGCTTCGTTTGTGGCAGACCACCCGTCGGTGACCCCGCCATCCTTGTTTACTCTTCATGCCGTGATTGCGTAGCGCAGTCACGGGCTTTCGTCCCATAATATGAGCTATAGCTGACATACCGTACAACAGTGGTGGTGGAGAATTAATATCCGACGTCGCTGGACAGGACGCAACCGAGGCCTTTGTTGATGTTGGCCACTCTGAAGAAGCCGCGGAAATCTTAGAAACTCTTTGTGTCGGTACTTTGAAATCGGCCGCAGTCTCCGAGGCCGCCGCCACAACACCTTCCCCCGTGATAAATCTAGAGACGACAGTCGATGTCGCACCGACTGTCATAGACATCTCCCCTAATTCCGTCTCCGAAGCCAAAAAGACCGAAGTCATTGAACAAATCAAAGAAATCACAATCAGCCCAACAACCGTCCTCAGACCAGACTCTTTCCAATTCTTCCCATTAAAAGAAAAGTCAAATATTTCACACAATGTAGCAGTGTAAGTTGGGGACCAAAACCGGCCAATTTTGCTTTATAGATACTGACAGCCTCACAGATACCGCTTCAGCTTACCCTCTGAAGACTCAGTCCTTGGGCTTCCAATCGGCCAGCACATCTCCATCGGAGCTGTTCTGCCTCAACCAGACGGCACCTCCAAAGAAATTATCCGCTCCTACACTCCAGTCTCAGGCGATCACCAACCTGGATACTTCGACCTTCTCATCAAGACATACCCCAAAGGCAACATCTCAAAGCACATCGAGGCCCTCGAGATTGGCCAATCTATTCGGGTCCGTGGCCCTAAGGGAGCCTTCTCATACAAACCAAACATGGTTCGGCACTTTGGCATGATCGCAGGCGGAACTGGACTCACCCCCATGCTGCAAATCGTGACCGCTATCTATCGAGGGCGCGCCGCTGGAGATATGACCGAGGTCGACCTAAACTTTGCCAATGTAACGGAGCAAGATATATTACTCATGGAAGACCTTGACGCCCTTGCAGTGGCCGATCCCAAGTTCCGAGTGCACTACGTGTTAGACAAGCCGCCCCAAGGATTCATCGGTGGTGTTGGCTTCGTCACGGAAAACATGATTAGGGTAAGAAGGATTCTAAAACCCCATTCTCAGGTCGTTGCTAACATGTTTTCTTTTGTAGAAATGGCTCCCTAAGCCGGCACCGGATGTGAAGATTTTGCTTTGTGGCCCACCCCCTATGATCAGTGCCATGAAGAAAGCTACAGAAAATGTTGGGTTTGAGAAAGCACGACCAGTGAGCAAACTTGAAGATCAGGTGTTTTCATTCTAAAGGGTCCACATGTTACCGAGAAATTACTAATAGAGACTGTGGACAAATTATAAATACACACATACCCCCAAGCGTTAATACTTTTGTCTACCGCGATAAGCTTAACAGATTTAAATAACTCGCACTCCTTTGCCTGTAGTTCCTTTCCAACTGCTATTACATCCGAAACACCTCGTATTATTGACCTACATGTAGCGTGGATCATCACGGAGTTCTTCGAATTTGGCCTCAATATAGAGTCTTCAGTTGTCTTACTCTTCGTGTTTGATGTGTTCTAGCATTGCAAAACTATGATTGTAATAGTCTTGATGATTTCTTCATGGTGGATGGACCCTCACTATGATAGGAATAATGTAGATGTAGTACTGAAAAGACCGAACATGGCATAGTTCATAGGACCAAGAATAGCCTCGTAAGTCTCATCTCCAGTCTAATTGCCAATTCATTCATAAAAAAAAAGAGAGAGAGAAAGAGAAGCCGCCAACAGACTGTATAAGGCTCAGAGAAACGAAGCACATGATTGTAGCTATGTTAACTTTTCGGGCTTTGACAATTGAACAAAGAAGCCTTTAATACAATAAGATTGATGCTTGACATATAGGCTCATGGAGAGTGTAATAATAGATATTGAACTAGTGTTCCATATCCGAAAACACTACGTATATTAGCAAAACTGACTGGTTGCCATTACACTTTTAATAATTCCATAAAGTCTGCTCAACTTGTGAACCCTAACCACTTGCCAGATAGAATTTTCGATAATGGTATAGGTAAATCTATACTCTGATTAACCATAGCGCCAAATAAGATGCTTTGCATGGCAAGGACTGCTTGGTGTAAATATTAATATTCTCAACACTCTTCAATCGATTCAAGTATGAATCACGCAATAATTGCTTCAGTATACCCTCTAATCCACACAATGTGTAGATGTTTGCGCTCGAGTTGATGTCAGCCCAGTCGCCCTAACTTGAATGATGATCATTTGATAACGGATAACGTAAATTGGTTATGAAAGAATGTACTATATTGTTCTTTAGGCTACGTCTTACGATCTAAAACTGATTAACCCAGGATATGGACTAGTCGACAAATGTAACTATCTTCTTTCAGGTCTTAATTTCATAGTTTTAGGTCTTAGCTGGCGGTGAACCTAGAGACATCCTAGTTTTGTGCTGTGTCGGACGTCTAGCTGTCGAGGTTGAAAACGATAATTGTTAACCATGGAGGCGAGAAACTTGAGCTAATATACCCCCCTTGATAATAAGGAGAATTAAAATATTCATGACCCGAGTATGCCTGTCAGGGAATGTTTCTCAAAGCTGAATACAGGAAGTTGATTGTGCCGATGTTTGCCTCTTGTGTTTCCCTCTTGATACTCGGAATCACGGTCACCGAGAGAAGTGTTTCAGGTCATAGAACCTCCTCTATGGGTACTCGCCCTCCTTCTAAACTAGGCTCTCTGTTGCGAGTAAGCTGACCAGCGATTGCTGACAGCGGGATTTTGGCATAGGAACATGGCCAACACCTGACTAAAGCGGAAGTCTAATTTTAAAGGAGGAGAACAGGCCCTTGCTGTACGGGATATTATCCACTGCCAGGGCAGTTGCTGCGCAAAATGTAACTGTAATAGGAAATGCTCATATTGTTTGCTTGACTTTGATCTCAAACTCGATACCTTCTGTGGCAAAATTGATGCTGGATATACTCGGATATTACCTTCTAAATCCCCAAGGAGATGCGGCTAACGTATTGGGATGGGAATCCCTGTCTGCAAATTATTTTTTGTGGCAAACTTTGTATGGCAAAACTGATGTTGAATATACTCGGACAACACTGCCTTCTAGATCCCGAAAGATGTGCTCAAAGCAATAGGATGTGAACCCCCGTCCGGCAGTTGTTGGTTGTGACTCCCCCTTGTACTTTAATTCAATATATAATGTTACAGGATTCATTATTCTCAAGTTGTTTCGTAGCCTTTAGCCATCCTCAATCAGTAACGATATACGTTAATCACCCCCGCAACAATCTCCCTACTAAAATTCTGTCAAACATCAACATGAGGTTCTCACTCCCAGTCCTCGCACTTACTGCTGCCGCCAGCGTCTCCGCCGCTGATTTTTACGCTGCCTACTTCCCTACCAGCGATTGCTCTGGGGATAACAATGGTGCCAATATTTACCATGACGGCACCTGTGTCAACAAAGCTGTTGCTGGCTCCGGTTCTATCCAACTGTTTGGTGACAGCTCTTCCATCGCTGGCTGGACTGGAGCTGACTGCACTGGTGAAATCGCCATCCGAGCGTCAGGGTGGACTTGTGCGGCCCTGACCGGAACTGCTGTTGCCAGCTGGTCCACTGTTTAGACCAAAACCGATCGTTGGACACCACGACCCAAGCAAAGTTATCTTTCAAGGCCCAGCTTTACAGAGTCAACTCGCTCACGGAAAGGCCAAAAGAAATCCAGACTCTGAGAATCGGCCGTCTAAAGAGCGACCTTCAGCCTAGGAAGAGTTACGACAGTGTAGTGGACTAATGTCACCTCGACAAAGGACTTGCAGAAGTCAACCCAAGCCTTCGGAAAGGCGGCGAAGATTTACGAAAAAATAATTATACACTCCCAAACAAATGTTCATTCGCCATGTGTTGATCCGCTGTGAATACGTTTCCTCTTTACCCTTTATCATACACTTGCTTCGTCCGCTGTAATGACGACTGTGAGTAGTTAGGCATGACGGCGACTACGAAGCAAAACCGCCTAGAGGGTGTTAGTCTCATGCGAATTCGCATGAGAGTAACACCATAAGTAGAAAACGTTTGATTTCGTTACGTGTATAGGTATCGTGCTGCCTACATCGCTCGTTGAAATACCTAATGTCGTCCACTAATATGCTTTTTTGCACTCGTACGGCAATCAAACTCGCCTCGCTTAGGAACTTTAATCTTTGTTATGAATGAGCTGACGATTGCAATGAGGGTGGAAGAAAAGTTCATCATCGAGGCTAGTATTATTTCTTGCTGTATCTTCGCCACATACAAATTCTCATGAGATTGGTGTCGATGACGTTTTTGTTCACATCTGCGGGGGAGGTGGGGATTGGTAACATCATCAGTTCAACGATATTAAATGCCTCGCGTTCTCAGTTTCTCCTGACTTGACTATTCCTGATCTTCCTGTCAATCACCGAGGAGGAGAAAGAACTTAACCGAACCGACAATGCCTGTCAAGAAGGTTTTCCTGTAAGTACCAACCGTCCACTATCCGTTGCTCACCAACCAGTTTCCACTAACATTCGCCTTTTTTGAAGCACTGGGGCATCCGGGTTTATTGGCGGCGATGCACTCTACGCAGTGCACAAGGCCCAGCCGAACTGGGAGATCTCTGTCTTGATTAGAGATAAACAGAAGGCTAAGCAGATACAAGAAGCTTACCCCGATGCCAACATTATCTTCGGCTCTTTAGATGATACCGAAATCATCCTGAATGCTGCATCTACAGCCGACATCGTCATCCGTGAGAAGATATCACCATCCCCGAACAATGCGATCCAAAGTAGTATTTAACAACGAGATTACATAGATACTGCAGATTCGTCTGATCATCCAGCCTCGGCCCAAGCCATCGCAGATGGCCTCCGGGCCACTCATACGCACTCTAACCCGGGATATTACATTCACATCGGCGGCACGGGAATCCTTACCTGGTATGACTGGGAGCACCAGCGCTTCGGCCAAAAGCCGCTTCCAGAACAGGCGTATGATGATCTAGATGGCATTGACGCTATATTAAATCTTCCCGAGTATGCCTGGCATCGTAATGTTGACAAAATTGTTTTGGCGGAGTCTAGCAAGGATCCAGAGGCGGTCAGAATTGCCATTGTATGTCCCCCGACAATTTACGGTATTGGAAGAGGTCCCATCAGCCAGCGAAGTCGCCAGATTCCCTTGCTAAGCGCCTTAACAATCGAAAACGGTGAAGCGCCTATTATTGGGGATGGCCTTGCGGAATGGGACCACATCCATATCCAGGACCTGTCCAGCCTGATTACGCTGCTCATCCAACATGCCATCAATTCAGGGCCTCATGTCCTTGAAAAGGAAATCTTTGGACCAAAAAGCTACTACTTTGCCGCGAATGGTACTCATCGATGGGGCGAAATCGCCGAGGTTATCGCCAAAGAAGCCTATAAGCAGGGCTATATCAAGGAGCCTAGAACGACTCGACTTTCTGTTGACATGGCCAAGGAGAAGTACGGCATGGAACCCATGACCTGGGGCCTTAACAGCAAAGGTGCAGCGAGGCGGGCAAAGAAGCTTCTTGGTTGGGAGCCCAAGGGCCAAGAGCTAACGGACCTGATTCCTGATCTGGTTCGATATGAGGGAGAGAGAAAGAAACAGGGGCTGAAAGCCTGGAAGAAAGTTAATTAGAAAAAATATCTGCATATGACTATGTGTACCGAAACTGACTATCTTCTTTATTGACGTCAAGAAGAACCTTTCCGATAATAAGGCAACGCGGGTTTATCAAATCCAAGTTTGAAGCATGTACGTTGCCTAGAACGATAATATATCTTCTCCGTTATGTTGTAGGGCGTAGCCTCGATGTCTTTTACTTTGTCACTACTTTCTATCGTGTTGTCCGCCTGCCTGGTCTCTTTTAGTCTTTACCTTCATGAGCATTTTAACTAAAGGATTTTGATCAACCCCGGGAGGGGCCACACGACTCGCAATCGAACTGGAATCGGAATCGCAAAAATAATCCAAGTACTCCTTGAGCTCATCTGTAATCTCCCATTCGACCTGAGCACCCTTGGCGGCAAGAGCGAAAGAATCCTCTTTCGTCACTGAAGTAACAATCCTGCCATCGGCACCGTTCTGGATCAAAAACTCGATCACCTCCAATCGCCCGCGGTGCACAGCTGTTGAAAGTGCTGTGCCACCACCATATGATGCTGCGTTGATATCCGCGCCATAGCTCAACAACATCTCGATGAGCGGTCGCCAGTCATCATCCAAACCCAGGGAGCGAAGATACTCGCCGCGGTAGCGTATTAATCGTGCTAATGGTCGCGAATATCTCACCTCGGCGCCGTGCTCAAGAAGAAGCTTGATGACCGTGAAGCTGTGCTTCTCAACAGCTATGTCCAACAGCAAACCAGACGTCCTTTCCATAGGAACAGTCGACTGCTGACCCACATCTGACAATGGCCGTCCATAAACGGCGCCGCGTTTGGATCAGCCCCATTCTCGAGGAGAAGACGCTTACTAGGGGCTTACTGATTCGGGTGATATCCATGCTTTACAAACAGCTCAAAGAGAAGCAAAGACTGGTTCTTGCATGCATACCTCACAGCAGCACCCGTAGTACCAACTCCTACTTCCTCAATAAAGTATCGGACGACTTGATCTTGAGAACCCATGGCGGCTACGTCCAGTCCATCTCGAAGTCCCATCGGCCTGAGGGTATCTCGCCTGTCCCTCACCCATTCCTCAACGTCCTTGAGTCTCCCCTCCTGGCAAGCCAGAAAGAACATTTGCAAATGCTGAATTTGATAATTATGAGGATAGGTATGTTCCAGCCAAAAACTTGATCGCGGCAGCGGCGGCGGAAAGGGGTCAGGGTTGTCAAAATACGACTCGATCTCTCTTCTTAGAGCTGCGCATCTGGTGTCCCGTCGATCGGCTTCCATAGCCATAATTTCATCCCGAAGTTCCAGCTCTTCTTAACTAAGAGTACTGCGGAGTTTTTCGAGCTGTCGTAATTTGGCCTCGTACTCTTCGTTACTCTCCAAGGGTGTATTAATATACTCTTTCCACGTGTCCGCTCGGTAGCACCTCATCGGCGGTGCGGACCCCACGCGGCGGCCATGGCGGCTTCGATATGGCATGGCTGTGTAAGGTGGTTCAAAGAATTAGGCAGCAAGGAAACCTGGAAATAGGAAAGTTAGTGGTTGATAAAATGCGGATTGAATATTTGCAGTCATGAGGCCTATGCGGTGGCAACAAATGCGCGAACCCTGACCTTCCCCATCCGTATCTTGGAGAGACTTTACATCCATGCAATATATTGCGGCTCTTCCTAGCACCGTAAGTCGTTAAATCGAAATGGTCTGCTCGATACCCTGGTTTAAAAGCAGTTAAGTGTGCCTTTCTAGGTGTGGTTGTATATAGGTAGTATAATGCCAGTAGCTCGTAACAATTTTTGGTCAGACATATGAGAAGCAAGCGATAAATCTAGCTTGCCACAAAAAAAAAAAACAGAGCCAGTAAGGGACTGCTAAGCGCAGCTCGTAGCGACAGCAATCCAATGTGTAGCCTCGGCCTAAGATGTAGGCTGCTCAAACTACCAAACCTTCCTTGGTTTCAGAGACCAGATATTGTTCAGATGAAGCGCGTAAAGCGTTAGTACGAGTCTAGTAGAAATCAGGTGCGCATGAATGCAGTTAGATGCTGTGGATTATATGTCGCTCAGCATTACCCTTTCTAGTATTTTCATCAATAAGCTGATGGTCTTGCTATTCCCCCATGGCGGCAGGGGGGGGCCCTCATGTTAAAAGGCCGACACTTTTTGTCCGCAATGCGAATATGGACTGTTTCCTCTGAAGAAAAGCCAACAGTTACACTTTAGTCTTTCACCTTCGATAGTAGCTCATTGGTCCATCTCAGTGCCGGCAGCACCATGCAACCAGCCGCGGGAGCCTCAGCACCGAAGCCGCTCTTCTTCATGGAGAAGCTTGGGCGACTGGTTTCACTATACCGCCCAAAGAAGGCAGAGGCATCGAGTTCTAGCTCTGCTAACAAACACCCGCAGCTCATCATCGTTGCTAGCTGGACGGATGCCAGAGATGCCCATATAGCCAAGTATGTTGTTAAATACCAGGCGCTGTATCCCGGGGCCCAGATTCTGCTCCTCAAGAATACGATAGCAGAGATCTACAGACCATCACGCATCGGGCCAGCTATGAAAGCTGCCGTCCTAGTTATCCGTGACGTCCACCCGCCAGGAGCATTACCATCGTTGCCCGAGCTCCTAATACATATTTTCTCCAACGGTGGCTCTGGCAGCATTGCAAATCTCTATGAGCAGTTCGCAGCTTCAGCGGGTGCTGGCGAGCACTTTCCACGACATGTCACCATTCTTGATTCCAGTCCGAGTGTCTACAGTGTTGGCCATGCGGTGACATTCGTGAGCCTCAGTATGCCGCCACTCCAGCGGATAGTTGCTACGCCTTTCCTCTATATCTGGGCTATCGGGTGGTCCTTCTTGGTTGCACTGGGTCTCGTGACCACCTCGGGTGACTGGGCAAAGGCTCATAACAATAAGGCTGTCGAGACTGAGGCCCGTCGCGTATACATCTACAGCGGTACCGATGTGTTAATTGACGATAAAGGCGTCGAGAGCCATGCGGCCGATGCCGAGGCAAAGGGATTTTCTGTTAAACTAGAGAAATTTCAGGACTCGGCGCATGTGACACATGCTAGAAAAGACGAGCATCGGTATTGGGAGATCGTGAAGAGAACATGGGGTGGATCTCCTTGATTCCACACCACGGTGGGCTATTCCGTCCTAGCGATGGAAGAAAGGTCGTTCAGCCTATAGCAGTTTGTTCTTTGATCTACAACTCGAGCCTACGATTAACTTTTCGGTTTATGCCTCTCAAATGGAGGTTGAATGCTTATATTTATATCCCTTTCTGCTCTGTGCCTTTGCTCGTTGTCACTTCTGAGATTCGTGGCGAGATCTCCGAGCTCCTGGCAACTAATAACGTCAATATCACCTTGCTAACGGAAGCCGTAAAGAGAAATGTGGCTTGCCTGCGATCATCACCGCTAATTCAAACATTATCATCAGAAGGACCACCAGTAGATGTGCGTCTAGTTTGCAACTGGGATAGATTTTGCTCACGAATGCTCCTAACAACCTAGATGAAGATGTGGTACTTCGTTAAACGAATCTATGCATCCATCTTTGTGATTTCCCTCCATATGGCCCGTATTTCATAGCACTCGTGCCCCCGCAACAGCCACATGAGCCCAGATCGTTCACGAGCTTAGTGATCGTGTCAATCTCGTCTCCAAAGCTAAGATCCTGCGCTCGGTCTAGTATGACACATCTCAGAATCAGCTTCCAGCAATTCTCGAGATACAGGCGCAGCTCTTCCAAGTTATCAGGATGAAATGGATCGTGAGGCACAACCAGTCCACGAGGTACTCCCACTACTTCTAGGGGCTTCTCAGACTTCGCGGGTTCCGTCGATCTTGTTGTCTCCCTTAGCTCAGTTGAATCGTGAAGCTGGGGCTGCGCAATACCAAAGAATTGCCTGTGCGGATATGTAGCCACCTCTGTCGTCGGGTTTGTTTTCGTGGTTTCCCTGATCATCTTTTGGTAGGCGAATAGTCGCCGGTAGTCGTTGGCATCTTCTGAATGAGATAATGCATGGTCCAACAGCTGGGAGAAATGAAGAAGTGCATTGAGAGTAATGTATGATCTCAAAGCCATGTTGTAGATTTGATCCAACCCAATGTTGAACTCGCACGCATTGCAATGGCATTCTGCCTGGTTCCACCATTCGGAATAGTCAACATTCGGGTGTAAAAAGATGTTCAAAATGGTCTCGATTTCTCCCTGTATCAGAAGAGTTTTGGTGATCTCAAGGTTGAAAAAGGCCTCGCCGTTTACTTGCATGAAGCAGTAACAATCGTTTTCCTCGTACTGTCTGAGGAACGCCGCCATCTTTCTCTCCTTCAGAGGCAATGCACACTTGCATTCCTTGTCATGCTCTGCATGCAAACATAGCTCCGACTCGATGGTCTCGTTCATGATCCCCATTTCGTGCTTGTCCGAGATTCCGTTCCAGCAATGCGACCGCCAGGCATGGACGAGAGGTAAGATTCTCATGACCACTTCATCGCTGATTACTACATCATCAGATGATGGAATTTCGTAGTTTTCTGGAAACGTGCGGCGCAGTTCATCTGCCTGCTCGTTGATAAACTGGATCAAAGAATCGACAAAGTAGTTGAGCGATATACCCTGCTTATGCTGAAACCGAAACTTGAGGTTTGCTCTGCCATTTTTACACGCGATCAGGGGGTCATACTGCAAATTGGACACCAGCGTGTTCCACGGAACACGATCGGGTTGGTGGATGGCGGTGGATATTGTTCTAATGTGCGAATGTTTCCATCTTGCAGCTGCGCGTATTTGCGACTGGAGCAGCCTCATTGTTAGAATCACGCGTAATGGTAGACAAACGTCAAGTGTTCATGGAACCGTAAGTTTCGTAAGAGATCAACTATAGAAAACCGTCTTTCCGTGGATCGCGTAGACAGATATTTTCTCCTTTCTTTTCATCAAACATGGGCTAGAAAGTCTAGCAGGGGCAAACCAAACTATCTGTGGGTTAAATTAAGCCTGCGCCTCATCCAGTTCCCGCACCCGGTAGCACTGCTACGATGGCCGTGATGCAATATTAATCAAGTACATTATGCTTTCCCAGACTCGGATATTACAACTTCCTGGGCCATTGGTGTCCAAGTTTTGGTCCTCACTCAATCAGATTTGGAAAGACAGGTTCTTCCGCGGCCATGGGTCATGATAGGGCTTGACGTATCGATGAGAGCGCTGGAAGAAATGCCTTCCCATTAGCCGTCCTGGACGCCTGCTTGAGTGCTTTGTAGTGCTCAAAGCGGATCCAATCTGACTGCTCAGCCTCAGAGTCAGTCCCAAATGGTGCTACAATCAGAGCCGAACATCCGGGCAGCTCAATAATGGCCAGTGAATTCCCAGTTACATGAAGGCATCCTGTTCGTGTTTAAGTCCTTTCCTTTTCCATCACACGGATAATATGTCGCCGGGAAGTAGTTGTTCTTGCGGTCGTACCAGCCGGGGCATTTGCATTTGCGCTTTCTGTTCAGCAGGAGGCCAGCAGGGACGGCGATGACGAGAACAAGCACCACAATGAGCAGCACGGCCACGATCAACGTTTTCTTAAGTGACCATTTGCGCGGGTTGGTCAAGAGTCCGCGGCCCCTTCTCTTGGTCGCGGCCGCGGCGCCTGGCCTGGTGGTTTGCGCAGGGTGTTGGCCCTGCTGGATCCCGTCAAAGCCATGCGACGGCTTGTCGGCGAGAGGAACCGCCCCTGGGCCCGATGGATATGGGCCTAGGAAGCCATTGTATCCCTGCCCCGAGGGGTGATGCGGGTTCTCGGCACTGTAGGCGGGGGCAGGGTGCTGTTGCAACGGATCTAGCAGATGCAGCTGCGAGGGATAGTGTATGTACGGCTGCGATGAATCATATGGATACGGCTGTGAGGAGTCGTGTACCTGTTGCTGTAGCGTGGGATGGTGTACGTACTGTTGCCGTGAAGGGTCATAGACGTACTGCTGCGAGGGGCCTGAGACATGAAGGGGGTCGGCCTTTTCGGGAGCCTGGCCGGAATTTTTCATCGTGAGATTGGCTATCCGCTGATTTAAGATAAAAGAGAGTTGAGGGGCGAACTGGGGAGTCGTCTTGCCGAAGGATATGGAAAAATAAGTAGATATAAGGTTTGAATTCAGACGCCTCCGCAAACGGATTTCAACCGCCATTGGCCTGTTGGCAAACGCCCCTCGAACCTAGTTCTTCTAATTATGGTCCTGGTTACTTTAACTTTTTATTGAAATTCCAGTTCACGATCAATCCGTTACAGCGCTGTTCCAGTTTCCGCCTTTGCTATAAATGCAGCGTGGAGTAGAAGCGGATGTCCTGTTTTCACTCATCCGTGGATCGCAACCGGGACAAATTGCATATTCGGCTCATTCTGGCAGAGTCAATTGGACCAAATTCAGAACAACATTTTATTATATCCGTCAACTCTTTGCGGTGAAAACCGGAAATCATTTATGGCCTCGAGCCGCAGCGGTTGGGCGAGATCTTCCCGTTACCTCTACCTGGGTTCGACTTCACTGGGAAGTACTCCACAGCCACGGACTATTAATTGTGGGAGAAAATAAATAATAAATAATTTGCCTGCTTGTACGTACCACTGATTTGTAGTATGAATGCTCGGAGCTCGTTAACTTGCTGCTATACAATTCTACCGTGCCATATTCATGACTGCCTCAAATGCTGAGTCAATGGAAAAGTGCTACAGAAGAGAAATCGCAAATTGACAATTCCAAACCGCAGCGCAGCACTGAAAACCGCTATACCGAACTGGCAAACGCATTATCAAGCCTTGACTGCAGACATCTCCACGTGTAGTAGGGAAACCGATATCTGCTGACAACATGGAATAAACCCTCTCCCGAATGCCTACATGAATGACATAAACTGTATAGTCCTTTTCTTCCGCCTGTGATCTGTCTGAAGCCTCTATACCCCTTAGTATTATCAAAAAGGTGGAGGTAGAATTGGCATAACGACCAATAATATTCTGGACGTGGTCCTGAGGACCTCATTTCTGTTGGAGCATGCTTGACATGGAAGCAGGGTCTATTGGCAGTGTACATACCATCGACACTACCCTTGTGTGATGAGAATAAGTGAGTCTCCTTGGCCTCCGCTCAATTGCTTCACCAACAAGCCATACATAGCAGCTGAGGTAACCACATGAGGCGAATGTGGTAACGACCCGGAGAAACTCTCGCCGTCTCCCACTTCCCGGTGATGTTACATGCCGGCAAAATCGGCATCCAAAGTCTGCATCATGTAACCCAGGGGCCGTTTGGAAATATCAGCCCAACCTTAGACACAGGATTGTGTTCGTCAAGGATCCTTTTAATGGCGCGTTTGGGTGGACTGATCCTCAAGAACATTTCTCTCTGATGAGTCTCTGTTCAGTTATTTGAAGAGTTAATTAGACTGGGAGCGGAACTTTTGGTGATGGTGCAATCGCTCTGAAGAGCACATCTTGCCGTTTATGGACAAGAATTTCATCGTTACATTTAAATCCCTGGTCTTGGCTTCTCTATCGGGATGTTCAGGAGACCTAGATCTGCCGAACATCCGAGTAGTGGGACTTGATGTATGACTTTGATCGGAATACTGTTAGATATTACTTCTCCTCGTAGCATTTGTTCCATGCGTTGGGAGAAACCTAGATTGCCACCGTCGACCCAAATGGTCCGTTTCACGATAACGCAATTACTTGTCTCACCAATGTCGTTCTCAAATCGAACAGACCCATGTCCGATATTGGGGTTTATGCTGACCTGCACGCCATGTATATTATGACAAGAAACCCGCTTGTTAAGAGCTAGCACATCACCTACGTCTACCATCAAGGCCATTTTTGTCTGAGTAATGTCGGTCACAAATGAAGAAAGCAGCAATACCACCGCCGGTGTGGACGTACTGAAGTCCTCTGGTGATGGCTTACCACGGCCAATCAGTCATGAGCCCCAAGAAGATGATATTGAGAAGCCGCCCTTCCTTTTCACCTCACAAGCTTCCGGGGGATCGGAAGAGGCCTTGGACAGTGACGACCCTCGGCTTAAGGACATACCTGCTTACGTTCGCCGCGTGGTCAGTTTCACAGACGATCCAGAGCTTCCTACTCTAACCTTCCGTTACTTCGTACTCACGATACTGTTCGTAATACCTGGGGCATTTCTCAGTATGATGAGTCACTATCGCACCACCTACGCTCCGTACTCCGTCTTTTTTGTGCAAATCGCATCGAGCTATGCTGGGGTTTGGTTACACCAAATTCTCCCTGCGTGGAACATCAAGGTTCCGTTTACTCCTTGGAGTTTCAATCTAAACCCAGGACCGTTCAGTGTCAAAGAGCATGTCCTCATCACAATATCAGCGGCATCAGGTGCCACCTACAACCTGGGGTATACCCCCGTGTCAATGGCTGAACTGTACTTTGGTCAGAGAATAAACCCAGCTATTGCCATATTCTTCATGTGGGGGATTGTTTGGACAGGATATAGTTTTGCAGCTATCGGCAGGCAATTTTTAATCTACGATCCCCAATACCCTTGGTTTACATCGTAAGCAAATCATACTTCTCTATGCCCAACTTCGCTTGCACTGTCCATTTGGAAGAAACTGACAACAACCTTTCCTGCAGATTGTGTCAGACTGCTCTCTTTGAGACACAGAACAAGCAACGCCAAAATCCAACTGCATTATCTCGCCGGCAAACGAAAGTATTTTTCATTGCTCTACTCGCTATGACATTATGGCAGTTTCTTCCCGAGTTCGTGTTTCCGATGCTTGGCTCACTCGCATTTCTTTGCTGGGTTGCTCCGAACAACGCCGTTGCGAATTTTATCGGTGGAGGCTTTGGCGGCATGGGATTCCTCAATCTTTCGCTGGATTGGTCGAGCATATCAAATCTCAACGGTACCACCAGCCTGTTCCTCACACCCTGGTGGACGCAGGTCTGCATGTTCTTTGGTTTTGCCACCAGCTGCTGGATTTTGCTACCCGCGGCGAAGTTCGGGGGTCTAGGGCAGTGGCATCACAAGCTCATGTCAAACCGTTTATTCCTTGGTGAGTACCATGTTTCGCAACAAGACGACTTGATGGGCTTGATCGTTAATGACAAAACAGAGAATGGAACAACCTATCCGATCAATGATGTTCTCACTTCCGACGCCAGATTCAATGAGACCGCATACGCGGAGATTGGTGTGCCGTACGTTAGTACCCACGTCCTCTGGTCTATGTTCTTTGACTACGCTTCCTATACATCTGCGATCTCCTGGATGGCAATCTTTGGCTACAAGCAAATCCGCAGTAGTTTACTCAAGTTTCATGAGCGAGCCACTAAGAAGGGCGCAAAAATTAGCGAGCAGTACGACGATCAGCTGAGTATCCTACAGCGTTCCTACGAGGAAGTTCCCTTCCTGTGGTTCGCCATTCTCTTTGGTGTGTCGTTTATTGCATTGGTGACAATTGTCGCCACGGGAAACCTCTACATTCCAATCTGGACATACTTTGTAGCCGTTGGGACGGGAGCTGTTGTTGTCGTTCCTCTCGGTTGGCTATACGCACTGTCTAATTTTCAGCTACCGATTGGCACCACCAACGAATTGCTTTATGGCTTGATGGTGAACGCCGTAAACGGGCACAAGAACCCAACGGGAGCATCCGTTTATGGCAGCATTGCTGGTAATGCGTGGTACAGAGCGCAGCTGAATCTTCAGGACATGAAGATTGGGCATTATATGCATATCCCTCCCAAGGCGGTATTTTTCTCGCAGGTGTTTGGATCTTTTCTTGGTATCCCGATCAATTACGCGGTGATAAGATGGGTGCTCGACACGAAGTTTGACTACCTGACGGGCGAGAAGGAGGATCCTACTCATCAATGGACGGCACAGACCTTGGCCTCCAACTTGACAATGAGCGTCCAGTATGTGCTTATTGTAAGTCATAATCATCTAAATTTCTCCTTCAATCTACATTATTCAAGTTTCTTACGTTCCATATTCAACAGGGGCCCCGCCGCCTATTTCAGACACACATCTACAAAATCATCCCTTACGGCTTCCTCGTCGGAGCCGTGGCTCCCGTCATCTTCTTTATTTTGAACCGTTACTTCCCCCAAGCCAAGTTCCGTCTCTGGAACACGACCATTTACTTTTCCGCCATGTCTACATTCTACGGAAACATCAGCACGGGCTACTTTAGTAGCTTTGTGGGTGGCTTCGTTGTCATGTTCTGGGCCTACCGCTACCGCTACGAGATGTGGGCGAGGTGGAATTATATCCTGGCTGCAGCTTTTGACGCCGGCTTCAACTTCAATATGCTCTTGATATTCTTGTTCTTTGGTGCCGGTAAGATCATTAACATGCCGCATTGGTGGGGGAACGAGGCGGCAAGTAGTGAGCGGTGTTTTGCTCTGGATTGAAGCATCAAAAGCTTGTCTCATGCCCGGAGCCTTGATTTGTGCTAGTAAGGCCATTAGCTCCCGGGGTTCATGCATACAGTGAATGATAAATGCAGATGTTCTTTGTCACAGCTGGCTCATAGTGCCGACCCTGGACTTCTCATGACGCTTGGCGGTTTAGGCGCAATACAGCGATTCTGATCCGCATATTGGCCCTCATTTATTATTATAGGACAAGAGATTTCTCACCAGACTTTTTCTCATAGAGTAAATGACGTTGACTTAGGTAATAGTAATTGAGTGCCGGCAAGGTATCAGAATTGAAAGCTCTTGTTCCCCTATGCTACCCCCAAGGGCTTATTGGGGCAAAAAGATAGAAAGAGTAGTTATATCAAGATCAAAACGACAAAATCCTGCCATCAGACAATCCTACTATGCTTCTGTAACAGATGTTACAGATTGTGGGCTACCGTCATCAGGTAGAAACAGCTCCGATATCCATGATATCGGTTCTCCAATACGGTTTCGAGCAGCACGGATATTCTCTTCTGCGAATGGTCAAAAGTTAGAATTGTCCCTCCAAGTTAAGCTCTGAACTTACTCTGCTCTTTCAAAAGGCTGGTGACCCGTCGTAGATAAAGTATTGCCGGGTCATCGAGGTTCGCAGTAGCAGCTTCTCCAATCCGTTCATGGGGCCCTTCCCAGTCAAATGAAAATGGATCCATTCCTCGAAGAATGCAGCGGAAATGGAAAATGAGATTCTTTGCCGAATACTGCCATTCTTCCATCATCGACCTGGATATGTAATTCACGTGCATCACAACATCCTTGTCCTTGAAGCGTGAAGAAGTTAGTTAGCATTTATAGCCCTGATGTCTGAAAGATTTGTGATACATACCATGGCATCACCCATTCCCATATAACCTAACTGCAGAGAGTACACCTTTTCGAGGCACCCCAGTAGAATGAAGCATGTCAAATATACCTCGTACCACTTCTCTTTGTTTCTCCGGCCATATATGATTTTCTTGAGGCGAGAAACTACACTCTTGATGAGCCTGAGCATGAGGTGGATGGCTATTGTGTCGATCTGAAAGTCCAGCACACTCGGTACTGGAACTTGGCCGGATATTGGGAATCGCGTATCCTCGACTTTTGCTATCCCAAGTGTTTCGTCCCCAACGATTATCACGCTTTCCTGACAAAAATAGGAAATCAGTCTTATCTTTAGAGCGGCAGCCACGCATGAATCCTGTGGATGTTAGCGCTGAATGGATGATCCGATGGAAGGCAAAAATGAAACATCGCGTACAGAGTTAGCCAACGCAAAGCGCTTCGCCTCTAAGAACGTGTGTTTCGATATGTCATCCGAAGCTGAGGCTCTTAGATCATTGTCAAGAAGCGTTGAACATTCTTCGATGTATCCTTCCAAATCGCTCGTAGTGGCATCCGTGTCATACTAAGACAAGTTAGCAAAGATAGTTGAAGCATAGCGATAGTACTTGCACAGGCAAATGGGGGAAATTCAAGAACCAGCCTGTCCCCATTCTCTCCTTCCCAAACGTCTTTGAGGATGTCTGTGCTCTTAGGGGTGAATTTTTGGCAGATGATAGGCATTGTTGGTCTTGGCGTGTCTGAGTGAATCGTAAATGGATACTGAACTCGAATGATCCTTTGCGATAGATTATCCGCCGCCCACCGCAAATGCGGTAGCTCGGATCTTGTTTGATTCGCTCGACTATTGCCTATGTCTATCTTAGCACAGTCACCTGAAGCGCATAAACGTGCAGTTTTCACCCAGTCCTTACCTGCCCTAAAGGTTATTATCTTATCCAAGGGCTCTCTATAACAGGGCTGAGTGAAGATTGTAGCTGATAATTCAGTTTGCTGGCAACGATTGCATGGTAGATTATCATCACACTGGGGGGGTTAGACGTTGTGCAAGAAATCGACCGCAAGTAGGAAAAAACGTTACAGATTCATGGTATACTCGACAGCGAACGCATGCGCCGAGCTTTCTAACGCGCTTAACCTTTTGTCGGGTTCCCTCGTTTAACTTCCCCCTCTTTCTTTTTGTGAGCTGGACATCACTTTGAACCACCCGCAATTCCCTAGGAAGGGTGGTGACAGACTGGGTTGTGCGGTCACCCACTGCATTTGGGACAGCCTCCGCGGTGGACGCAACACTCTGTCTTAGTTGGATCAATGATGACTCTGGGGCGTTTATGGCAGGGCCGTTTCCAAGTGCCGTCCCAGCCTCTAGAGGTATGATGGATCGGACCGCGGGGGCATAGAGCAAGTCCGGTGCTTGCGGCTGGGGATTCAAAGCTGGCAAACCCTCCTGGAAAACCTGATCACGGGGCATTATTTCATGAAAATAATCCTCACTGTAACTTGGCCAAGCTTCGTTTGAGGACAGAACGGATGAGGAACTATCAGCTACTGTGTTTAGGTTGTAACGGGGGCCCATTTGCAAAGCAGGCGACATGCTCAAGCTATTTTGAGCTCGAGTATGTGAGCCGCCGCTCCACGGACCATACTCTGACGGCGAACCTGCCGACTAAGACTTGTCAATCTATGTTTTGTATAATTTGAACAATGGTGGAGCCTGATTTACCCAGGGCACGCCAGCCTCTCCAGATGTGTCATTGACGTTTCTATGGGTCGAAGTTGGACCAGATAGAGTCTTGCTCTCGTCCCGAATTGCATTACTTGCCCCCTGAAGTGGCGATAGCATCCAAGGACCTAGGTCTTGGATCTCTTGGCCCAAGGCCCAGTCCTCCAGCGGATCCTGCCACCAAGTTGGGTCAAGCTCGTCGGACGTCTCAAGCGGCGGGATCGGTTCACAGTTTGACTGGTCGGGATTCATTGTATCGTATTTCTCAGCTGCTTCGAAAATGATGATAAAGTGCCTGTCCAAAAATGGATATCTGATGGGAGGAAGCGGGTGCGATGGGATCAAATTTTATATGGGTGAGAGAGTTCGAGTGTAAGGTTAAAAAAAAAAACAGCAATTCCAGGCATCAAATTTTTGTAAGTGCACATCTAGTTGGTCTGTCAGAGCCAATTCTACTACACCAGCAAAAACGGAGCGCGCTCGCACTGATTGCTGTGCTTAATTGACTATATAGCCTGTTACTGACACCAACATGGTCATTCTAACAGACTCATCCGAATGAACCGATGGGTACTAATAACAGCAGTGATTTGAGAAAATATCGTTTCACCGAATCTCAGCTAAATTTACCCCTCAGTGAATTCCCGTTGTCTATGGCAAGGCATTTCACCGAAACACCAGCGTCATCCTGCTTACTGCCGGGCGAACAAGTGGCCCTGCATCACATACATGTACTTTAGGCCAGCTTGGCATCTTTTGGCTTTTCCCCCGTGTTATAGGTGGACGGTACTTGGTACTTTACGTACAGGACTTCCGTCATCGGCGCCTCCTCCCGCCCATCGATGAACCGATTCAGAGCCCAGGCAGATTGTAAGGGGGTTGATGGACGGCTCGTTCCGTCAATCCCGTTAGGCATAGAGCCCACAGATCCAGCGTCACAAAGTACGGAGCGGTCATCACTGGGAGGCATATTGGCAATTGTGGTCTAGGGAGAGTGGCCTAGGCAAAGACGATCATTAAATGCTGTTCGATCTAGAGAAGGGCCTTTCCTAGCGCTCACCGAGGACGGACTCAAACAGATTGGTTGTAGGTGGGACCCGACTGAGAGTGTCACTTCTAAATTTTCGAATGTAGCTGTGACAAGTGGTGCGTAGAGAGCCTGAATCACCTAATCTGACGTGGAAGTTAACAGCTGTGTGATGAGCTTGGAGTGTCCCCACCACATACCGGAATATGATCTAAATTTTAATAACCTCCTGTATTTGAAATAAGAATGATTTTTTATAATAAATCTGTCGTTGCAGTGACTTATCAAGATATCCAAGACTAGTTTCAAATTTTAATCTGGCGGAGAGATTGAGAACTGGCGACTTATAACCATCTTCGTTCTCCTCAATGCCGAATCAACTTCATCTGCCTAGTGGTATCTCCATGAACGTCCCCGGTGTTGAATGCTGGCTTCTTTCCGGTGGTCATTGGGGCATCTTCACCGGTCGAGATAGTTAACTGACCCCATGACCGTAGACGTAGAGAAAGGCAAAGTTAGGCAGTTACACCACCAGTCATGAGGCAATCACTCTGGAAAGTCATACGAGAGTGACGCAGATGGGCTTTCGTTTCACCGTATCTCTGCGTAGTTGAGTACCTATGCCAAATGTTGAAATCTGAAACAGTGATACACTCCTGTTGGCGGCTGATACAGCCAAGCATGTTAAAAATAAAACATGGCTCACTAAAGCTCTTTTCACTTAAGTCAGGGACCTTATTTCCTTATCAATAACGCTTGAATACAATAATTAAAGACAGACATAAATTATTCTATAATATTCACCTTGATATTGCGTTCGTTGGTTAACTGTTTTAATATTGTGTTATCATTCAATGCTGAAGTTCTGGGTGTGCCACGTTTATGTCAGTCGCTTGCGCGTGTAGCAGCCACATCGTTGATCGCATTCTTCCTGAGGCTGCCCGAGGCTGCAACTGTTGACTGTTTCATGAGGTTTGGGCAAATGGAATAATAAAGCGAAAAGAAACAGATTATTCCTGCGTTAGGCAGAGTCTTCAAGCCCGGCTTTGAGTCAATCTAAGCTACAACTTGAATTGACATTAATAACTGCAGACAAACAGAAAGGTTAAGGTTATGTTTCTTGGGGGCCTGATCACAACTCGGCCGTCGCCGACCAAGGACCAGAGTATCGGAGGACACCAACCCGGACCTCATGTGGTGGGGGGCCATCCTGAGACACAGCCCTCACATCATCTAGTTTTCCATAACCCAAACAGGTGTACAGCTTCTCTCCCATGTCCGCTGCAATGACACCCTGAACAACTCTATCTATCTCTGCCAGAGCCTTGCCCCATTTTACAAGGAGTGTTCCATGGCCCCGCCTCCAATACGCAGGATGGACCACGACCATGTCCACAAGTTGGTGGCCTTTAAAATATCTGCATGGGACGTCAGAGAAGATTTGATTCTGGGGAGTCCGCTAGTGAACACTCACTTCTCCTCGGCCGCGTCGCACTTTTCATCGAGAATATCGGCATGAAAAGGGCTCTTGTCTCTTCCAAGGCTACCGTCAAAGCCATGGCCTCCAGCAGAGGAATCCTCTGGGGTGATGTATTGACCTCGTCGGGTGGAATTCGGCTGCAGCTTCCAGGTTGCGACACCTACAATGACAGGGTCTCCAGCCTTTGGACTTGAGATTTTCACATCAGGCTTGATGGTGGCTTCAGTCTTTTCTGCCTCGGCTGGATCGTACGAATCTTCAACGACTAGTGCAATATAGTCTGGGCTGATGATAGCATCGGCGAACATCTTCTCGTAGGATCGGAAGGTATCCGTGGGAAAGTCGCGATGGAAACGACGCTCCCAAGGGAAAACAGGGGAATAGTAAAACCCCGCCGTGGCAACCGTTGCAATTCTAGGCACATCGCGAAGGCTGGCCAGGCGGAGAGCGCCGAAAGCTGGTGCAACGGGGAAACTCATACTGACAATGAGATCTAGATATTCAGGAGACTATAGAAGCAGCCGAGCTCGAGATACTTTTCGCTTGAACTTTGGTAGCGTTTTATCGACCGCTGGAGAAGGATAAGGCGCGTGATGCAGTGAATGATGAAGGATGGATGACGGGTTAAACGTAGCACCTGTGTGGACGCTGAAGTTGAACAAGGTCAACTTGGCTGACCAAATGGTGTGCTCATCAAAATAGGGTCGCACCTCCCCGAGCACCTGAAACTGGGCACAGTGGCGATTACACAGTCGCTGATATTACCTAACTGGCTTGGAGCCCTGTTTCTGGGCTGTCAAGCGACGGAAAAGCGACTGATGTGAAATGTAGCACACCTACTCTAGCAACAGGTAAGTGAGAGAGCTATGCAGCTGCTGAAAAAAAAAAGGGGGGGGGGGGAATTACCAAATACCAAGAATTTAATAACTTGACACCATACCCAGTATCACAATATATTAAACTTCAGCCTTTTTGCCCGGCCGTATACGAGGTTTAATACTAACAATAGCTGTACCCAGCCGTATATAAGGTTTAAATTCAAAGGCTATACCCGATGATAACTCTTTCGTCCGCATGACTCCTTTTATGAACCTTAAGATGCTGCTTTTTATCTATTTAAAGACCGTCATCTCTGGCCTGGTCCTGAATGAACCGCACAGTTCAAGTCCATATCGACAATCTGCCTATTTCGCAAATCGAGACAAGCCAAGTGCCACACATCGCCACTCAGTCAAATCAGTCGACCACTCATCGCTACCTTCGCCGTCAGTCGGATCAATCGATCGCACATCGCTGTCTTCATCGCTCCACTGGCCATTAGGTACGTTAACGTTTGGTTTCGAGACGGTGGAGAACTTACACACATCAAACATCGCACCGAGTTCTCGCCCGATCTGTCACGGCAACCACACAAACTAGCATGACAAAGAACTACTCTAGCAACAAAGTTCGACATAATATCAAAACAACCAACTTAGCAATAAACACAATATCAGGCTAAATGGTTTAATAACCTATTATTACCTTCTTTTGTAATTAGTGCTATCGATAAGTGACTTAGGCCCCTTCCTCAAGTGAAAAGAGCTTTAGTGAGCCATGTTTTATGTCAGCCACTTGACGCGGTTTAGGATTTCCACACGGCCTCCGCCGCAGGTACATAGGTAGCAAAGGTATCTGCATTATATTTTTTTTGTAGCTCTTCGGCCCTGAGCTATAGCCTTGGGGCCCAATTTACACCGCTCTAAATGCCTTCGTAACTCATACCACTTTTCAGCTGCGGTTTGCGATAGCTTCATTGTGTGTGCACGAGATCGCTGTTGATTATGGCCAGTTGTCGGGCACTCGGTTAGGTGCGACCCTACAACCGAATCACAACCAAATTCGAGAGTGCGAGGGGGTCACGCCTCATCCACGTACTCCCTCAGCATTGGCCATGATTGCTTTCCGAGAGTCAGCTGAAGCGCCACCACTCTCGTGAGACATCAATCTTCCTCCACATGACTCTCAATCAAGGAAAGCCTTGCGAGGCTAACCTGCCTGAACCCATCGATCATGTTAGGGGTGTGGCCGTGCATGAGAATGGCTCACGCGGACAATTTCACAGTCCCACCGAGGCGCTCAGAAGCAGTCAACCAGTCGTTTTTCGGCGGTACCACGCACGTACGAGACCGTTGGTTGTATTGATAGGCGCAAAATATCTGCTTTTGACATAGTCAAGATAGTACGGAGTCTTGTTAACCATGCCGGGCCGTCTAGATCGGAAGTGAGGCTATTGCAATTTACCAACGGGTGGGTAAGCCCCTGCACATGTCTATGGTTTGTTCTACCTCTATATAATATAAAGACCTTCCTTGCTCCAATATCAATTGGTCAACAATAACAACCAGTGGCATCTCTACCCACTCGCTAAGGACAATATGTCCACTACAGACTCGCCAGCATTGCCGTCTGGTTTTCCAGATCAACTCCATGGACCGGCCGTTTGGTCCGAGCACGTTGACGAGCAAGACTACGTCTGCCAGCTGACTCAGTCAGATATCAACTCAATTGAATCTGCTCTCCAACATTTCCAAGGTATCTATCCTCAGACTTTCCTAGTTGAGGCACTATTCTGAGGTTTTCTGACATGATGACTACCAAATCTAGGTCTGGGTATCAGCCCTCATAAGCTGGATCAGCAATACTTCCCCCTGCCCCCCATAGTGTCTTCTAAGCTTCGGTACTTGAGCCACGAAGTCCACCGTGGACGGGGCTTTTCTGTTCTCAGAGGTTTGGACCCCAAAAAGTATACTGAGGAAGAGAATGTTATCATTTATGGCGGAGTTTCCAGCTACGTGGGAAGAGATCGAGCAGATATGAGTACGTCTCCATGATATTACGTGTGGTCCATAATCTAGCTAACTAATCTAGTATGGTTATTCGACCGCGCAGGTGGAAGTCTGACCGAGGAAAACCAGGCAAAATTCCCACCCAATGAGCTCACAAGTTCCATGGTATGGTTGCATCTCCTGGATATCCAGGTGGCAAAATGGAAGAACTAAGAGGCAGCAGGACTTCCATACCGATGTCGATGCAGGAGATATTCTCTCTCTCTTTACAATGAGGCTTAGCAAGTCTGGTGGCCAGCAGTACCTGACTAGCTTTTGGTCAGTCTACAATGACTTGGCGCAACACAATCCAGAGGTCCTTCAAGTGCTGGCCAGCGATTGGAGATATGAGATGAAGAAGCAGTAAGAATGAATCATAATCTCTTCAAACATTTGAAAATTTGACCATGTGGTGTAGGGAAGGCGTGCAGGTGATCAATCGTCCTATCATTTACTGCGTCGACAACAAAGTTCAGATTAACTTTGCTACCGCCTTTCTAAAAGGCTCGAGTTATATACCGCGCCAGGCTGACAGCCCTGACCTCACAGTGCAAGAAGAAGAAGCCATCAAAATACTTCTTCAGGTATCTCGCAAGCACAGCATGCGTTTAAGCCAGGCTCCCGGTGACATGCTTTTCGTAAACAACCTCTGCATCCTTCACGCACGGGACAGTTTCATAAACGATGGAGCATCCGGAAAGACTCGTCGACTAATGAGCCTCATGCTTCGAGACCCCGAGCTAGCCTGGCGAAAGCCGACCGCCACAGCTATTGAGATGGGCAAGAAGTTTGCAAAACTAGACGTCCCACAGTTTATGGGAACAGTGGAGCATTATGAGGACTTCCGCGATACGTTTGCACTGCTTCGCCATGATTGAGAACTAAGTTTGTCTTATTTCCCTCAGTTCATGTTTCTTTCTTTGGACTACCGGTACACGCTGGTTACTATGATGGAATACCTTGACACTTGACAACAAATCTTACTATTCCTACGATGGCATGAGCGAATAATTTGCAGTTGGCAGTTTAATTTCCTTTCTCCGAGCAGCCGTAGGTCATAAATATACTCCATTCATCAGTTGATTGAGCCACCATCACTTTCTCTGTTCGAATTACTACTGATGTGCTGTTGCTACACTTCTATTAAGCCATCAATGACCAATCGGCCCCATTCTCGCGGTAAATATATTTCGTGGTCAAACCCAATATGGAATGAAAGCAATCTCCGCCCTCTGATTTACAAAACCATTCAGGTCTTGCAAACGGCATGAGCTAAGGTTACATAAAGAATTTATAAAATAACTTAACAAAATCAATAAAACCCCTTTTATCAATATAGTTACTCATAATAATTCTTATTGAGAAGAGGGGGAAAGCGTCTTTTGCTTTCAATCGAAGGTGGTTAAAAAACAATTACGTGGAACCCATGATGTCTTTCTTATTTACCTACTATCCTTATAAATAGCCACAATTATAAAGATCATGCTCTAAGCGAAACTCACATTTAGCTCCATTTAACCAGCTCTCTATGAATGATCTTAGAGCGGACGACATGGAACAACGGGCCGTGCAAGGTCCCCTGTGCATAAGGTAGCTTGACCTCCGGATGTGCACATCCCTCGGATATTGCTCGTTCCGAGCCCAAATCAAGCAAAGGCCATTCGAGACTCAATTTACAATATGACTATCATCCACCCACAGCTAGATTAGGCTGTATGATGAAAAGCCCGTCATGTTTATTCGCGAAGCCCAATCCCCTGCATTGATGCCGGAAGAATAGGTACTACCTAAGCGTCAATATTTCCCATCTCGTACGCCTACGCCTACGGAGACGTCCCGGATCTGCGGGCGGCTTACCGATTGCAATTAGAACTCAACTACGCATGTATATTGGTCCACGAAAGGACTTACATCGACTTCCAAGATGGGGAAGGAATAGATCCTCCGCTCTAATTGAATTAGTTGGCAATTCTACGGAGCTCAAATACTAGCAAGGTTGGGAGGGAAGGAAGAAGTGTTATAAAGCCACTACGACACAGATGTGCCACGAGTCTGTCTTCCACTGAAGGATCATTCCACAAGCAAAGTCTTCGGTGTTTTATTTTCACAATGTTCAGTATGGTGGGTTCTACGGCTCTCTTAGCCCTGATGGGTCTGTACTCCTTTGCCAGCGGCCAGATATCCGACGACTTCGAAAGCGGATGGGATCAAACAAAATGGAAGACATATGCACCTGATTGCAGCCAAGGCGGCAGCATCAGCCTTGACACATCTACGTCTCACGGCGGGAGCGCTTCCATGAAAGTTGTCGGGGCAGGCGGATATTGTGGCCATATATTCTTTGGAACTACCGCTATACCCAGCGGAGACATCTACGTCAGGGCCTGGGTGTAAGCTTTCTCTGTGTCTAAGTATGCATCCGTTTGCTAATAAGTTTGATTCCGTGTATAGCAAACCATCTACAACTCTCACGGCATCCCATGTCACTTTCATCACCATGCCAGATTCAGGCCTAGGAACAAATAAGCACCTTCGAATTGGCGGCCAGAGCCAGATCCTCATGTACAATCGTGAGACTGACGATGCCACGCTTCCTGACTTGTCGCCAAACGGCATCGCGGCTTCGGTCGCTCTCAAAGCCGGTCAATTTCAATGCCTTGAGTACCATCTAGGCAAGGACGGCACCATCGAGACCTGGCTGGATGGTACCTCGATCAGTGGTCTCCAAGCTGGGCCAAATGCTAGCAACCCATACAGCGCTCAGTGGGGCAATGGCAGTTACAAGCCAAGTATAACGGGCATCTACTTCGGCTGGGAGTCGTATGGTGGCGACGCCAACACCTTCTGGTATGACGATATCTCTATCGGCTCAAGCCGTGTTGGTTGCGGTACTAGCCAAGTATCATCTACTGCTTCTCGAACAACGTTGTCTACCTCGACTACTGGCATTACCTCCGTACCATCCGCGACGACAACGAAAACCAGCGCCGCCCCTACATCTACTTCTGCGGCTCAAGTGTAAGTTAATATGTCTCAAGATTACTCCAATCTAGAAAGGAAGCTAAATGACTTTGAACAATAGCAAATACGGACAGTGTGGCGGAACCGGTTGGACCGGACCTACCACTTGCCAGACTGGTTCAACATGCACGTATGTAAATGACTGGTATTCACAGTGCCTTTGAAAGCAAGACGATGAGGCCCCATCATGTCCATATCATATAGATACAAAGCTACCAGAATATGGCAATGGGTGTATATGAGACATTTGACTGAATAGGGACCATAGATAATACAATAGTCCAGGCGAACCTTTCAATCTTAGGCGAAAATCAATGCCGCAGCCGCATGCAAAATAGCATCTGAATCTTTTGATGTCCCGCCATGATCTTCTTTAGGCTCATAAGAGTCCTTGAAGTAGCAACACGCTAAGATCCTTCCATAGGATTGGTTCCGCCGTTTTTTTCTCGAAGCCAAGGATGAAAATATCCTTGATGCGCCTTTAGTCGATCTTGAGGGAGCCAGCAGAGAAAACATTCCATAAATCCAGGAAATTATCTTTGCTTGTGCCTTTCAAGGTTCCGGCAAGCTCATTAAGGGTCGTTTTAGGAGGTAATGGAACGGGACCATGCCATTCACCTATTATAAGATTAGCCAGCGAGTCCGAAGAACGCCATATCTCGACAACTCCAAAATTGTGATCCTTGCCTTTTTGGTCCCAGTACTTGCTTGTTTCCCTGCTCAATTGAAGAAACTCTTGCGGGGGTGGCCCAAGCAAGGCTGTCATTGCAGCTAGATGATGTGCATCATTTTGCTCTTCAGAATTTGCATCATAAACCGTAAAGAGGCTCTTCCGTTCAATGAGATCCCAAGTCTTCAGGGAGGAAGTATTTCAACAAATTAGTAAATACATATTTTAGTAAAAGAAATATGAGAATTCAACGTAGTCACTCACCAACAGCGCAACACTCCAACAATCCACTTTGTTACCCCATGGCATACCAAGGATAACCTCAGGCGCTCGATAAGGGAGAGGCATTGCTTTACCGCAATGCTCTTCTCCGATATGTGCTTGGCCCAGATCTGAAATAATCAAGGAGCCAGCTCCTGCCAGCATGTATCGAGACACATATATATAGCGATCTGTGTCACGCTTACGCGCTGATGGCTCGGCAACTTCCTGTTCTTCGATATTAGATAGAACCGAGGTATCAGTAATATCAATTAGCATGTTATCTGAATGAAGGTCTAGGGCAAGTTAATAAATGGTCAGGCGTAAGGCGTTTGGAGCTGGGGTTATCCCACCTGTATGGACCACTTTAGCCTCGTGTAGGTAGTCTAAACCAAGCAATACTTGATCCAAGGCACCAGTAACAAGATTGTCTTCAAACACCTTGTCTTTTCGGATGTAGAATTCTTGTAAGGTCCTCAGGCTCATGCCTAAAGGCTTCATAACGAGAACCTGATGGTCGCCATATGGGCCTTTGAGACTGAAGGAAGCCTGCAGTTGTCGGACGAATGGCTTTCCAATCGTATTCTCATCAGGTATGAAGCCCTCTAGATGCTGGTAGACCTTGAGCTCCTGGATATTCTGGAGCGAGTTAATGTACACCTTGAGAACCCAGTACTCTTGCGTGCTAACGAATATGATACCAGTCAATTGCTAAGGCGAATAAAAGAGGGAGAGGGGGTAAAAGAACCTACATCAGGTCGCGAGACATCCAGACGGTGGAAGTAGTACCAAAACCAAGCTTGGCGACGACTTGAAACTGATCTTGAACAATCTGGCCAATCCGCATAGGATAATAATTTTGTCTCTGATAGAATGGCAACCGTTCTTCTTCAACCTTATCATCTAGGTCGATAACTTAGAAACCCTCAGAAGGAAACTCGCGTGCACTCGGTGGTAAGGAGGTCGATGCCAAGGGCGGCCCTGTGGACGATCTCAAGTGTGGGTAGCTGGAGGCTCCAGAAGCTGAGCGTGTCATCATCATTGATTGAACCCGGGGCGCTGCGGAATTGCGGGAAAAGGGGAGATTCCTGGGACCAAACGTGAAGAGCCTTTTCAAGAACATGTTATGGCTGGCCGTCCCGAGAGCCGGCTAAGAAGCGCTGAACTTGGGATGAAATAAGAGCGATGTGTAGCTCGGCACGAAAGATCAAATGCAGATTCAGTTTGGAATTATTGGCGAGGCTTTGCTTTGTAAAGTGGGACGGAGCATGTAATGCGCGCGCTTATGCCCACTATTGATTGGTACAGGTGGCAGCCAACACGGGATCAGGTAGATCTAGAGAATAGGCCATCCACAGCCCGGAGAAGAAGGGATTATAGAAAGGTCGAGGCTGAGTCTCGGCGGTGGCTTATCGTGAAAGGTTGGGGAAAGGTTTACTTCTAAGTGCCAGAAAGGGGATGATTCATCCATACCCTATACGAGTGTTTGACTATTTACATAGCTTAGCTACGATGAGTGTCTTTTAGCAGTCCAGATCCCCGTACGCTTGGTCGTGGATGGTTATCATGAAAAGCTAAGTTGTAAATCTCTGGCTTTAGGCATTGTGAACAATAATATAATGTCGGATTGGGTCACCCTCCGCTTTCTCCTGCTATGGTCAGCGGAACTGCAGATGTCGTGGCAGAAATGCTCAACAGCCCCCGTCCATGGTATTCATTGCCTTCAATCTATAATTTTTATAAACATAAGAGGGCCATATGTATACAAAATTTACACATTCCATAGAATCCTCTTCCGAGAATTGGCTATAACTTGACTGCCGGACTTGTTGGGAGAGGTCCTGTGTATGTTTACTGCCTGCCACTGACAGCTTCCGAACATCATTTGCATGTACTGTACTATGCTTCTGTATTAAACAACGCTTGGCAAAGAATTCACTGTAATTTCCTCAATATAAGTTTACTAGGTGTCGTCAAAATACATACTCACGCAAAGCACTACACGATGCTTTACAAGCGTCGTGTGTCCACCAATGGGTCAGAAATAAGTATTCCCGACTCATTAGAATGACATAGCATATCAATCCTTGCCTGTTCTCCAAGCGATCTTAACTCACGTCATATTGTTTCTAGGCTATACCGCCATGTCACTCAAATCAAACAAGAGAAATAAATACGAGCTCATAACCTAACCTCGTACGCAGATCCCTGTCATCACCGCACATTTCGAGGCAACTTCCGACTCTAGTGTGTTTGACCCGCTCTCCTCAACCGTCTTCGCCACATGCCAAGAGTCTCTTTCCAGCGGCCGCCCGGAGTTCCCTGGTAGTATTTTCCGGGGAAAAATTACGCTGCATGAAGAACCATGTTGGCGGTGAAGGTCATGAGAGGGTGAAAATAGATTTAGTATTAATGCGACCCAGATCTACCCGGAGCTGCCGACCTGAGAGCCTAACCATACACGGGTGAAGCCCGCCAACCTTCTAGAATATAGCAATAATTGGTATTGCATTATCCCTGGACACCAGTTCCCATACCATCCTCCTAGTGCTTAATGTGGAAAGGGTTCGAGTACTGGGAGGTGACGCCGTCATTCTCGTAAAGAATGGAGAATCCGTAGAAAGCATTGGCGCCGACGAAATCGTTGTTGATGGTCCAGGTATACTTGCCAAGGCTGTTGTCGAGGCCAGCTGTCTTTCTGTCAGCTCAAAAATATGCTAAGTGATTCCGTGGCTAAAACTTACAGGCGATGACACCAAGAGGCTGCTGGGTTCCTTGGGTAGGGCCGCCAATCAGGGTGATCTTAATGGTGCCGGCGTAGTAGGGATCGTAACCCCAGGTGATTTCTAAGTTCGAACCGTAGGCAAACTCGGCGCCATACGCGGGGGTGAAGACGGGGTCGAAGAACTCAGGTTTGGGGAGAGTGATTGAGGTGGTGGTTGGCTGGGCAGCCGTGGTCGCAGGACGGGTCGAGGTTTGAAGCGTGGTCGAAACGACGGGCACAGATGACGAGGATGGCACCGAAGCGGCTGAGGTAACCGCGGAGGCAGCAGTCCTGGAGGAGTGCTTGCAGCGAGCCTCAGCTCCCAGAGCCAAGAACCCCAAGCCGAAGGCAGTGATGATCGATCGAGCGTGCATGTTTGCGAAATGAATGAATGTGGTTAGACAAATGAGTGAATACGACCGTCTTCGAGAATGGATAGTACAGCAAGGAAACAAGAGCTCTAGATCACGAAGTGAGAGGGAAGAACAGAATATATATCAGAGAATGGGGGCTATAACGGTTATTCTTAGAGGTCGCTTATGAGCCAACGGCGGTGCATACCCCCATGATACGCTCTCGTAACGGTTAGCTAGGATGACACGAGCGGGATACGAAGGCGTAACGGGGCTGGATCTCGGCACGCCATATCCACTCCCAGGGCCTTGTTTGATTTGAGTGGCAGACAAGCTACGGACCACCTGGGAACATTAACTGTGGAAAATCCATGGTCTTCAGAATGTCACTGGATCGCCCTGCGCGGCCCATATGGCACTCCTGTCACAATGCTCGTTTTTCTCACAGGAGGACGTTTTTGCTAACAATCTTTTGCAGTGTGTAAGGCTGAATCTTGCCCAATGGCTCTCAGCCCTCAGCCCAAATGTAGGTGCATGAAATGAACGCTTACATGCCTGCAATGCGAGCTGCCGAACAAGGTGAAGCCAAACCCCTGGAAACCAGTGACAGTTTTGCAAGCTTGTCGCATTAACCCAATTCAACCAGCTCCTGACGTGAGCAAGGGGCGCGTTTCAGGGGTCCGGAAAGAGATTGAAAAATGCCACCGTGCTGGACAGGCCACATTATCGCAATGTGCCTTTTTTTTTAATTACCACACGTTGTCTTTCATTCATGACAAATCTGTGGCGCCCGGCTGGCCTTCGTCCTGCTTGATGTGGAGGGTGAGACTTGCGACGCAGATGGCTTTGCGGCCAACCCTTCGAACTCCCTGTACTGCGGGTGTACGCCCGGGACTCTCGGAGAGAGTCTTGTTCAATTAGATGTGCTCAACAAAGGTAGGTTCAGTATTTAGGAGCGTCGCTTTTTTGAGCAGCTGGCAAAAGAGAGATTCGCATACCAATTCTAACATGGGTGCATATCGTATAGCAAGAAAACAAGCCTGTGAAATGACAAACAGATGCATTTCCACATCAGTCTGTTTGGAATAGCACTCAAGTGGACCTAGTTTCTGCCAAAGGTGAGTTCATATGTCGTTGGCCTGCTCTGTCGTGCATCAAGTTCGTCACTCTAGTCACCAACCTAACACAGACTGAAGTGATAAAACTCTTTCAGAATGTGAGGCTTAAGCACTAAATAGACTCGCCATTATATAAGTCGATTCAACTTCACTAGGACTATTACAGGAAAGAATGCTTGCTGTTGTATCAAGGCATAGAGCAGGAGCATTCAGTGACAAGTCTAGGGTTGCCAGATAACGTTGCACGCAAGGGGATATAGGAACCAAGCTTGCGCAAGCTGCCTTTCATATGGATAAGACAGACCATCGAGTTACCCTCTTCGCGTTATTAAACTAATTGCCATGCCCATCCTCCAGAAAGTCTTTGTAGTGAGCTGGGCAGCCCTCTCCCTTGTGCTTTTTGCAGCAGTCAGAGCCTGGCCCTAGATAAAAAAACGGGTCGTTTATGATATGGAAAGATGTCGCCGCTGCACCCAAGGCTGACCCGTGAATCGGGCCACGGACGTGAGCTTTGGCGACTAGTTTAGATCCGAGAACGGAAACGAGGTCGTCTTGGAACTCTGTGTCGCTTGCTAAGTCCCCTGAAATCACGAGCTCCCTGATTTCATCAACCATAAAGTCTGGAATGACTAAAAACTTGCCCAAGGCATCTCGTGCTGCGCCACGTAGTGAACCAAGTTCCCCGGCGTCTTGGACAAAACTGGTATCCGAGACTGTATCCCCATAACCCTCGTCAATATAGGTAAGCGTATAGCGCCAACCATAGGGACCGCGATCGATAAATTGGACATAGCCGTCTTTCTCTCCATTGCCGCCAAGCATGTAGTTGGCAATGGCGGAGGCGTGAGCAGCGTCAATCATGCGCTCTTGCGCCAGGTACAAGCCAACCTTGCTGAGAGCCGAGTCTAATACTTGTGTTTGGTGAGTGTGCCATTGACCAGAAGGGTCACTGGCATCGTTGCATTTACGGTCAGGGCGGCGAGCGATCACAAAGCAGAATGGCTCGGCAAGGCGAGAGGTTATCAAAGCTTCGAGCTGGCGCAGCATCCGCGCCAAGGATTCGGATTCGTGTCCTATACTGTAGACTTGAGAAGGTGAGTTCCTTGGTACACAGCCATAGCCGGATCCAGCACGTGTGGCACGCATGAAACTCCGATACACTGCGTCCCCGTCGATACGAGCGACGGGAACCGAGGTGCCATTTTCAAAATAGATACCAGCGGCTCTATTGTATAACGATCGCTTGCATTAGACATGAGGTAGACGAAAGATCCAAGGCCGTGCACCTACACATAGTCGTAATTCAGACTGATCCCAATGCCTGGAACAGGCGACCGGCTACGGACCACGTAATCTCGGCTAGAAGAATCTTCCGACCTAGATGGTGACGCCGATAATTCGGTGATTACTGAAATCGGGAGTATCAGGGCAAGAGAGGCAATGACGATGGCCAGTGGAAGGGCATTCAAGCAGCTGGGGCGTAAGAATGTCATTAGAACCTGGGCCGTGTGGGATATATGCCTCAGGAGATTTTTATTTCGCTTCGATAAGAACGTGCCTTCATATTTCAGGTTGCAAACTTATCATTTGCGGAAATTGCTGTAGCTTAAAGACCCCACAGAGGCTCAGGGCTGTTCACCAAGCAATATCACCAAAGTTCCAAGCCAAAAGCCCTTTTGTGCCTTCACATGGCACCTCGCCTGCCGCACTTAAACACAAAAGAACACGTGTACCTAGGAAGCATAACGAAAGTACCTTTGTTCTTTTTTTCTCTCTCAAAATGATGAACTTACGTAAATAGACATCTGTGTTTATCACACCCAAAATACTTGCTGTGGAGTCAATATCCTCGGAAGGGGAGCGCCTCTCACCACGATTTCTATATATACCCTCGTTGTTTAAGCCCA